TCCTCTTGTGTTTTTAATAAAAAAATTTAAGGCAAAATTTTTTTAAAAAAATTAAAAAATAAGTTTTTAGCTAAAAATCCATTGGTTTTGACATTCTTTATACTAGTAAATAATTTTTTTGATAAAACATTTATGAAAAATATAAAAAATAATCAATTAAATACAAAATTTTGATTAAAAATATAAAATTTAATGAATTTTTTATTTGATGTGCTTTGATAAACATATAATATAACACGGATATCAAAATAAAATAATTTTATGTATTTTGTTCGACTCGCACGTAACGCGAGTAAAAAATCTAGTGTCCTCTAATGAAAAACAAGTCACAGTATCCACCTCATGATAGCAACCCAAATATCAAGTCCAGTTCTTTCGATTTGATTATTATTATTATTAGTATCTTCGTTACAAGAAATGTTTAGTTCAGTTACGACTGCGTGATTATATAAATTCATTTAATGTGTTTTATGTGCATGAATGATCCAGTTTATAATCGCATGGTCTTTATTGCAAAAAAGCGTTTTCAAACTCTAGAGAAGTTTCTGATTTCCTAAAAGAGGATTCTCGCGTTTTATCTCAGAATCAATCTTTGAATCAAATTTGATTCATTAATGTCACAAAAATTGGTTTAGAAAAGAAAGAAACCAACATGTGAGGGCAAGCCTCCTGAGAGATAAAAGAGATCCTACTCCTACAAGCCTGCAGCAGGCTGTATTGGTTATATTCGTTATTAAACGTGTAGAGAGTAAAAAATAACAAGCATGTGAAAGCTTTGGAGCTTCTCTAGGCTATAATGTAACTTTAATTTACTATTTTGGTGCCTGCTTTTTTTTATGCTTTATTATAGTTACTTGGCGAGGTTTATTTTTGTTTTTTCTGCTTCGGTTTAGAATCCTTGTGGTGCAAAAGTTGGTGTCTCAGACTAATTTATGCCTCGAACGACTAGTCGTTGTTAAAGACACAAGCAGATGAACAGATGACCTTGACCGATCGAAGTAGTTATAAGTGTGTATTTTTCTAGTTTTTCGATTGAAGTCCTTTATAACAGAAAGAAGTAATTTGTGGTAGTCATAGAATTCCATAATTTTATTACCGTTTTAATGGTAAGTTATTTTCAGGCCATCATTTGGTATTTAAAAATTATTTACATGCACGTTTGCATATATATATATATATATATATATATATATATACTAAAATAGTTAATTTGAGTGAAATGAACATTAATGAATTTTAATCATTTAATTAAATAATTTTAAATTTAAATATTTATGTATGTAAAAAGTTTTTTGAATAACTATGTTCATCTTATGCATTCGATTGAATAGCAAAATATAATTATTGTAAGCATTTAAACTTCTGATACGTTAAGAATCCAAAAATTTATATATACACACACGAGACAATATTGATGGTAGAAAGACCCACATCCATTATAGGACAATTGGCCTTGCCCACATCGATTTTTTTATTTGTAGTTTCTACATTTACTTTTACAAAAAGGGACACCCAAACGGCCAAAACCACTAGCCCTCCATTAGAGATCAAGGACTGCCACAAATTATTTAATCACATATAGTAGAGTAGGTCCATGGGCAAACCAAAACAAATTAACCAAAGCTAATCTGCGAGTTTAATTAGCACTTCATTAACGAGTATTGAGCCACGCAATCACATATTATATACTCACAAAGTTCGATCAAGTTATTGGATGCCACACTTAAAACAAAATCAGATCTGGAAGCTTTAAGTTTTTTTCTTTTGTATTTGTTAATTTCAGTTTTTTTTTTTTGGTAGAAGAAATAAAGAACCCTTGCCTGGTTAAAGTCCAAGAAGCTGGCAACAACTTTTTAGCACACACAAGGACTTCTTTTTGGATGTTGTGGCAGTCGTATATAAGCTGATGACAAACTAACACTGTACCTACACAATATCTCTATGCGTTCAGTTCTAGCCATACTATTGGAATCTTATTTATGTTTATTCAGTCTATTTTAAACTTTACTTTTGCTCTTTACAGCTTATTACATTTCTTAAAAAATGACCGAAAATGCATCCTTAAAAAATGACCTCAAAGATCTAACCAACTAAGAAATTGGCTCGTTGCATCTATTTTTTGACTGTTTAATAGAAACCCACCAACTACATTAACTCCAGTTCCATTACTCAACCGTTCATCACGAACACTGTCACCCACGATAACCCCTCTTAAATCTGCATCCTTTATCTCTTCAAAACAATTCCCGATCTCTATCTCAGTGGATGGAAGGTTTGCATAAATTGACAAATTCGAGGATTAAAATGTACTTGTCCGTAAGGAATTTGTGTGACGAGTGGATGACTTGTATCATTTCCCATTCATAAATCACACAAGAGTAGCGTCAGATCTTGCAGATGATATTTAAGTATGCAACAATAGTCGATTCTGTCCGACAAGTGATAAAATCTTTGTGCGATTCGACGAAATATTGTTAAATTAATCAAGCAAGAAAATGTCAATACTAATTTATGAAGTACTTTTTATATAGTACTCCATAATTTAATTTGCAAAGACGGCTTCAGACGCTGCTGTAATACAAAGTGTTAGCTGAAATTTAATACCCTTGAAACATTTTTTATTTTTTATGGGTACCCAAACCTTTTCAACCTCTTAAGCACATCTTGCACGCCTTATACACAATAATGGAAAAGATGAAAGGGAGTTTTCACTTTTTAGTCGATACGAAATCCTCAACAATAGAAGGCAACCACATCAAATACCATTGCTGTATATATAGTTTATGAGGGAGTAGTTTATAAAAGAAAAGCCATGGCTGATTGCTAGTACTGTTAAATTGTTCCCTGTACCCCGTACATGAAATTTATTTCTACGCGTACCAAAACTGAGTAAGAAAACTGCTTAAAATGGTTAAGGTCCCCCTACCCCTCTGTCCCTACGATTCCCTTCTCCACGAAAGCCAAAATAATTTGCTGCCAGATCCGTAGGACATGCTAGCTAGCTACATTGTTTAACTCTTGCCAGGAACGAATCCACATCAACCAGGTTGGCCAAGTCATAAGCCCTTTTCAGCAACTGAAAATAACACTTTATAATTTAGGTCCTAAATACGGTCTTGTCTAATGTCATTATCAAACTATATTTACAGATGATGAGGTGGAGGTGGAGAGAGTATTATTCTAATTTCTACCTACCATCCCATGTATTAATATTAATGTTAGTATGAAAATATCATACGCAAGGCTACGAAGAAGAAAGAAATAGATTCACAAAGCGACAATAGTGCAAGTCATGAGCAAGTAGTAGGAATTGGCTGTCTGGTGCTAAAAATTGTGGAAACACGTACAATTTTCTTTACTCTTTCACCCCAACTTACCTACCGAAATTGTATGATTATAAAAAAACAGAAAAAAATGAAAAGAAAAATGGAGCACCTGCATATATGCCATAGAGTCTAGACAAAACTGGAAAGCGATGAATAAACTAGAAAAATCTTGTCTCTCTTTTTATTTTATTTTATTATTTTCTTGCTTTCAGTGAAATTGGAATTTGGGAAGCTGCACCTGCGATGACAATATACGGTCTGTTTCCAACACGTAATAATAGAATTTGATTCCCTTTTCCCAGTGTATGTTTACCCTAGATAACTTTCTTCCTTTTAGTGGATATTCAATGCGATGGGGTGTACATGTAATATGCTCACGCGGCCACTCTGACATATAGTTATTCACTGAGGCCGTCCATAGAATCTGTATATATATAGCGGGACTTATATTCCGAGCTTAATTTAAACACTGGAATTTGTGGTGGGATACCTCATACGTACCTGTGTACAAGGGAAGGAACGATATTATGAGAATGTCACAAGTGTTGCTTTTATTTGAATGTTGTCTATGATTTTCCTGACAGCTTGATAATTTTACTTAGAATAATTCATTATAAAAAAAAATTGAATAATCAAGGTTGAGTGTTGTTGTGAAAAATTGTCATTTTTGGTAATTATTTTTTTCCTTCATCTAATTCAGTTCCTTTTTCCCCTGAATTTTCTTTGTTTGATCGAATAATTTGGTTAACCTGAGTTTTTTGTCCGTTAATTATTTCACCAAAATAATATAAAAAAATTACAATTAACTAGTCAAAATTAGATTAAAGGAAAATTATAAGCACACTATTTCAATCCGAATTTTTTAGTGTTACCACGAACTATCCCCTTTTTATTTTTTTAATAACTACCTGAGTTACCTATTTCCATAAAATTTTAAAAATTTATTATCCAAATTAGTGTGTATTTTTTTTGGAATGCTCACCCCTTAGCTTAGACATATTGAATTCATTCCTGTCTATCGTTAAGAGTGTTCAATAACTCCCACAAACGCTTTCGATGGCCTCAGTAATACAAAATACTTACGGTTTATACTTGGGAAAGAGAACAAAAACCTCAACCGACAATTTCTAATTTGTTTTAAACACCGTAAATTCTTAGCGGAGCCAAATCACAGTTGTTTAAACCACTTGATTTTTATCCGGCTGTTCAATGACACATGATATTCCATATTTTTGGCCTCTTTTCCTAAAAAGTACCGTCTATGATCTAACTTATGCTGAAAATGTTTTTCAGGTAAGGCTAAAAGTCACCAGTACTGAACATTTGGACCACTGATACTTCCAAACCTCATGAAGTGAAACTTCAATACAAAATTTTCGCTGGCCATTGAAACACAAAAATCCAAGGTCAATTATACATTTATTCCAGTGGTTAATAATGATGATATTTATCTTAAGTAATTAATTAATTTCTCCTCAGTCAGAGGAACTCCCTATTGATTCATCCCACCAGAAAGAGACAGAAATGAAGTAAGACGGTCTAAAATTATGCAAAAGTCATTATTACTAACTACTAGTTTACTCGAGCAAGAGAAAGTTACCTATCTAGTTAAGTAAACCAAGATTGGTTAACAAGGTTAAAAAACACAAAAACATAAGCAGTTCACAAAACTAGCTAACTACCGTTTGCTAGAGGACTAACGGCGGTATTCTTGCAAGGACTAGGAGGCAAACTACGCTTCCCTGAAACAACAAGTCGTTGCACAAAGCTCTCAATTCTTTCAGCATTGGTCTCCGTCAGTAACCGCTTCCCGCCAAATGGTAGCGTTTCCACTCCTCTCTCCTTTAGCACCTCGTCCTCCACACTCGCTAATCCGTTTGCCTGCACACATTTAACGCCGTCAACAAAGATCAAGCATAAAAAATGGAAATTACTAAACCTTGAAATTGGAAAAAAAAGAAGAAGAAGCAAATACCTGAATTCTGACGTAATCAGTACGGTTCCAACAGAATGCGTTACCCAACATTTGGTCAACAGTCTCCGAAACTCCGTCAAGCACAATGTCAACAACAGACGACGTGGAGCACTCGCCGTTAGGACGGAGCTTCCTTCCACTCAGTGATCCACTTCCGTTTCCTAACGACAGAACCAATAGATCCTCTACGCCATTAACGGAAGGGAAATCACGCTTGTTGTGGAGCACGTGTGTAACTGCCGCTGCTGTTGGATTGTTCATCACGAGACCTCCGTCAATTGCGGAGCACGATGTTTTGCCGTCAACTGACGTTAGGTTAAACGGTTTGAAGAGGCTTGGAGTTGCTGACGTGGCACGGCAGACTTTCCAGAGCTCGAAGTTAAAACTCGGTGATTCTGTTGCGTCGGCTCGGGAGAAAACAAAAGGAGCAGAGCTCTTTAGGTCAAAGCAAGGAACAAGGAGAGGCTTACACGTGTCCTTCAATGTCAAAATCACTCCGTCATCTCTCTTCAACGCTTCTTTCAATACTTTTTCCATGCTCCAGCCAGAGAACCTTCTGCGGCGGCGGAGGAAGCCACCGTGCTTCACCTTGAAGAGTTCGGAGTTTTTGTCGGCAACAAAAGCGACAGCGTCTCTGGCAGTAAAGAGTGGGCGGCCAGAACCATCGGCGGCGGCGAGCATGGTAGCGAGGAGAGCTCCGATTCCCGTGCCAGCAATGATATCAAAGAAATCAGCGATTCGAGCTTGAGGATCGCCAGTTTTGAAGCGGATCTGGTCCTCAAGGTGAATGAGGGAAGCAGCAGCCACAATGCCAGTTGTGCCTCCACCGTCAATGCTCAGCACTCGTGTTTTCTTGGAGGCTGCACAGTGTGAGAGCCATTTCTGCTCCAGTTTTGAGAAGATCTCTAGAGTTGCCTTACTAAGGTCCATTTCAATAGCACTCTCTCAATACTCAGCAATGTAGTTGCTCTTGCTCTTGCTCTTGCTCTAGCGGTTGTGTGTGTAAATGAAAGTGAGAAAGAAATTGTGTTCCTCAAGTTTGATAAAGGAGCGTGTAGTGATAAAAAGGGCTCACGTTTAGTTGATGAAAGGCATTAATGGCTGCACAATGCACGCTCTCTCTACATCAAAATCTCTGCCTTTCAGGTGGAGGAGAACGATAGCGAGTGAGAGTGGTGTGTTTTATCTCTCTCTTGTTTCTCTCTGTGGGCTCTGAGTTATTGAGATCAAAACCGGGAGTGAATAGAAGGTGTGCTAGGGAAGGTGGTTATATACGCGCCACTTCTTGTCCCATTTTCTTTTTATTTATTGTTTTTTTTTTTTAACTTACCAGGGTTAGGGGTTTACTTTCGTGCAGTGAAAGACTTACGTGGATGGCCTGTCCTTGCACGTGCAACCGAGGGTGTTCTTATCGGGTTGTGGGAAGGAAGCACCAATCTCGGCTTTTAACTCGGCTCGGCTCTCGCTTCAACTGCTCTTACTTGCACATCACAGTTACTGCTACCACTACAAAACTGTCTTTGACTCTTTGGCCAGTTAATTATTAATTTTACTACTACTACTTGTGTCAAATCTGTCTTGCTGGTAATGCAATGTCATTTTTCTTGGTGGAGAATTGAAGTTGCGCAATGAAGCTTCCCCTTGATTAACAATAGAAAGCGTAAATATTTCATAAAAGAAGACAAATTGAGTAAAAATTTTCCTTAATCAGTTGTTGGACACCGGACAAAGGCGGTTAGAAATGCTGTGGCTGGAAAGCCATCGCATGGAGATTTAGATTTCATGGATTCTTTTTCTCTAATTTATTTTGATCCAGGGGCGTTAATACGGATATTTTGTTAATGCTGAAATTCTAAACTTTTATGGATACCAGAAAGGCAGACGGCTCTAAGTGTTGATGATATTGGGCATGCCTGCTAGTAGCTGGGTTTACGGGAGCAGTATTTTTAGGTGGGGTCACACTGTTTTGCAATCAGAAGCGGACGGATGTATCAGGCTGGTTCTGCAATCAGATAATTACATTATACCTGCATCAATTTTTTATTTATTTTTCAATTAAATGTATAAATTTTATTATTTTTAAATCTATTATTTTTTTTCAAAATTATCAATTAAATATTTCATTAATTTTTTTATTGAGTAATGACGTTTCTGTTACTTTTATAATATCATATTACAATTTTGTCTTGTTTTTTTCTCAATTGAATGCATAAATTTTAATTTTATCTCGTTTGAATACATTCATATTTTTAAAATTATCATCAATTTCTTTGTTAATTAATGATGTATCTAAATACCAAATTACAATTTATTTTTTTTTATTACAAGGAACTTTCCTCCAAAATTATTCTATCATTTCAAAATTCGACAAAAAATTAAAAATATTATTTTTTAGCTATAAAATACCGAATAACAATTAGTTCATTGCTGTTAAAAAAAAATCAATTGGGTTTTGCGTGTGAAAATTAAAAAATATATAAACGTGAGATTTTTTCATCAAGATATTTTTATTCCTAAATCTAATCGGGGTTTTTTTTTCTTTTAGGAAAAAAAAAACAACAAACCTAATTGAGTTTAGTTTTGAGTTTAAAAAATATATATTATTTTTTAATTCTTTGTCGAGTTTTGGAAATTATATGATATTTTGGAGATGAAGTTCACTCTAACAAAATGTGGGTAAAATTATAATTTGGTATCCGAATCTATCATCGATTGATGAAAAAATTGATGAAAGTACTTGATTGATAATTTTTTAAAAAAATGGTATGTTCCAACAAAAAAACTTAAATTCTATGTACTCGAGTGAGAAAAAAATAAGAAATATTTATAATTTGGTATTTGAGAGATAACGAATGCGTCATCGCTTAACAAAAAAATTAACAAAAGTACTTGATTGATAGTTTTTAAAAAAATTGATATATTCTAAAAAAAAATTATATACTAAATTAAGAAAAAATTAAAAATTAGCGTAACAACCCATAAAAAATGGTATGTTCCAACAAAAAAACTTAAATTCTATGTACTCGAGTGAGAAAAAAATAAGAAATATTTATAATTTGGTATTTGAGAGGTAATGAATGCGTCATCGATTAACAAAAAAATTAACAAAAGTACTTGATTGATAGTTTTTAAAAAAATTGATATATTCTAAAAAAAAATTATATACTAAATTAAGAAAAAATTAAAAATTAGCATAACAACCCATACTCTTCTTAATTTTAATGGACTTGAGCACATGTTGTATACATTATAGAGTTTATATTTATTAGAATAATAAGTTATTATTTAATCTATATGTTTTTAGTGAAATAATTAGTTAATCCCTTTGCTTAAAAAAATTAATATTAAACCCCTATATTTTCATATTTAACTGTAACTCAATGTTTTTTATTGGTTTTTCATCACGATTAAAATATTTTTTTATCTAAGATATCTTTCATTCGTAATCAAAATTTTAATTTTTACACAACACATGCACATTAAAAGTACATCTAAAATAGGTAATTTAGAAATTAAAAAAAAATCAACTTTGATTAGGAAACTAACTTGTGATTTTTTGAAAACGGAGATACTAACTTACAAAAATCATAAAAACACAGGAATAGAATTATAACTTATTTCATTTTAGAACGTGTATAACAACGCTTTATGCGAATTTACAATTGTTGCACCTAAAGTTATTTTGCAAATGCAATTTGGTCATTTTGTTGGTTTTTTTTTACCTAAAATATCCTTGATTTGTAGTTACAATTTCTAATTTTATCTACTACGTATAAATTTAAAAGTGCATTTTAAAAGTATGATTTAGAAATTTCAAAAGAAAAATTAACAGTCAACTTTGGCAAGGGGATTGACTTCTGATTTTCAAAAACAAAGGGATTAACTCACAACAATCAATCATTGAAATAAATACTTTTCTAGTGCATGGAATTTACATAAAGTATGTTATAAGAATTGATGGGTTTTTTTGGTTTCACAACTGTAGCTAATAAATAAATGCATATTATATATTATCCATTTACTATTATGGCAGTTAAAAAAATATTAATAAGACTTGTTGAACTTGCTAAATATCTTTAGCTCGAGGAACAATGATAATAGTTATATTAGTACCTAAAAATAATTTTTTCATAAAAAAAATATTTTCTGTCCCGCTTAAATTAATATAATTAACTGTCAAGATAAAGTTATTAAAATTGCATGTCCTTTTCACTCTCGCTTTACTATCTACTCTCTCTTTTGAACACGTATATATATATATATATACACCTTTTATTTCCTTTTCCAGTCAAGTAAAAAAATCTTTTTATTTTTCTAAATAGAGAGTGTTCTTTTAAAATCGTTTGAAGGAAAATTTAATCTTATTTAATATACAAATTGACTCGAGGATTGTTTTACCATCCAACAGAAAAAAAAACTTTATTTGATGTATTTTTTAAGTTTTATCATTAATTATATTTTTATTTTGTTGGATAATTGCCCTTAACTTGGTAAGTCAATTTTTTTAACATCAAATTAAGAGCTCAAATAGTATCATTTTCGCTCATTTTCAGTTTTTATTTCTTTTAAAATTCTCCGCCTTTGCTGTCAATTTTCAAGAAAATTACACCCACATATCATCGTACACGACTTTCCTTTTATTCGTCTTTTAATCCTATAATCAAAAGATATTTTGATTACAAAAATGTTGAATTTTTTTTTAAAAAAAAGACTGACGCGAAGGCGTGGGCCCTCCGCTAGTATGGTACCATCGTACGAATTAACTGCAAAGCAATCGGTACAAAGTTTTGCAAATTGGTACGAAGTTTTGCGAGCTCTGGCTATTGCTGATATCCATCTAGTCTATACCTCGTAGCCCTAGACACACCGTGTCTCATCACGAGCTATCCATGAGATAAATAACCAATAAATACTACAGTGCACTGAATCAAATCTTGGTTAAAAAGCTCAATGGTAAAGTTGATCTGATGCATTAATGAACCGCGGTAATTTATTCAAGTTACTCACTGAAGATTTTTTAAAAAGTCATCAGGCGTCTACATATTATGATCCTTCTTAATCTAAAATAAAAAATAACTTCCATGTCAAGCGAGAACGTTATTATTATTATTATTCAAAATTTTTTGAAAAGTTCAAATTTAAAACTTCTCAAGACGAAGGAACATTTTAAGAGATTTTTAATTATCCAGGACTGAATATTTTTTTAGAAAATCATGTGATATAGTGAATAGGGCTCGAAATATACAATTTGAGTGTACCATTTTAAAAGAAAATGGCACTGCCCTAAGAACCAAGAGAACCCTCCAAGATTAGTAATACAACAGCAGGTTGAAAACCTTATTCCTAACAAGCAAATCCTAAGAGACAGAGTGCTAGTGCTCTCAAAGTCCAAGATGATTTAGGAACATAAAAATCAGATGAAGCACTGGCAGGTGAGCTCAAAGGCAAATGAGCAGGACTAGAATTAGTTGAAGTTGTTTGTGAACCAAGATATTAATCTTTTTTCCTGCTTGGCAGTGACCTGAGAAACCACGTCTGAAGTAAAAAATGGCTATAGGAGCTACTGCTAGAAAAATATCAATTAACGACGGCATTCAGGATGAATTAAAATTTATCGTTATTTAGCAACAGATTATAAAAAGTTGTGTTTTTGCGACGGATTAGCGACGGACTAATGAGGGATACTTAACGACGGTTAAAAATCCATTGCTAAATAAGGTGAGGAAAAAAAACGCCAAAATCAGCAACGGCCATGTTGTCGGTAAATGAAAAAATTAGCGACGAAATTTTTTCATTGCTAAAATTCCCCCTTAATTTTGGGATTTTAGGAGGAAAGTTTCCCACCAAAATCACCAATTAGCGATGAATTGTGAAATCCTTCGCTAATTTTACATTCAAAATAGCAATGGATTTCAAATCCATAGTTATTTTGAAATTTTTGGTGAAAATTTTTTCATCCACACGATTCAAATTCCGTTGCTAATTAGCGACGGATTGGCGATTCCGTCACTAATTAGTGACGGATTGAAATCCGTTGCTATTTTGAAATTTTTGGTGGAAATTTTCTCATCCACATGGTTTAAATTAGCAACGGATTTGCGATTCCGTCGCTAATTAATGACAAAATCATGTCCATCGCTAATATCCGAGCCTATAAACATAGAGTTTTTCTCTTTTTTCCCCATTCGGTTCCCTCTCTCCACCACCCAAAAATCCACCGTCGACCGGAAAACCACCACCCAATCCGCCCTTCGCTATCAATTGACTTCCCAAACCATTCAACTTAGTGAGGTGTGTCTTTCTCTCTAAAAATCCAACGAAATCTCTACTCTCTCTCCTTTATCTTTTTGGTAAAACTTTCTCTCTCTAACTCTTTTTTTTAATTAAATGAATGTTATAAACTTTTAGGTTAATTTTGTTATCTCGTTAGTTGATTAATTGTTTGAATGTTGTTAATTTTATTATTATGTTAATTTTTAATTGTCTTAATTTATTTGTTAATTATTATTGTAAATTTGTTAATTTTTTATTTAATTTTCTTAATTGTTAGATTAATTTGTTTAAGTGTTATTTTTTTATTGTGTTAATTTTTATGCTAATTTTAACCTAAAATTTTTTAATTATGTTAAGTTTTTAGGTTTAATTTTATTAATGTCATTTTTAAGTAATCTGGTTAAAGTTGATTTATTTTTAATTTATTTATTTAAATTTTTAGATTAAAATTTAATTATTTAATCTTTAATTGTTATTTTAAATTAATTAATTAATTAATTATGTTAATTATTAGGTGAATTTTTTTATTTGTTTGTTTTAAGTTAATTTTTAAATTATATAATTTTGTACATACTTTAGTTAAATTTTGTTGATTATTTCTTAAGAAATTTTTAATTTATTGGTTGCCTATAGATCCGTCGACTAGTCAACAATCTACCGTTCCTTCCACACAGCCTTCCGTTTAACCTCCACCCGATCCTCCGTCGAGCCCTCCACATAGTACCGAAGGAGGATATGGGATTAGATGAGCAAGTATGAGTGATAGAAGAAACATTTAGGGCTTGTTTGATAACCCATTTAAGTAACTTAAAAAATTAAGTTATACTACTTAATATAAAAAGTTTGTTTGATAATCTAAATAACTTCATTTTTAAATTTTAAATTTAGTCAAAATCTACTTAATTATATAAGTTAAAATTTTTAACTTATTACTTTTTGATTAACACACTCAGTTGAATGATTTTTAAAACTTTTTAAATATGACTATAATACCTCGATATATTTTTATAACTTCGGTTATACAAATCAATTAAAAAACAATCTCTACTCTCCTATTGCTAAAACAATAAAAACCTTGTGCTTCCGTCCTATCATCATCAATAAGCTACTGGAATCGAAACTCCAAAGTCTAATCCTAGGTAATTTCCTTCTATTTCATTATGGGTGATTTATCTTTGTGTCTGTTGATATCTTGATTTTATTTTTTTGGTATATTTGTTGGTATAATTATTTTGTTAGATCAAGTCGTGTTATAGATTAAGCTATTTTAGTTTCTAGGTTTTGATTAAAGGTCAAATCTTTATGATTAATTGAAAATTTCACGTGAAAATTCGGTTAGACCAAAGAGTTTTTATGATTTAGAAAGACATACGATTCTTGTTATAAAAACGCAATCCGGACTTTAACGCAGATTGAAAAATTAGTAAAGCCTTACATAGTTTTGCTTATCCTTTATCCCTTTTCAAAATTAAGATATTCGGGGAAGAAAATTAGCAAAAACATTGAATTAAGAGACTACGACATTCATATTTTTCAACAAGCACCGGTTTCTCGTTCGTAAACTAATAAAACCATTCAAACACTAACACACTCAAAATACCCCAAACCCAACGATAAACCCACATCATATATGCTCCTCTTTAAGTAATGTTGACCTTAATATTCTTAACCCAACGATAAACCCACATCATATATGCTCCTATTCAAGTAATGTTGACCTTAATATTCTTAACCCAACGATAAACCCATATCATATATGCTCCTATTCAAGTAATGTTGACCTTAATATTCTTAGGCTTCTCGGATTTAGGAGGTGGTAATTTCTCAACGAGTAACGATAAAAAACCCATCTTCACAAACAGCAGAAATAACATCGATATTAGCATTCTCTGATAACATAAATTTCCTCACAAACTTACCAACCTCCTTTCCATTCTCACATACTCGGCTCCTTCTTTCTCCTCCCCACGCTTCCTCTCTCCACTAATAACCAAGCATATAGTCATCCTCCACTTGAACTTGATGTCCCCCGACTTCAATCCCGGTAATGTTGAATTTGATATTCTCGGGCTTCCCGGATTCGGGAGGTGGTAATTTCTCAATAGTAATAGTTAAAAACCCATCTTCACAAACAACAAAAATAACATCGATATTAGCATTCTCTCGATAACATAAATTTTCTCACAAACTTACCAACCTCCTTTCCATTCTCACATACTTGGCTCCTTCTTTCTCCTCCTCACGCTTCCTCTCTCCACTAATAACCAGCATATAGTCATCCTCCACTTGAACTTGATGTCCCCCGACTTCAATCCTAGCATGTTAATGATGAACGCAAAGAGTTTAGATCTTTCACATCGACTGCTTCTTCTATTGGAAAAATGACTATCTCTTTCTTGTTGGTTACTTGGATCTATTGGAAAAAATGTGAAAAGAATATAAGAAAGTCCGGGTTGCTTATTATTCTACTATGGGATATTTGTTAAAGGGATTGAGGTTTTTACACGGGATATTTAGGTGTAGAGAAATAGGGATGAAAAGGAAGTTTACGGAGAGATGTACAATGAAGGGTTCCGGTGGTTTTTGTATGTTAGGCTAGGCATAAGTGTTAGGTCTAGAATGCTAGAATCATTCGAGAGCTCAAACTATTAATGGTTCGATCGAAAAATGTTTTCCGACAGAAACAAACCAAACGAAGTTCGCCACCGTACCTCATTCAATGGCTTAATGATACATACTAATTTATTAATAATGGATGCTAGCATGACGAGTAGGTCATGAGTAATTATATTATTATACTTGAAAAAAGGAATGGCATGCAAGAGAGATTTGACATATGCTCGTGAGCCGTGTCAACTTTTCCTCATTATATGTTTTAAAATGTTCCTCTAATTTTGCCGTCAAAAAGCAATATCCAAGGCAAAGGGCCGGGTGGATCGTAATATTTTGGTGGCAAAAGCCGAGGTTAAGCAAGTTGTACCCCACGAATTCATTTATTAATTATTATTATTCTTTCTATCCCAAACCAATTATATATGTATATATGAGGCAATTAAACCAACCGATGTGAGAACTCGTATGCAAATATTTGCTTGCATAGGAATGTGTTTTTTTCCTATTTAATCTTAAACAACCCAAGTTTACCTTCATGCATTGAAATGTTTATTTGTTTGCATGTGTATATATTGCACCCATGGATGGTGGGGCGTGGAATCGAATCAATCTTTGGTTTCTATTCTTGAATGCCTATAGAGACACCGATCCATTGCTTAGATGATCTTCTAGGCATTTGCTTTTTATTGGTCTCATCATTCTTAAATATTTGAGGTATTACTTTAATCTATAATAGTGATGGGGTGACACTTTACAGTTGATTTCATTTCAAGATTAGTTATTTGATATATAGTCACGCAATTGTTTTGTTGTAAAACTCAAATGTTTGGTAGGAATTTTTATCTTTTTCCTATCAATAGTGGTTATCAATTCAATTAAATTGATCATGTGGATGCATGGTCTATGATCTACCTGTCTACCATCACATTTCAAATCACCACTTAACACGATCATGTGTTTGCATGATTATATATCATTTGGTTGATTTTAAGTTTTTAGGACCTTAGTTTAATTATTTTTTTAAGCAAGTTAAGGTAGTTTTTATGGTTTCATTTTGAGTTTCTAAGATTATAGTGATGTGATTTTTTGTATAATCATTTTATTACATGTAGGATGGCTTCGAAGATAGTGCTTAGAGCCAATTGAAATGACCCTAAAATAGTTAAATTTTTTTTGGATACATACATTGAACAAGTGAGTATTCTTGGAAAAAATAGAGGGAGCTTAAAAAAAGAATCATGGGACAATGTAGTGAAAGCATTTGAGAAAAAAAAGGCATTAAGTTTTCTAAAAAAACTGAAGAATGAGTGGACGTATTTGAAAAAGAAGTACATTGTATGGTCAAAACTAATAGATAAAAGTGGACATGGTTATGATCTAGTGACTAATACCGTCAATTAGACTCGCATAAGAATGGGATGATTATGAGCATGTATTTTTTTTTATATACATTTCATTCCCTATTAAAGCTTAAAGCAATTAATCATATTATTGATTTGATATATTTATGTAACAAAATAATAATGAAGCGAAACAATTTCATTATATTGGTTTGTAATTTTCGGATGAGATGAAATCATTATTTGATGGAATTTCAGCCACTGGAAAAGAAGGTTGGGGTCTTTCTAAAGACAGAGTGCCTATAAATGTAGTTTCTTCTAAAGAATCCATGCAAACAAATGGAGCTAGTTCTTCTATGCCAACCGAACCAATTGGAACAAATTTTGAAGAATTTATTGATTTGGAGTCTAATTCTCCAGCTCCATCTTCAACTCCAAGTGATGAAATGAAAAAGCCCGAAAAACGTCGAAAGAAGAATAAAAATGATGAAATTGATGATCACTTTATGGTAGTATCGAAGACACTAGAAGGGTCTGATGGACCTAGTGTAGAACAGATGCAATAAGAAGTTAGATGAGATGGAGACTTTAGGAATGGATGACCCTTTATATCTAGCTGCATGTACTATCTTTTTTTAAAGCAAAGCATATTGAGAGTAATGGATAAATCTTTCTCAAAAGCCAGAGGAAGTCGAATTGGATGGATCAAAATGGTTGCTAAAAAGTTGACATTGTTTTAATAGAATATTTTTCCTTGTGATTTGTGCTTAGTATTTTAGAATAATTTGTTTTATTTGGATTGTCTAGAATTTTCATAAGAATTATAGTTTGAATAAAAGTACTATAATTTAAATATTTTTCCTTTAATTACATTTCTCATCAATTTTTTGATACATGCTTTTGTTTTTTTTTTTAATTAACGAGCATGTTGACGGATAGGCAAAAAATGAGTTTAAGGATTATTATATTGCTTCTTATACCGAAAAGGATTAACGAAGACGTGTTGAAAGAAGACCGGATACTGATTAAGCTCTTGAAGGACATGCATATATGCTAGAGATCCTTCATGGAAATCCGACTCATTGTCAAGAAATGTTGAGAATGAAAAAATAAGCATTCTCAAATTTATGTGATTACTTCAAACAAAAAGGATGGTTGAGAGGTAGTCGTTATATTAAGGTTGAATAAAAAATGACAATGTTTTTGATAACTTTAAGTCAAAATTTTCGAAATCGTGCCGTGAAACGAAGATTTAATCAATTCAACTCAAACAAGTACATCACTACTTTCATGAAGTGTTGCAAGCAATGTTAAAGTTTGTAAGAGAAATGATTGTACCTACTACATTTTACCCGCATTTAAGTCAAGTTCAACATCATCGTTGACTTCGTCAAGTATTTCGGAGTTATACAATTAACTTTTTGTTTCTAATTTGATTGGTTTGTGTATTTTAAAACTAACTAATTTTTTTATTTATGCATAGGGTATTGTAAGTGCACTTGATGGGACTTTAATTCGTGTTGTTATATCACCCGATCAACAAGTCCCATAGAGAGGGAGAGGACGAGGAGATTGCTATCAAAATGTTCTTGCAATATGTGATTTTGATATGATTTTTACTTTTGTTTGGGCTGCATGGGAAGGTGTAGCACATGATTCAAGAGTATTAACGTAAACTATACGTGACTCATCAAATAATTTCCCCATCCCTCCACTCGGTAGGTTGTTTCCATTCGTATTAAATTCTTTTTTTATATATAAAATTCGCCTTGATTTTTTTTTAACGTTATTAATAAGTGTATTATGTCAATAATTTTAATATTTTTCATGCAATAATGATCAATATTTGATGACGGATAAATATTATCTTTGTGATGCCGCATATGCGCATACTAGAGGGATTATGGCACCATATCGTAATACGCGATATTGGTTATCCGATTTTCGCAATGGTCGTCATCCAAGATCAAAAGAAGAAGCATTTAATCATGCGCATGCAAAATTGAGGAATGTTATTGAACGAGCATTTGGTGTTTTAAAAGCAAGGTTTTCAATTCTAAAGACAATGACCCCATATCCATTTACAGCTTAGAGAGATATTCTTATTGCATGTGTTGCAATACATAATTATCTTCGAAGAACAATTGTTACCGATAACTTTTTTGAACAATTTGATGGTGATTATATGATGCATCAAACGCCAAATGTTACCGCAAATTTACCATTCATCGGAGGAGGGGCGCAAGCACGAGCCGATCACACATTTATGATTAATTTGCAAGACCAAATTGCAAATAAATTGAATAGTCCGTGAGATTTTATTTATTTTGTACATGATACAACAATTATAGTATCTTAGACCGTTTTTTTATTTTTTATTAATAATCATTTTTATTTATTTATTTATACACACAAAAATATTTTGTTTACGTTAAAAAATATAATGTTACAATTATAAGGTTAAAATTATCATGTATATAACTTTAGCATATTCGAGTAATAGTGGTTATCAAACAATCTTATTATATTCAGCACTTAATTTTCAGTAAATACCAAACAGTTTGTTAACTTAAAATTCAAGTACTTAATTATTCAAGCACTTAAAATTCGATACTTAATTTTCGAGTCTTATCAAACACCACCTCGGTGACTTGTGTTTTATTTTACCGAATGTACTGCTTGAATGTTATTGTTAAAATTAATTTATTTCCAATTCATACGTTATTACTTTTAATTGTTAACTATTACATCCAATATTAACTATTACATCCAATAATAATTTTTAAAAAAGCGAAATAAAATGAAAAAATATTTATTTTTTGAAAAAATAGCAATGGAATAACGTCGGATTGGTGACAATTTCGTTTTTCAAAATTAGCGACAAATTTATTTTCAAAATTAGTGACAGATTAACTAGGAACAAAATGACCGATCCGACGACAAGATTAACGATGGATTTTTTAGTTTAGCGACGGACTAAGTATTCCGTTATAAAAAATTAACGACAAACAAAATAGCGATAGAATATTTTTAATCGTTATTCACGAATAGCGAGAGAATCGGGATAAACTCCGTTTTTTTTGTAGTGAGCCTTTCAAGATAAATTGTATCGAAGCCATTGGTGTAAGTGGCTGTAGAAGATGTTGCAGCGCATGGCTCGAAATCATGATATGCTGCGTTGCATATGAAGAAGAAATTATTTGAGATTTTGAATTGCAGTTACTTCACTGGCAACGCATCTTGATTTTGATCATCGCACTATAAAATGGTAATTACTACTTAGATCTAAATAGATTAGAAAATATAAAACATAACTAACATTCTTCTTCGTCTAACACAATCAAATACAAATCACAATTGTATCAAAATAATATATAGTTGGTTATATCCCAAAGTTATAAAGCATTGGCATTACTTTAAAACCCCAGCCGGAAAAATAAATAAATGAAGACTCTAAAAAGCTAATAGTAATTTTTTTTTATTCAGCAATAAATTACTATATCTTCGAACCAGTGTTTGCATATTTTAGAAATAATTTTTTTTAGATATAGCTAAATAGCGAGCTAATAGTTATTTTAAAGGGAAAAGAAGAAGAAAAAGAAAAAGAGAGTTACATGTTCTCAACCTACACATTTTTTAAACATGTTTAACAAGTGTCCAACTATCAGTCTCACCAACCCCGTAGATAGCTGCCTTGGGGGTTGAAGTAAAGAGTCCTAATTATCATAAAGAAAATCACTAATGCACGGCTGCGCCGTTTTGCAAATTCATGACCATCGTACACTCTGTGGCATTTACCAAAAAAAACAAAAAGGAAAACAATGCATAAAGCGAGAGAGATTGAAAAGGAAGCATTATAAGTACGCCCCTATTTATCTAACCTCATAAAAATCTCAAGAAAAATCGTTCCAATTTCGTTTCTTAAAAAAAAAAAGAAGAAAAAATTAATAAATTCCCGTTTCCCATCTAGCACAAATTTCATGATCCTAATCGCCAAGTCCACTCATACAAGGCATATGTTAAGGCCCGGATTAAAAGCCCAGCCAGAGAATGTAGCTAAGTAATCTAGAGTTTTTTGGGGCCCATTCGTGAAGACTGATAAATGGATTTGGCCCACTAAAAAAAATTCCCGTTTCCCAGCTAGCACAAATTTCATGATTCTAACGGCCGAGTCCACTCATACATAAGCCCCAGCCGAAGAATGTGGCTAAAAGCATCATTTAGAGTTTTTCGGCGCTCAGTTGTAGAGACTAATAAATGGATTGGGCCCACTAATATGGAAACGAACTTATTCTGTAGCCCGCGTCTAGAATAGGGAATTTACCAGCCCCAGCAACCGAACAGTTCTCCTGGAACTTCTTATCCGAATCCCTCCCTCCTCTCAACCCTGTTGACAAGCTAAGACCAAGCTCTACTAATACCAAAACCCCTGCCTTAAAATATCTCTCTCTCGCTCTCTCTCTGATGGCAACTCCATTTTCTTCAACAACAGCTACACCACCACTGAGGTCCATCTTCCAACCCAAACCAAACCCTCCCAAAGCCAACGTCTCTCTCTCAGGTACTCCTAATCCCTGATATCTTCTATTACTTGATTTTTTTTAAACAAATGGTTTGCACATTTCCAACAATGCATTGATGTAAAGCTGTTTTAATTTTACAGGTTCATTTCAAAGAGGGCGCAACTGGGCCAAGGTTCGTTACAACACTTCTGCTGCTGCTAGTGTGTCCTTATGGAGCTCTTCTGCTAACTACTCCGGTCTTCGTAACGGCTCCACCAAACTCTCCGGCAAGCCCGTTGTTGTAAAACGTTTGTTGCAAAACAGGCAAGGTTTCTTTTCATTTGAGAGTAGATGCGGCGTTGTTATTGTGGCTATATATTGAATTTGATTTGTGTTATATTCAGGAGGGGAGTAATAAGGAATGCTACTATGGAAGAAATCGAAGCGGAGAAATCTTTGATTGAGGAAGATGCTGTAAGTTTGTTTGATGAGGCAGTATGATAGGGTTATGGAATTTTGTGAATTCACTGTTACTGCTAATGAATCGACTGTTGTTTTTTATCAGAAAGGAAGGATGGAAAAGACTATTGACACGATGAGAAATAATTTTAATTCTGTGAGGACAGGCAGAGCGAATCCATCTATGCTAGATAAGATTGAGGTATGATTCTGCATTTATTGTGACTTCGTTTGTGATTCCCTGATATAAATTAGGTGCTGCAATATGTGTAGTATGCTTTTACCAAGTTTTTGCTGAATTGTTATTTAGATTGAAGAGACTATGCCGCAATAACTATTGAGTATAAAGTATTGGTACAAGAATTTTGATAGTAACAATCTATGTGATGCATTGCCCCTCTCTTCGTGCTTACCCTAAGCCACTCTCGGGATGACTTATCCAATCCTTGGTTGCTTTGCAGTCGACCAGTTTGTAAGGGAAACTTTCTTCAGCTAAGAACCTAGCATAGAAAATATTATCATGAAAGATGGTGGATGCAATGAAAAGACAACCTTAATTAATTATTTGTTCCTCTGTTGTTGAGCAAGTAGCGCATATTTATAGGTTAAGTTGATTGTATTTGATATTTTGATATGAAGAGAACCATGACACTTTAATTGTAATGTGTTGTTAGATTGGTTTTCTGTGGAAGTTTGTACTTTGTCTTGAACTAGCTATGAAAAATATGCATTTACAGGTGGAATATTATGGAACTCCAGTCAGCTTGAAGAGCATAGCCCAAATCAGTACTCCTGATGCAAGTTCTCTCTTGGTCCAGCCATATGACAAATCCAGGTAATACAAAAAATGAAGGAGATGTTACTATCTGGGAATAAACACATTATATTTACTAAAAGTAAGCATTACTGAAGTGAAGAAAGTAAAGAGAGCAAGGGAAAAAAATTGTTTCTTATATAACTGGTGCAGGATAGATAGGGTTGCTGCCAATTCATTGGTGTTTTTTGGGTAGCAGGATACCCAAAAGAGAGATAATTGTGCAGTTGCTTTATGTTGTATGACCTGGATATTGTGTATTTGCAAGAGTAGCTTAAAAATCATAGTGATTTAGCACATCATGTTTGTAGCTTAAAGGCTATTGAGAAGGCCATTGTCAACTCCAATCTTGGTTTGACTCCGAACAATGATGGAGAAGTGATAAGGTTGTCTGTTCCTCAATTGACATCTGAAAGAAGGAAGGTACTTTTCCTTCCCATTGTCTCTTGGAATGTAACAAGTAATATCTTTATGTTCAACCAAATATCCTATGGACTTTTTAACTCTTTTTCATTACTTTGTAAACATTCTTGAATTTATTGGCTAAAGTTTTCTGTTATCTGAAAAGTCTAGATTTGTGATTTTGTTACACTTTGCTGCACACCAATGTTATACATTTGGAAAGGCATGCTTATATTAATCAGAAATATAGACAAAATTAATAGCTAAATTTCTTATACTGTTTGATGAACATAGAATAGTAGTAGTTTTTGAAGGACATTTGGGCAAGTTCCTTCAGATGTTTTGAAAGATTGGCTGCATACCTATCCTGAGCCCTTTTCTTTTTCATCATCCTTTGTTTGCAGGAGTTGTCAAAGATGGTGGCCAAACTAGCTGAAGAAGGAAAGGTGCACTTGCACTTTTAGTTAATGTTTGAGATAGATCATTACTGTTTCTACTGATTGAATAAGCTCATGGCAGAAAATCCTTTGCATTTCCACAAAAATGGTGCCATTAACTTATAATTGAGTTTCCTGTGACCTGAAGTTTGTAACTAGTGTTTGGAAGATGCAATTTCACTTCTAATTGTCTTGAATGCATGTAATAACACTCATGATTGAGTTTAGTGATGGTATCGCTTGATCACCTAAATAAATCAATTCTAAAGTTGCATTTGTTTATTGTATTACTATTTGCATTGATTGCATGCTACGCTAAATCACCAACCTTTTCCTCGTAAATGATCTTTCCTGATACATTGTTTGAAGGTGGCATTGAGGAATATTAGGAGAGATGCGTTGAAAGCATATGAGAAGCTTGAGAAGGTTCAAATCAAGAAAGACTATTCATTTTCATCACTCTTCCTTGATGATTTCATCTCATACTCTTCTTGGGGACTCATTTATTAACTTAATTTTGTTGTTGTTTTTTTCCCTTCCTTCAGGAGAAAAAGCTCTCGGAAGACAATGTGAAGGATTTATCAAGTGATCTGCAGGTAAGATGATGCTTAACATTATGTATCTCATTATTTATTTTCATTCTGGACTTGGTATCGATAAACAGTGGCTCTTTTTAGCCACAGACAGTGGCCTTTTTTATCATTTTTTTTTGGGTGTATGTTCATGAAATGGACTTGATTGTGGTGGTTTCAAGGCATACCATGTACCTTTATTCATTCAGGTTGTCAAACAGGTCTGTCGAGTAATAGCATCCATCAACCATGCATACTGTATTTACTTCAATTCTTGTTGTCAAGGATAATTGCATTTGGGATAGCACACTTCATTCCTATAAGGATACCCAAACAGTTTAATGCTAATGTGGCATGTTGGTATTGGCACGGACAAGAAATTACCATGACGGAAGTTTGAATAAGTCCTATAGTTTGCTACAGAAATTTTATTTGGCATCAGAAAAATGATAGGTGATTTGTAATCTCTATGTATTTCTTTTTTTTTTTTTCTGTCCCTTTCTCTTTATATTCTCCATCCGTTTGCATCTTCTTTTCTTTCTGCCCATGATCAGTAGATAGTCTGCTAGATTCCATATTTTTGTCTTCTTTGTCATCATTTGAAGTTAACGTCATTTTCTTCTTGCAGAAACTGACAGATGAGTATATGAAGAAAATAGAAACCATTTTCAAACAAAAAGAAAAGGTACCTCCATGCTAATCAAACTAATAGAATGAAAACAGATAAGTGATAATTTTTACATGAGAGTTTACCTTTTTCTATTATTATTTAAGGTGCTCATACTTCTTGCATGAGTCATAAATGAATCCATGGCTATCTTCATTGCTTTGCTTAGAGGTAGAAATTCATTGCACTTGGGTTATCTGCACAAGCAATAAGGAAAGGTAGAATAGATGAGGTAGATTATCTTGTTGAAAAGCTGATCAGTCTTCTATTTTTTGATCTCTTGCGAGGAAAGTAAGTCTTTGTTAACATGAGGAAAGGGTACAAATTAGAGTACTTGGTAGTAGACTTTGACATTTTTGTGAAATTGCTTGAAACCATGTGGGTAGGAGATTGGACCTTGATATTCTTTCGCATTGATGTGACATGGAACTTTCATGCCCATCAGACTCAAGAATATTTTCACACCTCACATCAGAATAAAGATGTTACATTTTATCTTGTTGTGCCGGCATATTCAAGTTGACCAGAAGTGTCAAATTGTCTATGGTTTAAATATGCATATTGAAAAACATTCATTCTGAAATATGAAGCTCAATATGAGATGAAGAATAAAACTGACAGGGATTGCTAAGGATGGTATCATTACAAGCATTGTTGTTAAAATCTCTTTCTAACTTGTAGAAACTTGCGATTTTATGATTCAAATTTGGCAAAATGTTCCAACGCACCTTGGAATTTGTAATTGTAAAGGATTGATGTTGATTTATGTGTTAAGTTGTTAGAAATGGCAAAATCGCACAATATTTTGTGAGCTTAAATTAAATCATCTTGGGAAATGAATTTAAACTGGATGGATTCGACCATGACAAACACCTGTGAAATCTGATAGATTTAATTTTGTTTTCTTTTGTTAACTTGCTATTGCAGTTGGTTTATTTTTTTTCTTTTTTCTTTTCATCTAGTCTTTGCTTAACACTCTTTATATTGGCTCTCTTTGTGTGATGTATTACTATTAACCCATGAAAGTTGGCTAATTTTTTTTTAATTTGATTACTAACAGCATGTTTAAATCAATATTTATTTAGCTTTCTTCCTATGTTGCATGATCGTTGAAGGTTTGGTAGTATTAATATTGTTCAATTTCATGGTTGATGATATAGTACAAAATTTACACATAACCTTTCATGTATAGAGTCTTTATCTTATTAATGGTTTTCATAGTTCGTATCAATTTCACGATCTGATTTTGTAGACCCCCTACTGATCCTAATTAAAAATGCATTTTTAACATCCTTGATTACAAACAAAGAGTGCTGCACTCTATTCGCTTTCTGCTGTGATTATTAAGTACATGATTGTTGTTTTCAGCTTCTTCTTTTTTTCTTTTATTTTAGTATTTTTCATGTCAAGTGGTATGTTTATGGACTGAGCTGTCTTTCAGGAGTTGCTGAAGGTTTAACGATATCAGATGCATCATGTAAATGCCTGAGTTTCCCATCCTAGAGTCGTTTTTGGGATGAACATGTAATGAACTGTCCATACCTCTCCAAAAAAGATACCTGTGAAAAGTAAATAGGATCTTGATGGATATTTTCTTTTGAAACGGTCCATGTGAGTTTTTGGTGGTCGTTTGTATAGCACCGTTGGAATTTTTCTTTGAGGCTCCCTTTGTACAAGATAGGAGTTCAATAACTCAAAGAAATCACCAACATGACATTGTTGTTCTCATGATAACAAATTTTATCCTCATTTCATTTTCCCAACATTCCTTCAACCGAAGGGACTCGTGGTGGTGTGGTTCACCATGGTATATTCCTTTTATCTGCTTTCCAATTTTATGTGGTATGATTATGAGCATTTGTACCATATGGATCAGACCGAGCTACGCATAAAAGACTGGGAAAAGATGCATCCCTTGGAACCCAATATATTATTCTGATACACGCTAAAGCAGAGTAGACTCGAGTGAAAGTCTAGCTGTAAGCTAAACAAATTCCTTGTAGATAGAATATGTGTTTCTCTTCGTGTATATGGATGATGCCAGTCTCATAGAATAAATGTTTCTCTTCGTGTAGAAGCAGCCAGACAAGGAAGATTTTTCGAAGGGGCTGCCTTATCTAGCGTAGAGGAACACGTTACTAAAACAATCTTTCTTCCTGGCTAAAATATCAAAGAATGCCTCATATTGGAATGCTTCAAAAGGACTCCTGAAATAACACAATCATTATTCATGGGTTTGTTTAGGAACCGAACAGGCGGAGGATTAATTACTACAGTCAAGGGTTTTGTCCAGCTCGATGAGCAAAAGAATCTCCTCTGTTGTTTTTAAATCTTGAGTGGCATATTATTGGACTATGATCTCATCTCATGGTTTATCCACAAGAGAGAGAAATGGGTAGCTGCGTGTAAATAATTTCTTGGAGGAAGCTTCTACGAAGATTATATATTATCCTGCTCCGGGTAAGAAATCATGAAAGGATTGGTGAGAAGTAGGACCACTGGATCCCCAGCTATGGTGCCAGAGGAGTTTTCAATGATGATAGGTTCCTTTTTGACCAAGTTTGCAATTTTGGATTGGACAGTCGGTCCAGACTTTCTTTCTTTCTTTCGAGAATCAGTTTTCAATTTTATCCTTTCAATCATTTTCTATTTAAAATTTGTTTTTATTTAAAAATATATGTGACGTATATGTAGTTAATTTTTTAATTTTTTTAACAGTTAAAAACTTAAAACTTATAAATGCTTTATATTTTTCTTCAAAAGTTATTTATTTTCTCATAAATACTAAAAAGTAAACACTTAAAAAATATTTTAGAAAAAAATAAAATATCTATAAGTTATGAAATACTTTTAAAACTTATGAGAAGTTACAAAGTTAAATGAGTACACTAAGAGAAAAATCAAAATTTAAAAATAAAAAAATAATTTGAAATTAAAAATTAAAAAATTGATTCTCAAATAATTTAAAACTCATGAAATTTTTTTATCATTTAACCTTTTAAATTCATAAACAATCATTTAGCTTTTTGAATTCATGGGCAAAGCGATACGCCTTTGACTAATGGAGATAAGTTGCTTTTGCTTACATTTAAAGGAAGGATGTATGATCATATAAGCATCTCTTTCTTTTAATTTAAACCAATAAGAGTTGTTTAGATGCCATGTCCATCCTCATCAATTGTGTTATGTGAACAAGACAGGGCCTGTCATCTGTGGACCGAGTTGAATTGAGATAGTGCTCAAATAGGGGAATTGGGACCCAGTTTCAACGGTTTGCACCTACTCTCCAAACCAAAAATCATTTTCTGTGTTCCCATGTCTCGTTTTTTCTAGCAATAACTCAATTGCAAAAGTAACCCCAACCAATAAATCGTAGAAGATTTGAGTCGGTTGCTGACTCGAAACGAAATTTTCGTATTGCAATGATCTGCCCAGCCTAATTTTAGAGCACTCGATATTCTTATGTGGATTTTAAATCGATAATTCATAAGGAAAAAAGATTTTAAACCGACACGTGGATTAATGGCTGTGTCAATTTTTTTCGTGTAGCATCAAATATCCAACCTCTGTTTGCATGGTTCTCTGAAGTCTCACGTGAGAATAACAAATAGAATTCTATTTGACTTGCTGCATGTTAACAAATATTAAATATAGTGCTGATATTTAAAAAATGAAAGAAAAAGGAAAAGGAATAAAGAAAAGTCGATGCTAGGCTGTTATCACGTTCTTAGGTATGGGACCTGAAGAGAAAAATAGAGGACATGCTGGGCCATGGGGTCTTGAGAAACTGCAGAAGGGCCGGTGCGCCGGTTTAACTGAACCTCTAAACTTCTTTTCTCTGACTGAATTTAAAACCCTCAATCAAAGGAAGTGGCATTCACTTCAAGTTCCAAGTTTTTAACTCTTGCTTAGATCATCATCTTATGCAGTGTCTGTAACCTGTCCTTAAAAAAAGCACTAGAAAAAAAGGAAGTGCTCAAAATTTATTTGTTCTTTTACGTTTGTATTTTTTTTTTGGTTAGAATTCTTAATTCCTATATTTTCCTTGCATGTTTTCCTACCCTACTTTTCACTCAAAAGTTTTTTCTCCGAAATGTAAAAGGTCTGTATGAGAAGAAAAACCTAACAAACGCCACGTATTCGTCTACGGCCTTCCCCTTCCTGCTCACGTATAAATGATAAAAAAAGTGCTTGGTTTTCTCACATCTCAGAGCCATTAAAAAAATCCAATCTGTGCGATTGCTTGACTATGGTAATATATTTCCACAACCACCTAATTGACAATGGAATTAATCATAATCTAATCATAATCACCTTAGATTTAAATTTAAGCGAAAACTGTACAAATTGTCCGTTCTTTGAATATATCAATCTATTGCATTTGATTTGTTTAAGAGTCGATAAGATAATTAAATTTGATAATTAAAAAAATCTTAAATATAATTTCTAACAAATTATCAATCTCGAATTGGTTTTTACAACAATTTTTTTAATTAATATGTAGATTTCGAATCTTTAAGTTTATTTATAAAAATGAGTTAAATTTTATTATTTTTATTCTAAACAAAATTAGTTATATATTCAATATACGATAAAATAATTTAGTAAAAAATAAATAAAATGAAAATGAACCGATTTCGCTTATTCTCTTATTAAAGCCCTCTAAAATGCCGCCCCCAAAACAATAAACAAATGTTAGTCCTATTGACGAATTTGTCAAGACAAAAATATGGTTTCAACTTTTTGGTCTATGGAACCAAGCTGGATCTACTGATCATTTAATTATTATATTAAAATAATCCATAATTCTTTTTTATACAGTTATAAAGTGGCATCGGATTAGGGTTGTCTGAACCCACTATCATATTTTATATTTGTTTTAGTTTTCTCTAATCATATAATATAGAAAAAGTCAGCCTGAGTCAAATTAGAATATTAACATCTACTACATTAATTTAGATGAAGCTATGCCTACACGCAAATACATAATTATATATATAATCACATGTAAGCAGAACGAACCCGTAAGCCAGTGATCAAAGCTGATTATGATTCGCTTAAACTTGTTTAATCAAGACATTGTTCATAAAATATAGTATTATATGCTATTTGGCAAGTGGAAGAGTGGGATGGATTCCTTTGTCTGGGTTTAATATTATAATAATAATACTCGCACCTAGGTGTTGGAAAGAGCATGCTTTTACTTTTTTTTTTTTTTTTTTATTACAAATAAGAATTTTAAAACTCCTTGTAGCAAGTACCCTGTACACCCATCATACGATAGAGCAGAATGTGTAATTTATTATATCTTTTCAGTAGAATATATTATTGGCGCATTTTTTTTTCCACAATGGAAAAAAATAATAGAAGTTTGAATCGTTCTTGTATAAAATAATATCTCCGTTGTCCTTTTTCTAGGCTAAAATATTATAAAGTATGTATTTAGTGTTGGGTGTTGGATCTATAATTAATTATAGCAAAAAACCATTGAATCGGAACTACTCAATGCATTTTCGTGCGAGCATCGGAAATATTCTTTTTACTATATTTGCCTTACTACTTCCTTCACGCGCATGAATGTGGAATTCAATCACAACTTATTTGCAAGCAACGATTTTTTTTTTTTTCAGGAAACAAAATTACAGAAGATTCGACATTATGGTATTTTGTCTTTATTTTTTTTTTACCGAACTAATTATTAAAGAAATTTGTTAAATTAACCATTTTATCCTTACAAAACCACCTCATAGATTACGTGACGGGATAATAATTGGTAAGTAGTTTTGAATGTTCTATGATATTTAATTAGATTTAAATTTAAAAAAGGTCTTTAGTGGAAGAATCAAACTTTTTCTTAAATTGAAAGCCGGATTTGTAATTCAACTATGGAAATTTTGCTTGAAAGTTAGGTTTGATATCATCACGAGTAGAAAATTGAGCTCATAATCGAAACTCAAGACTCTAAGTCAATAAAATACTAATTTTGAATATTGCTTGACAAGTTAACAAATTACTGGCCATACTTTTCATTTAACAATGATGTTTTCAACTAATTTAAACATATTTTTCTCAACCAGACCAGACAAGAGGCCAACCATTAAAAAAGAAAAAGAAAAAGAAGAGAATGCGATCAACTATCACAATTCACAATTAACATATACCTGAATTTCGAGTAAAATATCCACATATGCATCGACATGAAAAAGCCCATCCGCGCTTAATGCAGGTGGGGTGCAGTTTCTGAAGAAACTACAAATACACCCTCCGGCCATAGAACATATTTTGATCAGGTCCCTCTTCCATTAATTGCACCAATATTACCCTCATATTGCTAAAATCGTGCTAACCTCTCCCTATATCAGTCGGTCGTTAATTTTCCGAGTTAAACTACCGCTAAAAACTCCAATGAGGGAGCCATTCTTCAAATTGTATAGATCATAAACTTAATTTTTTTTCTTTTTAAATTTATGTGTGTTAAAGAAGGTCCATTTTGAGATGATTGTCATTGACAATGAAGTTGTATCATTAAGACGAGTAAAGATAAGAGAGAAGCTGAGAAGAAATCAGCCCACGTGATTTTTCCTTTGCAGGTGTAATTTTAATGGGCAAAACGGGGAAAATCAACACCCCAATAACGGAAAGAAGAGATTGGTATAATTTTGTTAGATCTGAGGACATTGGTGCAATCAGTAGTAGAGAGACCCAGTTCAAACCTTACCTAATAGGTAAAGGCATAATTATATTCCAATCATTCGCGCAATCACACACCAAGGAGAGATGACTTTGCTGAGTTCATTATCGTAATTAAAAAAATTTGGCATGATATTTATTTCCTACAGTAATTAATTATATATATATATTTTCTATTTGGCATGGATCTAAATTTTATAACAGGTTGGTAATAAGCGTTGTCCAACATAAATTTGAAGACATGTTATGGACTTGTGTTTAAAAACATACGCACAAAATATACTTAAAAAAAAGTTCAAAAAAAAAAAAAAAGTGGAGAAGCTATGGCGAAATCGGATCCGAGGCCAAGCCATCACCAGCAGTTACAAACATAAAACTAGTTCTGTACACATTCAGCCAATGCATTTCAACTTTACTCGCTCGCCTCTCGCTGTCGTGATTGCTGCCTTGGATCGTGCTTTCTTTTACACGTGGCTTTTCTTTCTAAGAAAAATTCCCGTACCGTCAACACGCGCTGATATATTCACACTCGCCTTCTAAATTCCACGCCTTTTATTTCTCATAGAAAAGCAAGAGAAGCACACCTATAGCAACGCGATTATATAGCTTGAAGAAATAAAAAGCATCCAGTAGATTCAAGGATGGGCCGTGGCTTCTTTCCCACCTGTCATGGAGCCGCACGCATCCTCTTTTTCTCTTTCAGATGAATGACGTCATCTCATAGCCACGTCAGACAAACCAGAAATTCTGTAGACCTCCTATCCTATCAATGGTCCTTATCATATTCGCACAACTTCCGTGACTGAGACTCGAGTTCAATAATAATCACCAGACCCTCCAACGCTGCCCAAAGAATATGGACCGTTTGATTGAATCATACCGACGGCGAAGATCTCAGGCTTCTTTGTGAAGCACGAGGTAGTTGGTTGTGAGGTGCCAGGTCAGACTTACTTTTCTTATATGGTTCGTCAAAATTAAGAAACGTCCACGTCGGATTCTTATCCAACGGCGATTGAGGCTTCTACCGAAGCAAAACAAACAATCTTATTCGTCAAATTAGATTGCGGGTCCCGCTTAAAGTACTTTGGTTGTGAAGTGGGCCTTACTGATTTTGACCGGCTGGATCGGTTGTTTCGGGACTCTAGCCCCACGTGATTATTGTATCCTCTTTTTGTGGACTTTACGTTCATTTTTTAAAGGGTAACCGGCTGCATTGAAAAAGATATTTGCTTTCCGGTTTTCTTCACGAATGAGCTCTAGACAAGTGTACAGAGCAGTGGGATCCACTAGTGACCTGTTAAGCAACCTGAGCATACAACCCCTTAATGAAAACGAACCCCTTCAAGTGCCTAAAGCGCGTGGGTGTAAGAGATGCTGATCGTAAAATGAAATGGAAAAAGATAATTAAAAAGATATAAAAGGACACGTGGCATCATTTTTTGCAGTGTCGTATATTCCGAGAAATCATTAGTATGCTATGAGTTGTGTTCATTTATCTCCTCAAAACATGAAAATCGTTATTGAAATCACTTATGAAAATTATGAATGTATCACAATATCATGTGGTAGATTACAGTTCCCTTAGACTAGATAATTCTTCACTACATTCTATTGGAGACAAGGACGTATCTGCCACGTTGGCTCCTGTCAGCTAGCCGTCCGATTAATATCAATCCAATGGTAATAACTAACGCTAAGAAGCAAGTGATTAATCCGACCCGTCCATCATTGGCATGGGAGTAGGTTAGGCGTTGAGTGAATGTACATGATATGATAACGCTACTAAAAATCAGAAAAAGAGAGGAGATTTATTGAGTGCGCAAAAAGAACACAGAGAGCAACCAGGTGAAAGAAAGAAAGAAAAGACAGAAGGTCAGCCAAAGCGCCCAAGAGAAGAGAAATACAGAGAGAGAGAGAGAGAGAGAGAGAGAGAGCATTAGTTCATTATCTGATTCGGTTCTTCATGTTTATTTCTTTCTCTTCTAGATAACATTCCTTTGCAGAAATCTGAAATTTTTCCTTCTTGTTGTCGCCGGCGATTATGGTGAATTTCCGGCTAGGCAGTTGTTTATCCGGTAACTATTAGATATTGAGTGTTACAAAGAGGTGGTCACAATTTATGGATAGAAATAGAGAAGGTAGAAGATCATCAAATATGGCAGCCTCTAACGGATTATCAAGACGGCGACAGCAGAGAACTACAAGAGATTCTCCTGGTAAAAAACTTAATATTTGAGCTAGTTATTCATGTACCTAAATAACTGAACTGTTTTTTTTCTTCTTTTTGCAGAGGATGATGGACAAACAGAGTTGCAAGAAACGGCGAGGCTGAGAGATAGAGGAGGGAGTAAGAGGGAAAGAGATCGAGAATTATTGAGTAGGAATAAGCGGAGTAGAAGAGGAGGAGGAGGAGGAGGAGGAGGAGGAGATAGGTTAGTACAAGGAGGTAATAAAGAAGAAGGAGAAGAAACTACCGAAGAAAGCATCGGTTATGAAGATGACTATGAGATTGAAGATGGTGGAGTTTCTCGGTTGCGGCTGCCGCCGAGAGTTGTAAAACAAGTTCCCGGTTTTAGAGTCGCCGCTGATGAAATGATTGGTGTCTCCGTACCTAGAAAGGCACGGTCAGGTAAAAGAATTTGTAGATTGAGTAGTGTTTTGTTTGGACTTTTATTCTCGGGAGATTTAATTGTGATTTTTGGTTTTGCAGCTTCTGTGAAGAGGTCACATGAGAGTTGGGTATCAGGAAATGGTGGATTTGGTAGTGAAGACAGGCGAGCTTCGATTTCACCGGCGGCGAGTAGGAGTTTTGAGGCTGCATCGCCGCCTTCATCGAATGTTTCAGTCAGAAAAAAGACGGTTTGTATTATTATTATTTGCTTTTTTGCTGCTTACTTTTTCTGATATTTGGACTGCATTTGAAGGATGGCTATTTTTTGTTATTTGCAGAAACCCAGTGGACCGAAGACTCGGCTTCCAAAAGTGTCGAAATCTTCTGCTAGTTCAGGTCAGGAAGATATTGAGATTGAGATTGCAGAGTTTTTGTATGGTTTAAAGAAGCAATCACACGGGTCTGAGAAGGGGGACAAGTCTGAAAATGCTTTGCAGAAGCTTGATTCAATGGATGCTAATGATTCAAAGTCATCTCCAAATTCAAACTTTGCTCAGACGTCGTTATCGAACCAAAATAATGCCTCTGTTTCTGATTCTTTACTTGGTTTGGGTGAGTTTATTTAGCTCTCAGTCCAGATTGTGGAGACGGATATTTTATGATATTTGTGTTTTAATTTCATTTCTAATGACATTTGCAGCGTCGAAGAAGCAGAAAATGGATGCTGATTCGGTTGTGGTTAAAAATAGTTTAATTGTTTTGTCAGTTACAGATGAAAGGGAGGATGCAAAAATGGAAGTTTCTTCCCCAAAATCAGGAAAAACATCATTTTACGCAGAATCATGTGAGGTTTCACATCAAATGGTTGCTTCTAAGCTTGCGACAGGGTCACTGGAGTCACAGGAGGACGCAATTAAACAACTGGATTCGAAACCGGCAGTTGAAGAATCTGGGGTCTCAACCAACGAAAAACCTGTATTGTCAGAAGGGAAGTCGTCTGTGTGCAATAAATTGGATGTTGATTTACATGATTCCATGTTGAAAAAATCGTGAGTATCCAAAATCCTTTTTTTTTTTTTTTGACATTTCAGATATCTAATTAAATATCCCATTTTCTCATCGTTTTCCTTGCTTCATCTGGTGGGGTTCTTCAGGACTTCAACCATGTCAAAGGTAGAGAGCCAGCGAGAGGAGAAGTTCAAGATCGATCTGATGGTGAGGATCTATCTTGTCGCATTCCGATTACATTTCCATTGGTATTTTGCTGTTGAAATTTCTCAAGACGAGTAATGGCTTTCCAACAGGCTCCTCCTCCCATGGTGTCTTCTCCAGAACGAGATGGCTTTGTTGATTTGTCATCGGATCCTAAGCCTACAGCCCAAGATGTGGAAATGGTGTGCATTTACTTGATAGCTAATTCACCTTCCCCTGTTTTTGTTAAAACTTGGATTTGACTATTTGACCTTTTGTGGTATCTTGTTTTACTTGGAACTCGAGCTCAATCAATTCTATGTTATGCTGCAGAAAATGAAAAACACGGTTAAGAATGAAGAATCGGCGGACAGTCTGGGGAAGAAGGAAGGAGTGGTTATTGAAGAGAAGGTAAAGACAGTTGGAGAAAAGTGTGGATCAAAACTTGATTTTGAGAACCCAAATCGCAATGTGCAGCAGAAACTGCAGCCTAAAGCGACCACTCCTAAAGTGGAGACAACTGGTAATTCAAAGCTTCAACTTGGGGTTCAGCGTGATGACTTTAAGAGCTGTTGTTTCGCTTGCGTTTTTACCCTGTGAGATTATTGACGATTTCTTCCTCTTCCTCCTCCTCCTCCTCTTTTATCAGCTCAATCTGGTTCGGTGCCTTTGCCAATTACTTTACCGGGCTGGCCAAGTAATCTTCCGCCTCTGGGGTGCGATATCTAAGCCTTCATTTTCTTCTCAATCTTTGCGTTAGATATTCCTTGCCGTCCGAATTGATTTATAATTAGGAAGTAACTCATGTTATTTGCAGATACATGCCTTCCTTTCAGACAGTTGTGCCCATGGATGGGACAAACGGATCATCCAAGGCAATACAGGTATTATATGCCAGCTTTTCTTCTTTTTTTTCCCCCAAGGCCCCAACCTTGACATATATTTTGGGTTTTTCATTTTGAATTTGTCGTTGAATTATCAAAAAATGTGCAACCTCCCCAGTTTATCCCTCAACCTCGGCCAAAGAGATGTGCAACCCACCATTATATTGCTTGCAATGTTCGCTTGCTCCAGCAATTAACAAAGACGAACCATTTATGGCCAGCAGCAACTGGCTCTGCTTCTCTATGTGGAAACAAACCCAAGAACCTCAATGCAATGCCTTCTGCAGAAAACATGATTATTGGGAACCCATTGCAAAGGAGCTTTCCAGTTGTCAATCTAAATCCTACCCAGGACAAAGCACAGGCTGTGGCAACAGTTTTTACTCGAAAGGACAGAAGCTCTGAGAGTGCCACCTTGATAGATACAGCACAGAAGAAGCAGCTCGTGCTTCACCAGCCTCCACAGCCAGCCCCGGCTGGTAATTTAATGGTAAGGTCTTGCCATGTGCAATTTAGTTTAATTTTTGAGTTTACAGTGTGGATTTTTGCTAAGATTGTCAAAAAGGTATGGTTGTGTAAAGTTATTGATGCCTTTTGTTTTAAATTGTAGCATGGCCCTGCTTTCATCTTCCCTCTCAATCAGCATCAAGCGTCCACAGCCGCAACGACAAGTCAAACTGGACCTTCCAAATCTGCTTCCTCAATCAACAATGCATCATTGTCTGGCAATGCGATATCTGGAGTAACAACAAACTCTTCAGCGTTGCCTGCAATGGCTACAGCTGTGAGCTTTAGTTACCCTAATTTGGCAGCCAATGAAACTCCATACTTGACAATTATACCAAACAATGGTTATCCATTCCCTATCTCCACTCCTGTTGGAAACGCACCAACATTTAGAGGGGGAACCCCTGCTCATGCATTGTCTTTCTTTAATGGGTCGTTCTACTCATCTCAGATGTTACATCCATCCCAGCTTCAGCAGCAACAATCTCAAGCTGTAGTCCAACCAGGACATCAGAATGCAAGTACTTCAAGTGGCTCATCATCATCTCACAAGCAACCCCAAATCCAGCAACAACGAGGGGCACATGTTAGCAGCAATAATTTTTTGACCTCGACAATGATGCAGTCACAGCATCATGTGCCATCCCATCACTCTCGGAAGCTTGACGCTGAGATGAGTGGAGAGAGCACCCCAATAATTGCTGATACCCGAGCCTCTAACAAAATAAGTGTTCGTGGCCCGAATTTTATGGTTCCTCTTCAGCCAAACTTTGGTTTAATGGCTTCGACAACTGTTGGTGGCAATGGAAATCATGGTGAGAAGCAGCAGCAGCAACATCAGCTGTCACAAGAAAAGAACTTAAAGGGTGGAGTAGAGCTTGTCCCCTCTCAAGCATTTGCAATGTCATTTGCCTCTTTCAATGGAAGCAAGACAGTATCAAATCTTAATTTCTCAGCTATGGCACAAAATCCTCCCATCTTACAAAGCTTCCCAGACATGACACGACAGGGGTACCAGGTTGTATCAGCTGCTCAAGCCACACAAAAGAAGAATCACCAGCTGTCTGAAGGGAAGACTGGAAGCAGTTCAACCAATGCTGACGATGGAAAAAAACCTACATTGGGAAGGTCATCTACAGGTGTTGGGCAGACCCTTATTTTTGATAATTCAGCCAGAACTCTCAACTTTGTGTCGTCACCTTTCGCTGGAAACTGGCCTTCTAATTCTATCACCACAACCACAAGCATTCCAAAGGCTGCTAATTCAAGCTCAACTTCTCAGCCACAACAGCTAGTTCAGCATCAGAAGCAACATGTTTTGCACCAACAGCTGCAGCAGCCTATTGGTGCAGCTGAAAGTAAAGCACTAACATCTAGCAGCCTGCCTTCGCCTTCCATTGGTGCCAAATTTTCAAATAATGCTCCCATTTATTCTCAAACTCAAGCTCGGGGCAATTGTTCTCCTCAAAATCCCCAGTGGAAGAACTCGTCCAGAACTCCTTCCTCACAGTCCCCACTTACATCTCTCTCCACATCCAACACAGTTCATAAGAATGCTTCCCAGCAAGGAAGAGCACCACAAGGCCATAGCCAAATATCATTTGGGCCAAATTCCAAGTCTGCTTTGCCACCACAAGGGCAACAAATATCCTCTAGTAACCAGTCTCCATCTAGTGGTGGCAACTCCAGAACAACTTCAACGAAGGCCAAGGCTAATTCATCAGTTCCTGTCATACAGTCACAGCAGAGCGACAACTCCTCAAGTGGGAATGCCCAGAAGTCCCCAGTTTGTGGTAGGAATGTGCCTTCAATCTTGAGCGCATGTCCCAGCCACCTTTCTGAATTGAAGTACTAGACTCGTGTTTGATAGGAGTACTGCCCATATATTGGATGTGTTCATCAAGTACCCGTTGTTCTGACTGCCATCTAGGTCTCAAATTTGGATGGTGCAAAGGGTATTTGTGGCCAATTTAAAGGTGTGGGGCAGCTTGTTCTGCTTCTATCATTGCTTCCCATTTTACTGCCAATTTATTGCTTTCCTGCTCAAATCCAAAGCCATGGGAGCTGGATAGCAAGGACTAGAAAACAGTTAATCTCTCCCTGAACTTGGAGGAGTTGGGGGATTTGCATTGTAATAGGCAGACCAATTCGTGGTGGGGGGGAACTGGCAATTTAAGACGTCTGCTGGCATTTCATGAAGTAATGAATTATTGTTGGCGAGGAAGATTCATTGCAAGTTAGATTTTATGACAAAGGTAGAACTGTTCTTCTCATTTAGCTTTTATGAGTTTGGCAAGGATGTGAATAAGAAGACATGATTATGGAAAGGGGAGATATGCTTTTTATGTTAGGCGTACAGTTTTTGATGTTAATTTAGTTGGGAACTACCATATTTGAACCTCGCTCATCGGCAGACCTATCATGTAGTTGCAACTGGGGTAGTTTAAGGCTATTGGTAGTTGATAGGGTCCAATTTGATTTGATTTATGTAATGTGATGCTGATTTGTAAATACGATAATGTTTAACATAGAATAGAAGACAATGTCCTTGAGGCTGAGAGTTCTATTCTTTGATTACCTAACTGTTTATACATTTTGAATCCGTTTATCCTATGTTTGTTGATTGACTAAGGCTTGGTTAGGCAAAAGAGGACGGGTGTGGGGACCATGATGGTTTGAAGTCAGAAAATGTCCTTGAGGCTGAGAGTTCTATTCTCATTGCACAAGTTTGTTTGTTTGTTTTTTTTTTTTTCCGGTTTTTTTGGACATTCCTGGGATAGGATGTGAAAGATGGATGTGTTCCGAATAGAAGATGCCTATGTGTGGAACTCTGATACAGGAAAGCACGCATGTGGAACTCTGAAAAATGGAAAACAAAAACAGAGAAAAAGAAACCACATTATGGGGCGTTTAATAAGACATCAGCATTGCTGTTTGGGTAATTGCATTATCATGACTCCCAGATCCACGAAGTTTAATACAGTGATACTGCGAGTTCATCATTTCATATTTATTCCAATAAAAGTGGGTACAGTATTCTAAGGGAAAAAAGAAAAAGAAAAAGAAAAGAAAAGGTGCAGATACTACTATATTAGCTATTACTGCTTGTGGAGATAGGAACATATGGAAGTGAAATAATTCCTTAATTGACAAGATGCCAAGGAGATTCTCAATTTCCTCTTATATTAGCCATTTTGGATCCATCCAATGCTTAGAAAGAACGTGAAAAAAAGCAGATTTAGTATAAGCTTGACATAAACAAAGATTAAAATGAAGGGCAACTGACTGAAAGGACAAACAAAAAAAGTTGTAAATTGTGACGAACCCAAAAAAAAAAAAAAAAAGCACCAGGTGACAGGCCTGGATCATTAAGGACAAGTAATAAAAAGCACGCTTATACCATGAATGCAATCAGGGTGAGAGGGGAGACCTATGTTGCTCTTATCCAAATCATCTCAAAAGCTCTCTCCATAAATTCAGTTTTAGCAAAACAAATCCGTATCAAATAGCGTACAGGCTCTAGTAACAAAGACTTATATCTGCCAAAATCCTCCATACAACGGGGTCATATCCCTGATGAGAGTCCGGCTGTGTTTGGAAGGATGCATGATATGCCAGTTCAAACAAACACAGTCAGTGTTCTTCCAGATTTCATCCAGCATATTCTACAATCATCAAACATCTACTTGAAGGAGAGATGCCAACTTGCTTTCTATGTCTTCTTTGGCTTGTTTATCAAATGGATCCTCTCCGATATATAGATCTAAAATCGATCGGCAGAGGAGTTTGCTCTGGATACTTCCCATTTCCATCCCATTAACTATAGAAATTAAATTCAAATGAAATTAAATATTCACACATGATTCGCAACAATAATAAAGGCAGTGATGGAAATATAGCAAAATTGTTAATACATTAACACCACATTACAGAGTATGTAACCTGCATTAGATCACCAAGGCATTACTTGATCTTGAATATATCAGCTCATTACCGAACTCGTAAATGCACTCAATAACCATTGTTAAACTGATATTTTGGTCTACTAATTTGGTGGAGCCTGCCTCATAACTCAACATTGACCACTTTAAAGTTTTGTCGTATTCATTTATATTTCTGATTGCTTTTTTTTTTTTTTTTTTTTGAATCTAATTACTCATGTTAGAATATCCCCACTACTCGACACGATTAATAATTTCCACAGAGACCAGCAAATCCTATTTCAGAACTATTTTGCTCGGTTGTACAAATTTTGATGATTTAATGTCTTCAATCCAGTTACAGAGAATCATCAAAATGGTTAGAGATGAAGAAGAAATCATGGCATAAACAATCAGTGATAAAAAACCAAATGTTGAACCATGAAGGATAGCGATCAGTTGTAAGGTTATTTGTCTTAAAACTTTCTTAAGACATGCGTCAAAAAAATAAATAGAAAAAAATAGGGAGGTCTCACTTGTTGTGCGAAGTACATGGCCATGCTCCCTTGAAAGCTCTATCACAGAACCCCGCGGTATTTTATATTCATCCTTGAACTGTGAAGTGAACCTGCACTTAAATTGGCTATTAGAGGAATAGAAATTTACAAGAGTATGTAACATATGAAAACTGATTGACCAAAACAGAATCAACCACTGGCTCTAAGGCAATCACAATTCACAACTAGTAATATTTAATGACTTGGCCTTCTAAAATTCTAGGAACAAAATTAAAGAAGGAATCTGTGGTCAGACAAAAAACACTCTCTACTAAACATTAACAAGAAGGAAATACGTAGAATGAATATATTGCTGCAGAAGTACCAAAACAGCAAATAATTCTTATAGTAAGCTCCACAGCTGCAATATTTCAGATTTGTAAGCCTTCAAAATTTCATGTCTCATTAAATTCATTTATTATTTTTACTAATTGAAAAGATAAAAAAAGTACCTCTGAAGCAACTCTTTGTTATCCTGTTCCCCAAACTTTTGCAGTCTGCTTCCGACAGACTCTTCAAAAGCACTTCTCACAGAGCGAATGCTGAGCTTACTATAGACTATCTGAAGTCTAATAGTCATGCAAATATCACCGTCCATAAGACCCTCTTTGAACTCCTTGCGTTCCTTGAGTTCAGAAACAGAGAGTTTCCCGTGTTTTTCACCCAGAATGTTCCTCACTTCATCAGCATCCGCATAAACACCTGTCGATTGACCTATTTACATTAAACGAAGAATTGACCAGTTCTCTCATCCTTGAAGACTTCTATTCACATTTACAACTAGCAAACTAAATACTGCACACATATAGGTACTAATTCACATCAACCACCGCCCCTCAATTGGCCTCAGTTCTGCCAAATATACCGTCACATTTCTAAACTGAACCAAACTCTAACTATGAAAGCAACTAGTACAAAATTTGTCCCTGACTACACTAATCTACCTCTAAACAAGCAACAACTCCAACTTAACTATAAAGATATTACTACATAGCTAGCAATTTCCTTTCTTTAATTAGCAAAGATCAAGCCATTTTTTTGCTTCTAAAACCACAATAGCAAGTTCAAATTAAACATTATCGCTCACAAATAAAACACACAATGTCCATTTTCCATAAATTAAATGCGAGAAAAATAATACTTATACATGAATTTCAGTGAATGTGATTACCAAATGCGTAGACATCAATGTTTTTTAATCCCAAGATTCTCTTTTTACGCAACCCAATTCCCAAAAGTCTCCGAGACTCGAAAATAACCGAAGGAAATGATGCTCCGGTCTTCGCTTCCACAACTGAAGGTAAAGGGTCTGCTAGAGAGAGCGAAGCCCAGGGTGCTAGCAAGTGATTGGAGAAGAGAAAATTAAGTGCGTTTTGGATGAATGGGTTTTCTTGTTTTGTGTTTTTGGATTTATGAGTGGCTGCGATGCCTGCAAATGCTGCAGCTCCAGCTGCAACGGCACATGCCACGGCGGTTGTGGTGGCCGAAAAAGGGCGGGATGTGGTGGCACGGGAAATACCGTTGGGGTGTTTCTTGGGCTGAGAAAACAAGAACGGGAAGCGCAGAGAAACCATTTTTTCCTAATTCTTTTTGTCTCTTTATATTAAAACATTGATTTATATAGGGGCTTTGGGGTGGCACGTGACTTGCACGTTTGAAGAAACTGGATTTTGTTTTGGGTCGAACTTTGAAGAAAGAAAAGCCTAATAGTAACTTTGGGCTGATTAATATATGTTCTTTAGAAACTTTAATGGGCTTCCGTAGTCCAGACCAAGCCCGGGATGAAAAGTAATTTTCCTAACTATCAGAGATTGGAACTTAGAAGTTGCAACAGGCATGTTTTTTCAGAGCAATTTGGGCCAGGCTACCATGTGTGACCTAACGACCAAAACTGAAATCCAATTCAAAACACTTTTAACACGATTTTAATGGATAGTTTCAAACTTCGGCCTACGGTTCCATGGTTTCTAGCAAAGTTATGAAATGAAGCCAGAGGCCGAGAAGTGAAGACCAGACGTGTTGGGCATGTCCCTGACATGCATAAAAAAAGTCACCTCAATTTTATTTTATTTTATTTTATTTTTTTACAAATTTGAGTTGAATGTTTCGATAACTTCAACAACTAAATAATTATTCCATATCCTCAATATCAGTGGAATTTGTTGGTGGCATGTATATTTTGAGCAAAATATTGGAAACAATATAGAATTGCCAATTAAGTAATTAGGTACTTCATTTTGTACAAATCTAAAGTTCTTAAGAGACAATTATATATAATATTAATTTGTAGAATTTGTACATCTTTCTTAATTATTATGAACGTTCTCAATTGTATCGCCTGAATAAGAGGCAACAGTTTTGATAATTATCTCAATATCAGTACAAAACATAAAAGAAATTGAGGAAGAAATAATATAGCACATCAACTTTGATTTACTCATTCGAACATCCAACTTCACTGGCTAGATGGTTTGGTGCTTAGACTTGTTCGGCTTTATTCTTTTTAATTTTTTATAAGAAAAAATTTATAAATAATAATTTTAAAAAACGAGAGAGAAATTAAGAGACTAAATCCACTACACACATGAGATAAGAATTTAATAAAAAATTATCTACATGAGTAGTCATGTTTCAATAAAAAATACAATTTTCAAACTCATTATAAAGGATTATCCAATTCCAATATCAAAATAGCAATTTCCAAACCTAACATAATCTTGTCTCAATAGAAATAACAAATTTCAACATAAGATTACAACGGCTTATCAATTTCAATACCAAATCCTATCTCAGTAGAAAATATAATTTTCAAATAGAAAACGACAAGTTATTCAATTCAAATGTAAAAGAAGCAATTTATAAGCATGATAGCCATTTCTCAGTAAAAAATATAATTTTCAAATATAGTGCAGTTGGTTATCCAATTTCAATGCTAAAGAGGCAACTTTCAAGAATGAAAAAAATCATATATCGATAGAAAATAAAAATTTCAAACATAATACAATTGTTTATAAAATTTCATTTTCAAAGATATAATTTTCAAAAATAACAGAGTCTTGTTTTCATGTAAAATACAATTTTCAAACATAATACAACGATTTATCCAATTTGAATGCAAAATAGACAATTCTCAAGCATGACATATGAGATTATCCAATTTCAAAACCACAAATAACAACAACAAAACCTAAAAATAAAAATAAAATAGAAGTTATTGTTTTATCTAATCTACATGCATGTCTATGCTAATTATCTCTTTCTTTAGAGTTATTATTAAAAAAAAAACCTCTAAAAAGATACAAAAATTCATTATTTAATCAATTAAGCACTGTATTTATGTACAAATTATTATTTCTGAAAGTCTTCTCCTTATTGCAATTCAAGTGAACAACGTAAAGCAACAAAAATTAAAATCAAATATTACGGAGTTTAATAAACTTGTATATTTACACATGATTTGCAACAATTATAAAAGCAAATCCTATAACTCAACAGGACCACTTTAAAGTTTTGTCGCTGTCGTTTTTATTTTCGATTGTTTTTTTTTTTTTTTTAATTTGAATCTAATTACTCCTTTTATAATATCCCCTAAGCACATAGATGAACAATTTCCGTAAAGATACCAACAAATCACATATCACAACTTATTTGTTAGGTTGCAAAATTTTTGATACCTTAACTGTCTTCAATCTAGCTCCAAAGAATCATCAGAAGTGGTCAGAGATGAAGAAGAAATCATGGCATCAACGCAATCAGTGATAAAAATCAAATGTTGAACCATTAAGGATAACGATTAGTTGTTTGGTTATTAATGTGTCCAAATTAGGGTATAGATTATTTGTAGTGATCTAAAGCTTGTTCTATTCAATTTAAAGGTAAAAATAAGATAATAGGATAAGAAATTCTTAAAATTGAATTGATATTATGCACAATTCAATAAGGAGAGGCTGAATTGTCACACCCAAAGAATGTGAAGTGACAAGATTCAAGATTGTTTGTCACTAAACTAATTAGATAAGAACTTTGATAATTAAGAAATAAATCTCTCAAATAATTCTGTATTATTTATCGTCCCTTTTCAAATAAAGGAACAAGTCTCCTTTATATAGCTGAAACACATTCTTAATTCATAGTTAAAAACTATAGTTATACACTTATTCAAAATAAAGTCCCAAACCAATGAAACAAATTCGTAATTAAATGAGTTGACAAGGAAACAAATTGGTCATTAAAATTGTATCGACCAAATCCTTTCATGATACTCCCATGAGATTCTAATCCTCCATGCAAACTCCAGCTAACAAACAAGTGATCTGCTATGACCCAAGCCCCTCAAAACAATGAATCACATTTCATCACAAGATCAAGATAGACTTGAAGCTTTCTTGCACGAACTATTGTTATTGTACCTGTGCTCTTGCATATGTCATCAATTTGCATGCCATTCGAAACATGATACTCGTAAATTATTTCTGTTAAATTTTCGTAAGAAAAGCATAGAAAAAAATAAAAAAATAGGGAGGTCTCACTTGTTGTGCGAAGTCCATGTCCATGCTCCCTCGAAACCTATATCACCGCGTGGAATTTTATATCCATCCTTGAACCGTGGCTTGAACCTACACATAAATTGGCTATTAGAGGAATAGAAACGTACAAGACTGTGAAATTAACATATGAAAACTGATTAAACAAAACTGAATCACCAACTGGTTCCAAGGCAATCACAATTCACATCCAGTACTATTTAATGACTGGGCCTTCTGAAATTCTTGGAACAAAATTAAAGAAGGAATCTGTTGTCAGACAAAAAACACTTTCTACTAACCATCAACAAGAAGGTGTTTTCTTGTTTTGCGTTTTTGGAGTTGTGGTGTGGGTGGCTGTTATGCATGCAAATCCTGCAGCTTCGGCTAGAACGGCACATGCCACGGTGTTTGTGGTGGTGGAGAAAGGGCGGGATGTGGTGGCCGAAAGATACAATTGGGGTGTTTCTTGGGCTGAGAAAACAGGAACCGGGAAGAGCAGGGAAACCATTATTTTTTTAAAAAATTCATTTTGTTTCTTTCTTTCTTTTTTTGATTAATGGGAGAGCCTAAGCTCTAAGCAAAACACATGCTATTACAAAGATCGAGGGAAAGAAACTTTATAAATATACTCTCGAAGGAGGTTACAATATTCTATTAGAAGCTTGCAAAAAAACAAAATACCTAAAAAAAGATAATAAATACACGATGCAAGATAGTCAGTCATCCAATTGATTTCTTTAAAATAACTTACACTTGCTCAAGGTTTATGAAGCCAACCAAGAATTATGGAGGTAAATTGATGATATATAGACCATAATGATCCTTTGAAGATCAAATTAAGTTGACTGCAGCCAAAGAGTCTTATTCTAAAATAATATGTGACATCCCAGCTTTCATGCCATTTCTTTCTAAATCAATAATATGTGGCACGCGACTTGCACGTTTGGTGAAACTGGATTTTGGGTTGGATTGAAATTTGAACAAAGAAAAGCCTAATAGTAACTTTGGGCTGTTTAAGATGTGTCCCTTAGAAACTTTAATGGGTTTTAATAGTCCACATGACGCCCATTATGAACATTAATTTAATGATCAGAGACTGGAAGTTGCAATTGGCATGTTTTCCAGCAATCTGGACCAGGCTAGCAAGTGTGAACTGATGTATGACCAGATTCGTTCATGGTTACTGATGTATGAACAGTTATCCTTCTCGTTAATTGATTTAGAAAATATCATATTTATTTTTTGAAAATAAAATCCCTTTTGAATATAGAGAAATTTATTTTGAAAAGGTACTGTAAGATCAATGCATTTGGAAGTTTGGAATTTTCCATATATAGGCATCATCGTAGAAATTGCCAATATTCATGGATAAAGATTCCAAGAATTAATTCTAATTTAAAGTACTTTCAAAACAATTTTAATGAGATGACTTAAGATTTTGGCCTACGATTCCGTGGTTTCTCCATTAGTACAAGTCAGTATGCGCAGAGAAAAATGAATTGCACTTTGTTGTCATTGGTTCTTACTCTCCAAAAAATTAATTTGCTTAGGATCAACTACCCAGATTTACTAATTGAAACTGATGTGGGAAATCAAAACAGGATATAAAAAAAAAAACCTCACTGCTTTGAACTTTGGCATGTACATATGATACTACGATAGTTCTTAAGCATTTAGGTATAGTGACAAACTAGTTTTTTTACTCGGTGTTATATTACAAATCGGATAGAATATATAAAATTATTTTTAAAAAATTATTTTATTTCGATATTCCGTGTTATATTGTACATATATCAAAATGTATCAAATCAAAATTGAATAAAAATTCATTCAATTATATAATTTTTTAATCAAATTTTTGTATTTAATCGATTATTCTTTATATTTTTCATAAAAAAATTTTTATTAAAAAAAATTATTTATTTATCTCTATCCACAAACTAAAAAATTTTATAATAGTAAAAAAATGTCAAAATCAATAGATTCTTAACTAAAAACTTATTTTATAAATTGTTTTTTCTAAATATTTTTTTATCTTAAAATTTTTAATTCAAAAAATCAGAGAAAAATAAGAAAGGACTAAAGTAACCAAAATGAAATAAAAAGACAAAAAAATTAAACAAAAAATATTTACGAATTAGAAAAACAATGTTTAAAAAAGAAGGATTAAAGTGTAATGTCGTAAAAATTTTCATAATAAATATTTTTAAAATATTTAAAAACCTATAATAATACTAGTGCATATTGAAAAGAATAATGCGTTTTAGTCTTGGTGAATTATAGGAATAAATATGAATAAATAGTATTACAAATAGTATAATAAATAACTATTGTTTTATTTTAGTTTTTTTTTTTCATAGTAAGACATGAAGTGTGTTTTTGTTGGGCCGACGGGGGGAATAGTTGGACGGAGGAAACAGCATCTCTGACTAACAAGTCGTTGTTGTTATTGTCGTATTTCTTCTTCCTACAACTCGCTTAATTTTTTAGGGAAAGAAGAAAATAAAAACTAATTAGGAGGTCGAACAGGTCCCGCAACAGTCAATTTGTGTAGCCTTACTTCTCTTTCACATGAGAAATTAAAATAAGCTGACGACCAATGTCAGGTTAATGAAGGATATTTGGCGAGTAAAATGTCAGTTCACTAGAGTCTGCAGTGATCTACTTGTCAGTCGAAACCTTAACGTAGTTAAGGTTTAGCAAAGTTAAATCATATAAGTTAAAAGTCAGCAGACAATCTCTTCTTCAATGATGTGAAGTTAATTGTATTAAGTAGAACGTGGTTGGGCCATCAACCAAGCAAATTGGAGGCATATGTGCTGTTAAGAAATTAGTCACATCATTATGTGCAAATAAAAAATAATTAAACACTTACAGAGATAAAATCATTATGTGCATGCATGAGGCCAGTAGCATGTAAAATTCTGGCATTTTCCTATAAGCATATATATAGAGGTCAAAAAAGGCATCTCGTTTGCTTATAATTTGGTTCAATGTGAGTAGGAATCTCATGATAGGGAACTAGAGAGCACAAAATTAAACATGGAGAGCATCCGGTCAGAACATATATTCAATCTCAGTAGCTATCTAGCATGCATTAGAAGAATTTTGTGTACCCATGCATGACAGGTGTTTTTTTTTTTTTGTTTTTTTATCCCTCTGAAGTGAGACTCTGTTCTCCCTTTTTCCTCGTGCCTTTCTGGTCTACTTTGCTAATTTAAGACTAGCTTATAAAAATTATTAAAAAAAAAAAAAAAAGTAAGTATTTTAGTTTAAGACTGGCCGTAATATTGCGTTGTATATCTACATGGACAACAATTTCCTTCAATCCAGTTCATTTGGAGGAAACTTTCCTTCTATCTATAGATATGGTAATGTTAGAACATGTGTTGGCTAAATTGGTTGTGTTTTCAAATGAAAGTTTTCTCTTATCACTTGTTTTCCATATAAATAGATAAGTTTTTTTTTACACATATTGTCTTTAAAGCATAACACCTGTTTGCAAGAGGAAGTTTGCTATAAAGAAAATTATACTATGTAGGAGTATCTTTTTTCATGGATATCCAAAATTGATGGCTTTAAAGTACTCGTCTAGGCGATGTTTTGTTTAAACACACACAAATATTATTAGTTTAAAAAATATCTCAATTAACAGGCTATTGTGGTAATGAGATCACCGATTGGCATCATTGAATAGATGTTAGTCATAAACTGGTGGGCAGAAAGAATCAAACTAGAAAAAACTGCCAGATTCCATATAGAAACAAACACTCACAAAAGGTTTTTGAGACAATTGCTTTTGTTGGTTCATTAGGAGTCCTAAGCAAAAGCATAATTATATGTGCTATAATTAATCTGCTCACATCCTGTTGGAGGGTGTGATGATTGTGTTTGATTGATTGTTTTCTGGGCATCAATGGGTTTTCTCTCGAAAGTTGTTGAAATGAACTGTGGTAATTTTGAGCTTGCCGACATCTTTTATGATTTGAGGAGACATTATTATTTCAGAAAGTTATAAGTCTTTTCAGTTGATAATATATACAATTTGACTTCAAAATTTCATGGAGAAATCCTATTTTATTTTAACAAAAGCCAAGCGTGAAAGGACATACTTTATTTCATAGGTATCTTTTCTAGCAAAATAATGAAAGGGAGCTAGACGGCGAGAATTGAAGACCATACGTATTGGTCCGGTTCCTGAGACGGAGAGACGCACTAAAAAAGTTGCCTCAATTTTATATCCTCAACATCAGTGGAAGTTGTTGCTGGCATGTATAATTTGAGCTAATGTTGGAAGCATGATAGAATTGGCAATTAAGTAATTAGGTACTTTATTTTTTCATTTTGTACAAATCGAAAGTTCTGATGAGACAATTATATATAATTATATAGCAGCTCGAATTATAATATTGATTTGTAGAACTTGTACTTCTTTGTTATTTTGAACGTGCTCAATTGTACAAATTATTATTATTATTTTTAATGTAGGGGTAACCTTTTCTTTTCTTTTCTTTTCTTTTTAATTCTGGGAGAACAACTAAGAGCACCAATAAATAAATAAATAAATGAAATGAAATGAAAAATCAGGTAGTTTAATAATCTTGTACGCCTGAAAACAAGGCAACAGCTTTAATAATTATCTCAATGAGAGTACAAAAAAAAATTATATATTAGATAGAAAAGAAGATAGCACAACAACTTTAATAATAATCTCAATGCTAGTTTAATGATTAGTAAGTGGATGATTTTTAACTTTTTTTAAAAAAGAGAGAAGTAGACAGAATCTACTAAACAATAAAATAAGAATTCAATAAAGAATTCTCTGCAAAAGTAATATCGTCTCAACATAAAATACAATTTTCAAACATAATATTACCAATTATCCAATTTTAATATAAAAAATCCATTCTTAAATATTATACTGTCAAATAGAAAATTCTCAAGCATGAAAAGTCTTTTCAAAACAGAACAGACTCTATCTCCAAACATAAGGCAACTAATTATCTAATTCTAATGCCAAAGAAGCCATTCCCAATTATGACAATTCAAGGGATTATCTCTAATTTCAATGCTGAAGAGACAATTCCCATGCATAATAGTACAGACTATCCAATTTCACAACTACGACTTCCAACAACAAATCCTGTAGTTATGTCTTTATCAAATGTTTATGGTCATTGTCTCTCTCTCTTTGAAGTTATTATTAAAAATAAATCTTAAAATATACAAAAAAATCATTATTTGATCAATTAAGTAGACTTTTCAAGATATAGAAATTATTATTAACTAGGCCTTCTGAAATTCTAGGAACAAAATTAAAGAAGGAAACTGTCGTCAGACAAAAAAACACTTTCTGCTAACCATCAACAAGAAGGAAATGCGTGGAAATGGGTAGAATGAATATGTTGCTGAAGAAGTACCAAAAAAGCATAAAAAAAATTTATAGGGACCTCCACAGCTGCAATATTTCAGATTTGTAAACCTTCAAATATTTGTGTCCCATTAAATTCGTACATATATTATTATTACTATATATCTAAAAGATGTGGAGGGTTTGAACAATTAATTTTACTGTTCATCCCCTCATAAATCACTATTCACCCATTTTTTTTTATATATAATTTTTAAATTGTTTCATTTTTTTACTAGAATTTTAAAATAAAAATTTTAACCCCTAGCTAATGCACTACGCATGTTTTTTTTTCCAATTTTTTTATTTTATTTTTTTCATTAATTTATGTTCTTTTTTTTATTTAATTAAGTGTTAAAATTTTAAAAAATCAATCGTTATTTGTTTTACATAAACTCGACAATTATAGAATATATATACGATATGTTTTTAGATTTTAGAATAAATATATACAATTCTTATTATTTAAAATTGATCTGTTCAATTTATTATAACAATTCACATCAAATTAGCTTTTATTCTTATTTTTATATTAAAAATTAACTATACATCTTCTAAAGTAATTTTTTTTTCCACATAAACTAACGAGTATATAATATATACGATATGTTTTTAGATTTTAGAATAAATATATATTATTCTTATTGTTTAAAATTGGTCTTTTCAGTTTATTATAAAAATTCGCATCAAGTTAATTTTTATTCTTATTTTTATATTAAAAATTAACTATATATCTTCCAACATAATACAAATTATTTACTACGAATGTTTTTTTTAACATTATAGAACCAATTTATTTGAAATAAAATAATTAAAATAATTTTTTAAAGGAACCAATTATTCAAATATAGTTTTTATGCTAATTTTATTGATTATTTTGTAAATAAATATTTATAGATCAAATGCATATACTTTCAAAAAAAAATCTTTTCACCAACATTAAATAAAAATAAAATTTTATTTTTTCATTGGTTAATTTTTATGCAAGTCGATACATTAATTGTAACTTTATTTTTTGAATACATTCTTATAAAAAAATATAATTTTAAAGCATTTTTTTTGAATTCTTTATTAATATTTTTGGTTTAAATTATTTTAAGTTTTATTTAAGAATTTATGAATAAAGAAGAATAAATCATGTTTTTTAAGAAGAAATTTTATGAAACAACACACACACACACACAAAATAATAATAATAATAAAAATAGTTATAATGAAATAAAAAATTATGAAATTTTGAAATGATTTTGTTCTATCTACCTATATCTTTGCGCGTATAATTTCAAAAATTAATCTTCTCATCAGCATTAAATAAGAAATTTTTTTTCATTTGTTAATTTTTGTAAAAGTTTGTTTATTAATTATAACTTTATTTTTTGGAATATAATATTATGAAAATTATATTTTTAATTTTTTTTAATTCTTGATTAATATTTTAGTTACAATTATTATAGTTTTTTATTTTAAAATTAATCTATAAAGAAGAATGGTATATTGTTTTTTTAAAAAAAAATTATAAAAAAACATTAAAAAATTAATTAAATGAAAAAAATATAATTAAAAAAATTAAAATTTTTAAAATGATTTTACTCTACCATACTTGTTGCGGGCAATCGACTAGTTCTTACTAATTGCACCACCGAAGCTACTCGTTATCTGGTTTCCCAAACTTTTGCGTACCGCTTTCGTGGACTCTTCAAAAGCACTTCTAACAGAGCGAAAGCTTAGCGTACCATACACTATCCGAAGTCTAACGATCATGCAAATATCCCCGCCCATAATACCCTCTTTAAACTCCTTGCTTTCCTTGAGTTCGAAACGGAGAGTTTTCCGTATTTCTTCATCAGCTAGCATCCGCATAAACACAATGACCTATTTCCATTAAACAAGGAATTGACCAGTTGTCTCATCCTTGAAGACTTCTATCACATTTATAACTAGCAAACTGAATACCGCACTCATATAGGTCCTAATTCACATTAATCTACCGCCCCACAATCGGCCTCAATTATGCCAAATAAACAATCAAATTTCTAAATCAATTGTTATTTATTTTACATAAACTCGACGATTATATAATATATATACGATATGTTTTTAGATTTTAGAATAAATATATACAATTCTTATTGTTTAAAATTGATCTGTTCAATTTATTATAACAATTCACATCAAATTAGCTTTTATTCTTATTTTTATATTAAAAATTAACTATACATCTTCTAAAGTGATTTTTTTTTCCACATAAACTAACGAGTATATAATATATACGATATGTTTTTAGATTTTAGAATAAATATATATTATTCTTATTGTTTAAAATTGGTCTTTTCAGTTTATTATAAAAATTCGCATCAAGTTAATTTTTATTCTTATTTTTATATTAAAAATTAACTATATATCTTCCAACATAATACAAATTATTTACTACGAATGTTTTTTTTAACATTATAGAACCAATTTATTTGAAATAAAATAATTAAAATAATTTTTTAAAGGAACCAATTATTCAAATATAGTTTTTATGCTAATTTTATTGATTATTTTGTAAATAAATATTTATAGATCAAATGCATATACTTGAAAAAAAAATCTTTTCACCAACATTAAATAAAAATAAAATTTTATTTTTTCATTGGTTAATTTTTATGCAAGTCGATACATTAATTGTAACTTTATTTTTTGAATACATTCTTATAAAAAAATATAATTTTAAAGCATTTTTTTTGAATTCTTTATTAATATTTTTGGTTTAAATTATTTTAAGTTTTTATTTAAGAATTTTTGAATAAAGAAGAATAAATCATGTTTTTTAAGAAGAAATTTTATGAAACAAACACACACACACACAAAATAATAATAATAATAAAAATAGTTATAATGAAATAAAAAATTATGAAATTTTGAAATGATTTTGTTCTATCTACCTATATCTTTGCGCGTATAATTTCAAAAATTAATCTTCTCATCAGCATTAAATAAGAAATTTTTTTTCATTTGTTAATTTTTGTAAAAGTTTGTTTATTAATTATAACTTTATTTTTTGGAATATAATATTATGAAAATTATATTTTTAATTTTTTTTAATTCTTGATTAATATTTTAGTTACAATTATTATAGTTTTTTATTTTAAAATTAATCTATAAAGAAGAATGGTATATTGTTTTTTTTAAAAAAAATTATAAAAAAACATTAAAAAATTAATTAAATGAAAAAAATATAATTAAAAAAATTAAAATTTTTAAAATGATTTTACTCTACCATACTTGCTGCGGGCAATCGACTAGTTCTTACTAATTGCACCACCGAAGCTACTCGTTATCCGGTTTCCCAAACTTTTGCGGTCGCTTTCGTGGACTCTTCAAAAGCACTTCTAACGGAGCGAAAGCTTAGCGTACCATACACTATCCGAAGTCTAACAGATCATGCAAATATCCCCGCCCATAATACCCTCTTTAAACTCCTTGCTTTCCTTGAGTTCGAAACAGAGAGTTTTCCGTATTTCTTCATCGGCTAGCATCCGCATAAACACAATGACCTATTTCCATTAAACAAGGAATTGACCAGTTGTCTCATCCTTGAAGACTTCTATCACATTTATAACTAGCAAACTGAATATTGCACTCATATAGGTCCTAATTCACATTAATCTACCGCCCCACAATCGGCCTCAATTATGCCAAATAAACAGATCAAATTTCTAAATCAATTGTTATTTATTTTACATAAACCGACGATTATATAATATATATACGATATGTTTTTAGATTTTAGAATAAATATATACAATTCTTATTGTTTAAAATTGATCTCGTTCAATTTATTATAACAATTCACATCAAATTAGCTTTTATTCTTATTTTTATATTAAAAATTAACTATACATCTTCTAAAGTAATTTTTTTTTCCACATAAACTAACGAGTATATAATATATACGATATGTTTTTAGATTTTAGAATAAATATATATTATTCTTATTGTTTAAAATTGGTCTTTTCAGTTTATTATAAAAATTCGCATCAAGTTAATTTTTATTCTTATTTTTATATTAAAAATTAACTATATATCTTCCAACATAATACAAATTATTTACTACGAATGTTTTTTTTAACATTATAGAACCAATTTATTTGAAATAAAATAATTAAAATAATATTTTAAAGGAACCAATTATTCAAATATAGTTTTTATGCTAATTTTATTGATTATTTTGTAAATAAATATTTATAGATCAAATGCATATACTTGAAAAAAAAATCTTTTCACCAACATTAAATAAAAATAAAATTTTATTTTTTCATTGGTTAATTTTTATGCAAGTCGATACATTAATTGTAACTTTATTTTTTGAATACATTCTTATAAAAAAATATAATTTTAAAGCATTTTTTTTGAATTCTTTATTAATATTTTTGGTTTAAATTATTTTAAGTTTTTATTTAAGAATTTTTGAATAAAGAAGAATAAATCATGTTTTTTAAGAAGAAATTTTATGAAACACACACACACACACACACACAAATAAAATAAAATAAAAAATAGTTATAATGAAATAAAAAATTATGAAATTTTGAAATGATTTTGTTCTATCTACCTATATTTTTGCGCGTATAATTTCAAAAATTAATCTTCTCACCAGCATTAAATAAGAAATTTTTTTTCATTTGTTAATTTTTGTAAAAGTTTGTCTATTAATTATAACTTTATTTTTTGGAATATAATATTATGAAAATTATATTTTTAATTTTTTTAATTCTTGATTAATATTTTAGTTACAATTATTATAGTTTTTTATTTTAAAATTAATCTATAAAGAAGAATGGCCTATGTTTTTTTTAAGAAAAAAATTTATAAAAAAACATTAAAAAATTAATTAAATGAAAAAAATATAATTAAAAAAATTAAAATTTTTAAAATGATTTTACTCTACCGGACTTGCTGCGGACAATCGACTAGTTCTTACTAATTGCACCACCGAAGCTACTCGTTATCCGGTTTTCCAAACTTTTGCGTACCGCTTTCGCGGACTCTTCAAAAGCACTTCTAACAGAGCGAAAGCTTAGCGTACTATACACTATCCGAAGTCTAACGAGTCATGCAAATATCCCCGCCCATAATACCCTCTTTAAACTCCTTGCTTTCCTTGAGTTCGGGAACAAAGAGTTTTCCGTATTTCTTCATCAGCTAGCATCCGCATAAACACATTGACCTATTTCCATTAAACAAGGAATTGACCGGTTGTCTCATCCTTGAAGACTTCTATTTACATTTACAACTAGCAAGCCGAATACTCGCACTCGTATAGGTCCTAATTCACATTAATCCACCGCCCCACAATTGGCCTCAATTCCGCCAAATAAACAGTCAAATTTCTAAATTGAACCAAACTATCTAACAATGAAAGCAACTACTCCAAAATTTGTCCCCGACTACTCTAAACCGCCTCGAAGCATGCACTAACTCCCACTTAGCTATAAAGCTATTACTACGCAGCAAGCAATTTCCTTTCTTTATATATTAATCACATAATTTTCAATTTTCAATTTCACTATCATGACTGTTTTGGTATTGAAATTGGATAAAGAAATTGAATAAACTCGTTTATTATGTTAAGAAACCGTATTTTCCGTTGAGACAGAACTATGTCATGTTTGAGAATTATTTTTTTGATATTGAAATTGGATAACTCATTGTATTATGTTTGAAAATTGAATAACTCGTTTATTAAAACACACAATTTTCAGAAACAATAAAGCGGGTTATCTTCCAATGCCAAAACATTCGTATTTTAATAGAATTAATACAATTCCTAGAGTCATATCTGATTTCACTAGCCCAATAGTTTGATGCTTAGACTTGTTTGACTTTATCTTCTTCTTCTTTTTTTTTTACTTTTTTTATAAAAAGAGATTTAATAATAACAGCTCAGAAAAAAAAAGTATATAAAACTGACAGTAAAATAAAATAAGAATTCAATAAAAAGTCATTTGCAAAAACAGTCATTTCTCAACAAAAAATACAATTTTCCAGCATAATGGAATATGTTATTCAATTCCAATGTCAAAGAGACAATTCTCAAATATGACAGAGTCCTATCATACTAGAAAATACAACTTTCAAACATAATACAACCAGTTATCTAATTTTAATGTCATAGATAATTCTCAAACATGACATAGTTCCGTCTCAAAAGAAAATACAGTTTCTAAACATAATAATCAAATTTATCCAATTTCAATACTAAAATAGTCACATCATAACAGAATGAATATAATTACCGGAGTTATCCAATTCCAATGCTCAAGAACAAGGCAATTCCTAAACATAACAAGAAGGGTATCCAATTTCAAAATCATTACTGCCAACAACAAAATCTAAATCAATAAAAAGTACTTGTGGTTTTATCTAATCTAAGCTAATTGCCTTTTTTTAAAAAAAATTAAAAAATTAAAAAATTACCAAAATATACAAAAAAAACTAGTTATTTAATAAGTTAGGCAATAGATTTCTTAAGATGCAAAAATCATCATCATCATTACTACAACTATTATTATATTATTAAAGTCTTCATTTTAGTGGAGTATTTATTTTATGCCCTACTTTTTTTCAAATTTGGAAATTATAAAAAACTCTTTTTATGCTTTATAAGTTGTTGGACTGAATTGTGGTAATTTTGAGCTTGCCAATATCTTTTATGTTTTAAGCTGACATTTTTATTTCAGAAAGTGCATGGTCAGTCTTTGCAATTAATAATATATACTATTTAACTTTAAAATTTCATCGAGAAATCTTATTTTTTTTAAAAAAAAACCATGCAGGAAAGGAAATACTTTATACATTTTCTAGGAAAATTATGATTATTTCCCAGGTAAGCGAAATTATGAAAGAGAGCTAGAAGCCGAGAAGTGAATTAGACCATACTTATTGGTCAGGTTCGCTAGCCGTACAAAAAAAGTCACCTCAATTTTCCTTTTTTTTTTTTTTTTCAAATTTAATTTGAATGTACGGTAACTTTATCACCCAAGAAATTATTTCATATCATAGATATCAGTGGAATTTGTTGGTGGCATGTATATTTTGAGCAAAATGTTGGAAACAACATAGAATTTCCAATTAAGTAATTAGCTCCTTTATTTTTTCATTTTGTACAAATCTAAAGTTCTTAGGAGACAATTATATATAAATACGTATAGTAGCAGCACGATATATAATATTAATTTGTAGAATTTGTACATCTTTCTTATTTTGAGCCTGCTCAATTGTAGCATCATTAAGCCTGAATACAAGGCAACAACTTTGATAATTATCTTATTATCAGTATAAAAATAAAAACAAAAATAGAAAGAAAAGAAGATAGCACAAACAACTTTGATTTCCTCCAACCAAGCATATAAGTGCATGCATATGTGCATCCTGTTGCAAAAAATTCCTCACTTCATCGCTGGTAGGGTAAAAGAAAACAGAAACTTTTTTTTGCTTCATGCTTGACCTGCAGCAAAAGTCAATATTTAGAAAATTAACAATACGCAAAGTGATAATTAGTATACCAAAGCACTATTCATGATCTAATTTACCATAAAGATTGCCAATTAAAGCAATACACAAAATCTAATATCCCCACGAAAGTAAATTAATGGCAAGTGACAAAATTTAACGAGTGCCTTTTCACCGTCAATTACTACTAATTGTATTATAATGCATTTATTATTGGAAGGTGTTAATAAAGGAAAATATCTAAACGAAAATTATTAATATTAATTATAAACATATTTTATATGGTAATATTTTTAAGTGATTATAATAAAGTATATAATAACAAATTAAAAAAAAAGAGATTGATATTGAGGATTAAACGAGTATCAACAAGTGCCCCAGCTCAGTTAATCATTATCTAATTATTATCTAATTGTGATAAATCTAATATCCGCACGAAAGTAAATAGCAAGTGACAAAAGTTAACGAGTACTGCCTTTACAACTTTAATTATTATCTAATTGTATTTAATAATAGCATATTTATTTTTGGAAGGTATTAAAAAGCTAAATGAAAATTATTAATATTAATTATAAACATTTATATGGTAATATTTTTAAGCGGTTACAATAAATTATATAATACCAGAAAAAAAAAAGGATTGATTTTGAGGATTAAACGAATATTAACGAGTGCCCGGACCGGATTCTCTTACGATTTTCCACAATTAAGTAAGCCATTGTGCATGGACATGGAATATTGCCAGAAATTTACCAAGAAAGGTCAAAAGTCGTGCTGTCATATTAATTAGCCACTTAATGGCATGAAGAACAAATGCATATATACACGGAAAACTTTCTGAACATTTTCATAGAACTGTTATTTGAATCTAACCAAATTTTAATTTAGTGTTACCTTTACAAATGAAATGCTTCAATGTACGTACGTAGTTATAAATGGAATAGAATTAGATGTCCAAAAACGTGAGACGATTCAATCTTTTTGTTGGTGAGTTCTATTAGTCATCAGCGTGGGCGCGAGGGCCAGGAGAGGGCCATAGACAGCACCTCCAGTCCGCCATGATATTTATCTCTTTCATTTTAACATTTATTCTTACCACTTCCATCACATACGAGAAACACTGGGAAGAAAAAAACAAAGAAAATACTGGTAACAAGTCATGATAATAGAGATAGATTGATAGATAGAGAGAGGAAAAGGACGGGACTGCCCTCAATTCCATAGTTTTGTTTTCTGTTGACGATCCCATGCACCTATTAGCGGGAATCTCTTGGGAAGTCGATTCTGTCATCTTGCTTCCCCCTCTGCACTTTTAAATACTTGTGGGTGGTTTTTGGCTGCCTTGCTCTTCACAGCCAAAAAAACAAGAAACATCATCATGCTCTCTCATTACTCCTCCCTCCATGTCTCGTCTACGGTACCAAGCACACCAAGATCTTCCTTCTCCACCTCTAATAATATCCATCCCCACCTTCATCCTCTAGCTTTCCCTTCAGGTGAGTAAGTTGCCTAATTTATTTCCTCAATGATCAATCACCTCTTCTCATTCTTCTAATATTGAGAAAAAAGGGGGAAAAAGAAATCTCCAAGGTGGAGACTCATCGAAACCAAACCACACACGCCATAACTTTGTATTTTTGGTGTTTCATTATTTCTTTTCTCTGCTTAGATTCCATGCGTTTATGTGGGGTTAATGATGGTTCTCTTGTGAGGTGTTTCTTAGAATCTTGCGGTTAATTAAGACAAGCGATCATGAGCATATAAGCTTTACCATTTCAAAACTATCTTACTTTTTTGTGTGGGGTTGATCAAATCCTCTTATCAAATTAATGCTTTTCTTGATTTCATCATGAGAAGCACACAAAGAAGATACTTTTTTTCTTTCTGATCATCTGGGATGGTTTCTGGGTTTAGAAACGCAAAAATGCAATTTTAAATTCTGTCCGGAAAAAAATGTATTATATATCACCACTGCTAGCTTACTTATCTTTTCTTAATATGGCCTTCTCATTTTCTGCATTCATTCCTATTACTTTCTGTAGTTTTTGGTTTTCTTTTTCTAGCTTTCATAAGCAGCATTATATATACATATGAAAATAACTTTTCTGATTCTTCTCGAAAGGAAGAAGAAGAAAAAAGAAGGGACTTTTCTAATTAATCTCTTAAGAAGGAATCTATGTGAATTATTTTAATTAAATGGCCATATCGTATATTCCTATATACCCGAAGAGGGCTATATTTGTCTTCTTCTTTTTATGTTCCACTAAAATCAAGTAGATGAATAATAATATTTAATTTACAAAAAAGTAAGAAACTACTAATTATTACGACAAAGAGAGGCAGTTATTTGAGGTAACCACTATAGTTTCTTTTTCATTAGGTGTTTGGCTGTATGGGGCTAAAGACAAAGAAGGTAACTTTCATACAAGATGCGGTGCTATATCCAAACCTCGCACTCAAGGTACACTACCATCTCTAATCAATCATATTCAATATCATATAATAAGATTATTCTAAAAGTTAATATTTAAATTCAAATATTTTTGGACATAATTTCCGTACAGAATATGCAGATTTGTTTCAGCAAAAAAATGGTCTGCCATTGATAAACTGGCCTCACGATATTGTGGAGGATGACGCAGAAGAAGATGCTGCTAAGGTGATTTGAAAGCCGTAGCTTTTCTTCCTTTTTTTTTTTTTTAATTTTTGGTTCTAGTACTATTTCAGAAAAAATAAAAAAATAAATTCATCAAGTTATCGCTATATATATATATATATATATATATATATATGTGCGTTTCTCTGTTTTATTCTCAAAAGGTTTCTGTACCAAAGGAAATAAACAAGCGTGTCAAGACTATTAAAGCCATGCTTGATATGATGGAGGATGGAGAGATAAGCATCTCCGCTTATGACACCGCATGGGTTGCTCTTGTGGAAGATATTAATGGAAGTGGTCTTCCTCAATTTCCATCTAGCCTTAAGTGGATTGCCAAGAATCAGCTTCCAGATGGCTCCTGGGGTGATGCTGGAATATTTTTGGCGCATGATAGGTTGATCAATACGCTAGCTTGTGTTGTCGCATTGAAATCTTGGAATTTACACCAAGACAAATGTGAAAAAGGTTTGTAGTACGGTCCAAAAATTGATATGGTTCAGGGCAGCAGGATTCTCTCCACCTCAGTATATTCATGATAAGCTAACATGGCACCATTTTCATCATGATATCACAGGGATGTTATTTTTTAGGAACAACTTATGCAAGCTAGAAGATGAAAATGCTGAGCACATGCCTATTGGTTTTGAAGTTGCTTTCCCTTCACTTCTCGAGATGGCAAGGAAATTAGACATCAAAGTTCCCTATGATTCTCCTGTCCTGCAAGAGATTTATGCCAGTAGAAATTTAAAGCTGACAAGGTTGTTTCGTTACACAAACTTCAGTCATAATTGTGTTTTCTATCTTTTTTGCACTTTATATGATAAATGAACTAAAGCAGTCACATCATCAACAATTATTTATTATTATTTTGCTCAGTCTCCAGAACCTGGTTATCATTACATGAATGTAATGTAATTATTGTGCGTGTGTGCCTAGGATACCCAAGGACATCATGCACAATGTGCCCACAACGCTACTCCATAGCTTGGAAGGAATGCCAGACCTGGACTGGAAAAGACTTCTAAAATTGCAGTGCCGAGATGGGTCATTCTTGTTCTCCCCATCCTCCACTGCCTTCGCACTCAGTCAAACTAAAGATAAGAACTGCTTGGAATATTTAAATAAGACGGTCCAAAGATTCAAAGGGGGAGGTAAAGTGATTTTTTCAGCGTTCTTGTCATTCTTGTTCTCCCTATCCTTCCCATCCTGTAGTTTGATCACTTTTTAGATGCGTTTCTTAACTTTACCAGTTAACCATTTCTCAGTCCCCAATGTCTATCCGGTTGACTTATTTGAGAAAATCTGGGCTGTGGATCGCTTGCAGCGTCTGGGAATCTCAAGATATTTCGTGCCAGAGATCAATGAATGTCTGGATTATATTCATAGGTATGATTCTGTTTTTTAATTTTTTGAAAAAAATATACAGAAAGCAACCTGGATATGAAGATCCTTTCCTTTTTCTCAAATGGCATTTTAAATACTTCAGATATTGGACTGAAGATGGCATTTGCTGGGCGAGAAATTCTAAGGTCCATGATATTGATGACACATCCATGGGATTCAGGTTACTTAGATTGAATGGACACCAGGTTTCAGCCGGTAAATCTATACCTATAAATCCTTAACAGTAAAGCAACTTTTCCCAAAAAAACGTTACTGGTATAATGCTGGAAACGTCTTCTTTTGTATAATTTGGCAGATGTGTTCAAGCGTTTTGAGAAAGGCGGTGAATTTTTCTGCTTTGCGGGGCAGTCAACAGCGGCTGTTACAGGAATGCTCAACCTGTATAGGGCTTCTCAGGTTCTGTTTCCAGGAGAGAAGATCCTTGAGGATGCCAAGGAATATTCTTCTCAATTCCTAAGGGAAAAGCAAGCTGCTAACGAACTTCTAGATAAATGGATTATAACGAAGGACTTACCTGGAGAGGTATTGTCTCAAACTTGATTTTTCTATATTATTCTATTGCATGTAGCATATTTAACAGCAATTAATTAATTATTATTATTATTTTATCAATATATGTAATTCTTAATTTGAGCCATTTTTATCAATCTTCCAGCCCAAGGAATGAGTGGATAGAATCATAGAGAGAGTACTAATTTATGTGTCTTAATATAATTATGTATAATAGGTGGGTTTTGCATTGGAGATTCCATGGTATGCGATCTTGCCTCGAGTGGAGTCGAGATTCTACCTAGAACAGTATGGTGGAGAAGATGACGTGTGGATTGGGAAGACCCTTTACAGGTTATTTGACACACACTAGTTTGTTGCTTTAATTCCTAATCAGATCGTTTGGTAAACATAAAACCATAATTATGAACAATCCTGCTACATATTAGTTGTAACCATAAAAGATTGTGGATATAATCGTAGGAGGTAGCGACTGATAAATAAGTGTTGACTTATAAATGAGCTCTAGAGTTTAATTTTTATTCAAGATCGTGTTTTAACGAGTATTCCTTAATCACGCTCAATAAAATAAAATATTAGTTTTGAAATACGTGAAAATTGATAAGGATATTTTTTATTATTGAAAAAAAAAGGATTGAATAATTATTAGCTAATTTACATATATGGTCCAATTAATTAGCCTGTTTATAACGCAGAATGTGCAATGTAAACAATAATGAGTATCTCCAGCTGTCAAAATTAGATTACAACCACTGCCAGTCCTTGCATCGCATTGAATGGGACCATTTTCAAAAGTAAGTGATCAAAACAGCACAAAATCTTCGATTATATATGAGGCATCCCCCTTCTCACTCTAATTATTTGGCATATATTCTGCCTATAAAATGACCAAATGCAGGTGGTATGAAGAATGTGACCTAAGAGATTTTGGGATAAGCAGAAGAACCCTTCTCTTTTCTTACTTTCTGGCAGCATCCAGTATCTTTGAGCCGGAAAGGTCTAAAGAGCGACTTGCATGGGCTTCCACTACAATCTTGCTAGAGATCATTGGCTCTTATTTCGACGACAATGATGGCAATTCTAGTGAGCAGAGGAGAGCTTTCATCCATGAATTCCGTAACGGTATTAGCATAAATGCAAGGTAAAATTTCACTGTCTTAACTACGTTGCTGTCAACAGATAAAGATACACAGCCAGCCAATTTAGCATGTGTGTCAACTTTATCTTTGCGGCTGTTGGTTGTTACATCTGTCCTTGCGTGCGTTTCTTTTTTATCATGTCCACCTTCCAATTATACTTTGTTCTCTTAATTATTAATCACATCTAAAATAGCGAAGGAAAACAGGTAATTAGCTAGTGCAACAATCAGAAAGCAAAACAGACACGACATATAGAGAATCAGTGCAACTATTAGAAAGGAGCAATATCTGTATCAATACTTTAATGCGCTTTATCTTTTGTGATCACAATATTCACAAATAGATATGAGTGTGTGTGTTGGGTTGGGTTATTAATGAGATTATTTAGCTAAGTTCGTGTGTGGTATGATTTTTACATGTTGCTTTGCATAGTTTTTTTAACTTTTGATTCAAATGAAAGTCATAACTATTTTCGAGTATTTTTAGTTGGAAATAATTTTTGACTTATGTACCTGCCCTTTCTTAATTAAAATGAAGTTTCATCCAAAAAGGTCAAAAAAATATGGTGTGCATGATTTATTTTTATCTAATTAGTTCAATAGTACCTTGTACTATACGTTGACATTCTGAACTAAAATTTTTTCCAATTCGAGTAATATTACTATTTTGTGATTTGTAATAAAGTTCACCGATTCTGTTGACCAAATCCCGAACCCACATGACAAGCACGTGATGGTAAAATGATCGAATAAACCTTGTCCTTTTTTTCCTTTTTTGTTTTTCTTCCCTTCCTTTCCTCTCTCTCTCTCACCATTTCATTTTTCCTTTCTAAACTCTCTAAAATTCCCAACCATGTTTTGACATACCAAACAAACAAAAACACTTCTCATAGGACATAAAAATTAAGTAAGAATAGGAAGCAGAAGGAGAGAAATTTGATTTCCTAAGAAAAATGAGTTCTTGGTTTTGGTAGCAAAAGAAGAAGAACAACCAAAGCTTGGTTCTTTAGAAATTTGGTTTCTCTTAGTAGCAGAAAATTTGTGAGTGGTTCGGTTGGGTGAGTGCAACAACGAGGTGTGTAGTCGGGCTATGAGAGGAGATAGACGGCTGAGATTGACATGACTATGGTCAGTGCTTGGTTGCGATCGATTTTTTGAGGGTTCCAACGAGGATTGGCTAGAGGGTGGCTGGTTTTTGTTGGATACAATGGCAATGATGATAGTTTTGGATGGACATGCAAAAGAAAAGAACAAATGAGAGGAAAAAGAAGAAAAGAAAATTTCCTTTCTCTTCAAAGAAATCAAGAGTGAAAAATTTTCCCACCTTTCCTCTCTTGCATATTTTTTGGCATTTTTCTTTATCTCTTGCTTACCCGATCGACTTGATCATCATATTTTTTTTCTTTTCTTTTTTGATTATCTTTCACTTAGATTTTTCGTGTTTCATTTTTTTTTTTTAACTTCAATTGTGTGCTAATAATTACAATCCTTATAGTATAAAATCAATCTTTTAAGATTCATTTCCTCAAGATTTCTATCAACTTCTTTGTTTCAAATTCAATTCCCCATCAGTGATTTTGCTTTTTTCTCTTGATGCTAATTCTTAGGCAAAAGATTATATTTTTTTTCGTCGACAGTACAATTCTCTTTCGTTTTAATTTAAGGATGGGGGCATTTCGTAATCTCATAGGATCATATTGGTTGGAAATAAAGACAACACTAACAAAGGGTCTACGTGTCTTTTATTTATTAGACCATATCAGTATTACGTGTGAAAAACGTACTAGGAATTTGGTCAACGAAATCGACATATTTGATTACAAATCAAAAAATAGTTATGATATTTGAATTAAAAATATTTTAATTCGAAATACCAATCTACAATCGACTTATAATATAGTATACTATTGAACCAACTAGCCTTTATTTTTTCCTTTCCTAAAGAAATTAACTTCATTCCCATAATTAGATCTATTTGGTAAAAAGATCATATTGAGATTACGAAATTCCCCATCAGTGATTTTGCTTTTCTCCCTTGACGCTAATTCTTAGGCAAAAGATTTTTTTTTTTTCGTTGACCATACAATTCTCTTTGGTTTTTAATTTAAGGATGGGGCATTTCGTAATCTCATAAGATCATATTGGTTGGAAATAAAGACAACACTAACAAAGTGTCTACGTGTCTTTTATTTATTGGACCATATCAGTATTACGTGTGAAAAACGTACACGAAATTTGGTCAACAAAATCGACAAATTTGATTACAAATCAAAAAATAGTTATGAAATTAGAATTAAAAATATTTTAATTCAAAATAACAGTCCACGGTTAACACATAATAGAATATACTATTGAATCAATTAGCCTTTATTTTTTTTCTTTCCTAAAGAAATTAACTTCATTCCCATAATTAGATCTATTTGGTGGTATTTGTACATGCCATCAAGTATCATAATTTCCATTACGCTGGTATTTGTTGATCTCCATGTGAATCAGAATGAATGGTGCTTTTCTGATGCACTGAACCAAAAAACTATATCTAACCGTCAGCTTTCATCGGATAAAGTCACCATGTCCTGACGTTTTCGGTCTCATCATCCCACCAATCACCATATACCCTTTTTATAATGAAGTGGTTATGTTTTGTGTTCTTATGTTACCTAATATATGAGGTAACCCTACCTCTCTCGTCATCATCTCTGATGTAATTTTATAAATTAAACCGGGTAGCAAACTTAGAGCAATTAATTAATAGCTTGAAAATAATATCAACCCACCTAAGCTTCAATGAAATAGATTATTTATGTTTGATTCTCGTGCGTTCCAGGAGGTCGGGAGCAAAGAGGACAAGGCAGGAACTCCTTAAGATGCTGCTTGAAACCCTAAATCAGCTCTCTTTTGGCGCATTGATTGTTCATGGTCGAGACATTAGCCACAGTTTACGTCATGCTGTGAGTTGCTAGACTGACTATAATATAAGCGAAAGGAACATTAAAAATATGTTACTCTATCCCAGTATGCCTAAATATAGACTAGTGCAAGTTTCAATACTGTTCTAATTTAAGTGGGTTCTTTTTTTTTTTTTTATCCTAACAAATATGTACAGTGGGATAAGTGGCTCGTGAGGTGGGAATTGGAAGGAGATAGACGCCAAGGGGAAGCAGAACTACTGGTGCAAACAATAAATCTCACCGCTGGCTATTTGGTCTCTGACGAGGAGCTCGTGGCCCATCATTCTCAATATGAACAACTCGCCGACCTGACAAACAGTATTGGCTCTCAACTTTGTCATTGCAAGAAGAACAAGGTTAGTGATAGAGACTGGCTAGGAATTCGGCTTTCTTTTCTTTGGCATCTACCTTAAATTTCATGCATCATGTCAGTGTCATTTTTGTCTTGCTGCAATTAAGCAGCAGAACTAAGATCAGCTACATAACTGTAGCTGCCATGAATTTTCTATTATCCTGAGCAGTTTGTGCTGCGCTGTACAAACAAATTGTTAAAGTGACAAACCGACTGCGCAAAAAAGGTTTATGCTTTCTTAATTATAAAATCCAAACAAGAATTAAACAAAAGAAATGGGGACTGCCGAGCTAAAAGGTCCATCGTTAGAATATACTAAGCATACATAAACAATTTTGACCTATCCTTGGTAAGTTATATATTAATTGAATGATCTTTTCCTGCATGAGCTGACAAAATCTTCTCTCAATAGATGCTGACAGGTTCCCAAAGAATTAATTGGAATGCTTAGACAGATATACCATGGTACTGTTGTTTACAAAACGGTGTTGTGGGGTGGGGTCTGCATAACTAAAAATATCAATTGGATGCAAATTATATGTATTTATTTTTGTCACTAATTGTATATTCCTTCTTCTTCTTTTTCTATTATTAATTATATATATACATATCTTCATAAATTAGCTCATTCTAGAATTATTTTTCTTGTACGATGTTTTAGGTACATGACAATGGAAGCTACAGTGCTGTTACCAGTAGTACTGACAGAATCACAACTCCAGAAATAGAATCTGACATGCAAGAACTGGTGCAGTTAGTAGTCCAAAATTCCTCGGATGGAATAGATTCTAATATCAAACAAACATTTCTTCAAGTAGCGAAGAGTTTTTACTATTCTGCAATCTGTGATCCTGGGACGATCAACTACCACATAGCTAAAGTACTCTTTGAAAGAGTGGCCTAATCTTTAAGTGCCTTTTTGGTCAATCGTTTTGTTTTTCTTGTAAATGAAATCCACAAATAAATAAAATCATCCAATTTCGCCTTAATTTCTACATAAACCACACATGTAGAGAGAGGGAAAAGGAATCGTAGATGTGCAAGCCTTGTTGGATAAAGACAGGTACCTGGTACGCTATACATTAGCCAAAATTTCTTAACAAAACCCGCTATCTGCATCTTTTATTTTCATAAATCCATTAAATTATTATTTTAATTAATTAAATACGTGTAATTTGAGTATATCTTTGAAAATTAATAATAAATGTAAATCAAATATAAATATATTTACATATGTATATACATATAGATTCCATTTTATATGATTATATTATTATTTTTATTCGAATAAATATATAAAGATTATTGATTTTATAAAATTATATTTAATTGAGTGAAATTAAATATACATTTGTTCAAAATTTAAAGCTCTGATTTATTTGACAAATTCATGAAAAGTTAAAATGAAAATAGTAAGTTTAGCCGATGCTTTAGTGCTAATAAAAAGTGTTTTTGAACTGGGCTGCGTCTCGAGTATCAAAAGTGACTAATAGGAGATTTGATTGATTGAAACATGGTTCAAACATCCAGGTGGTTTTGTGGTGGTGATTTGGGTCAAAATAAGCGATATGGGATTTGACAAATTTTTTTTATATATTATTTTGCCGGCATATATTAAAAATGTTCTACTTTGGTTTTTGTACTTAAAAATTTTCAAAATCAATCACTGAGTTCTGAAGAACTTTTAATTCCCACTTTTTTCCTTTGATTTTTATGGATATAGTATATGTACGGAGTTTTGAAAGACAGGATGGGTGAGAAATAAAATAAAATGAAAGAACAAATTGAAAAATGATCCTTTTCGTTATCTTTTAATAAATATTGAATAGCAGGGGCAGGGAGTTATAACTGTAGCAATGCATTAGCAAAAACTAAATAACAAAACCAAAGGAAATATCGTTGAATTTCCAAAAATTAAAATGATATCTACCCCATTTATTTTTTCTTTACATAATTCATTTTGTGCATTCGATTTTTGGAATACCTACTAAAATTTTTTGTATTTTACTATTAATGGAGCTTTGTGCGATTCGGTTGGCACTGCTGTACGAGAAGGATCTTTCGAGACGATGCAGATATTTGGTTTCATGATTTCTCCTATTACTTTAGAGTTTGTTTTGCATTCTGAACTTTGGGGCATTATTTTCAGCCTAGAAATGATGTGAAATTTGAACTATAAACAAGTCTTTTTGAAAACTAACTTCATGAGAGCAATTCAAATTTGGATTCTACTAATAGCCATCGATGAGTTTATAACCATCCTGTTATCACTATATACAAAATACTCCAAACATCTTAGGTGGATCGAGGGCTTCACATCTATAAAGAGGTGAACCGAGCAATTAATTGGCTTGCCACTCACACTTACTCCTTTCTTTTAGGTATTTTTTTATTTTTTTAATATCTGAATGAGTTGTATTAGTTTTTTTTAAAAAAAAACATTAATGAAATTATAACTTTTAAAATGTGTAATAAAAAATAATTTTATTTAGAGTTTTGTCTCTCATTTGAATTAAAAAAAAACTATAGAAATGTTTTTATATCTATAAATTAAACTTAAAAAAAAAAAAAACTTTTCATTTTGGTATGAAAAGTTTCATACGCACAGAGATGTTTACAAAGGTTTTTTTTTTTTTTTTTTCTGCAGAAGATTTTTCTACAGAAATTTCTAATAATTACTCTCTCTTTCTGGTCTCTGGCCTCTGGGTCCACATTTAAAGTTTAACAAAGTTCAATTTTCTGTCAGTTCACCCTATTCCCAATAATTCCAATTCAGACAGAAAGTCTACGGACATGTAAAAAGCTAGTGAGAGAGATATTTCAATTAAAAAAAAAAAAACATTAAAAAGAACTAAAACCATTAATCACCTACGAGAACCGCTATAGGACACAAGACAATTGGCAATAGCGGTACTTATCTAAAATTAACCATCTCTATATACGCATAAGAACATAGATAATCACACGTTTCAAAAAATTTAGCTAGCGGATTAACATATAAGTACGGCAAACCACATTGAGTTAATATATGAAGAACTTGCCCTCTTTTGACCTTGTTGCTAGCTAGGTTGGTTTCCTCTTAAATGTATGTAGTGAAAAAATGGCAGACAATGTCACATAAAACATGTTACAAAGTGATTCTGTGCTTGAAAAAAAAAAAAGTGGAGATTCGCAGTATCCCATATCAAGATATTTGGTATCTCATTGATGAGAAACAAGTGAGGAAATCCCAATTATCTTATCCTCTTCAATTGTCTCCCTCCTCCCTTATCTGTCTTTAGTAAGTGCAATACAAGTAGGTTCATTTCAGTGTCGATATCTATATAAAGAATACAGTAGCATGCACTCTAAAAAGCACAAGACATTTGGATCAATGGCTGACATGGGATAGTTTTATCAATAAGCTATAATCACTTCCGAAATGTCCAAACCTGAATTAAGAGAACCAAACATGGTTAGCCCAAATTTAGTTAGTGGACACATATGTAAGTTGTTTTGAAAAAAATTTATGTCCTCCTTTTTTTTAGCTTGTCGATGAAGTAGTTTCCTCCTATATGTAGAGTGACAAAATGGCAGACAATATGACGTGAGATCTTGTTTCAAAGTTGATTCTCTCTTTGGCCAGCCGGGCCCTTAATTGATATGGATTATGGAATGGGAATTTCCAGTTCAGAGAAGAAAAAGGTTGATGCTCTCTTCAACCCCAAGTGGAGATCAACTCGTCAATATTATTCATCAAAAGAAGAGGAATATGGATAAATTCGTCAAATCAAATCAGACAGCTGATGATTTGTTGTCCATTAATTGGTCAGAAATATGAGAAGAAATCCTAATCCGTATGGACGGTTATAGTCCTAATATATATGAGTATAGATTATGATGAATTCAATAAGCAGGTAAAACTTTAGCCAAAGATAGCAAGCACTCCTCTTTTTTTTTTAAAGAGAAAATTTAGTACTGAATCCACCAAATTTATCAGGCACATTTGTATTTGTATTTTGTTCTTTTAACTGTCAAATCATCGATGACCTTACAGGATCCAACTTAATTTCAACCACTTATAAAAATTCAAAGATATGAGAAAATAAATTTTTTATGATTGTACCAATTTAAATATAAATAATTTATTTAATATTTAGAACATGAAAAAAATAATAATAATAGTCTCGTTTGATACGTGTAAAAAAAAAATCTATCACTCACATGCATTAGAAACGCATTATACGTACTACCTTACCCTATAAATCAAAGCCTTATCCAAACACCACTAAATAATAAAAAAAAGAAAACCGAGAATACAGGGATGCACCATGAACTCTTAACGGTTTGGAATTTAAGTAAATTTACCGTGAAAAGTGTATGCTCCGAAAGCAATAGATTACATGAGGTTGGAAGTGGGTAATCATAGCCATAGCCATAGCCATGGCAGAAGGTAAAGAAAGGTTTTTGTTATTTCTGTTTTTGATAAATCAAGATATTGTTGATCAAAAAGAAAAAGTGGACGGAAGACATATAGGATTTCGTAAAAGAGAGAGAGATGAGACCTGTTGGTTTAAAAGTAAAAGGGCATATCTGTTTGGACCCATTTTGGTAAGGCCATTCAAACCTCCATCACTAGTTTGCGACATTCTTTTTTGCATCAGAACAATGACACGTGAACACGCAGGTGGCATAGGTCCCATCAATGCAAAGGCAGTGGAATTTGGACTTTAAGGTTTGATTTGATATCTACAGAGCCGCTCCTTTGGTACAGGTAAGGGAACTTGAGGAATTCTAAGGATTGTTGTTTTCAGTAGGAGAATTGAGAGGGACCTATTATTCGGAACTGTCAGGGTTGTTTTCAGTGCCAGAAATGTAAACAAATGAGCGTTTGGTAATGTAATACAAGCGTTTTTATATAAAAATATATTTGATAGTATGGTGATTTGATTTTTTTTTTGGATTTTTTCTTTAATATTTGTATATTAAAATCATTAAAGAAGAAGAAGAAGAAAAAGAAACATCTGTAGAAGTATCAATTTGAAGAGGAAATTTTTTTGGGCTCAAATATATTTTGATAAATAGCGTAAACACAGAATCACATTACCAAACAGAGCCTTAAAGGTCACCAAAGTAGCTTGGTTTGGTGAGATAAGGGCAGCCACTATCCTGTTATTGAGCCATACAGTAGCCCACTTTAAATTGAAGGAATAAAGATGTACCTCCCTAGCTTCCTTCTAGAAATCCAATGTGCAAACCTCACAAGCCCATTCAGCCATAAGCCTCGTGGCTTACGTCATCAGAAATTAGCCCACAAATGCTAGGCCGGAAATCAGTCGCATACAGGTATAGATCACACCATCTGGAAAAAAAAAAAAAAAAAAAAAACCATGGAAAGAAAAGGGAAGAATCGATAGGTGCCTGGTAGGAAAGGTGGCATTCTTAAGACTCCGAAAGAAAATACGTAGCACAAAGCAAAACAATCAACAGGCTGTCCATGAATCCAAGACAAAAGCTTTATAGTCTGTCAGAAGCACATGTCCCTTCTTCATGCAGTCATGCTGAACAAATAAAAGATACAAGACCCTACTTTTCTTTTATAAGACATGAGTTCTGCAATGAACCTAAGGCGTCACAAGCATCATTGTCTACCACGAGTCAAAACACTCACTTTCAACTTCAATTATCCACAAAATGAAGATTTAATCATACTCCAATTCATCTGGAGTAACTGGCCGTTTGAGGGGGATAATGGATTTCTTTTCAACATCCCGAGATAAAGCTTTCCTCATATCTGAAAACCCAACACGGCATTGTAAGCAGTGAAAAGCAATGCAAGCTCAATGAAGGGATCTAAGGATGTTTAAGCCAGATATGGAATACTCACCTAATCCATCTTCTTCCCCTGAATAATAGCGCAGCACCCTTCTATAGATTACATACCCAAGCTATAAAGCAAAGGCAGAAGAATAAGAATCATCTTGTCTAACTGACTGAACAACAAGAAAAAGTAGAAATCCAAAATGCTGAAGGCTAAGAAAATATAAACTCCATGGTTATATCTAAATGCAATATATAGACCTCCTATAAGGCAAGCCGCTATCTGCATATTACATGCAAGAATAGATTTTATCAAAGTAGAAACCAGAGAATCTCAATAGGAGCAGGTCAAGGTAGATGTGAACTTCATAACAGGCAGGTGACTGCCTGCATAATGCAGTACATGAAGAATATAGAACTTATCAAAGTAGAAAACCCAGATAATCTCCAATAGGAGTAGGGCAAGGTCGATGTACTACCTGACTGAAAAGAAGTCACCAGTAGTCTATAATAAAACAAAAGAAATATATAATATCTGTCTCCAAAATACTAGACTAGAAAGATTATCCTTCCAATAACTCACAAGCAAGCACATTGCTGGTATCTGCTCCTGTTTTTTTATGTTCAAATTCACTTCCAAACACTGAAAATGGGATAAAACTGGCAGGGTGCAGGTGGTAGGGTCATTTTTTCTTTCTTTTAATTGGGATCATTACTTTCATTGTGTATTATGAATTTGGGCCATGGTCTGTAGTGGAGCAGTCCTAGGTATTCTACTAGTGCGCATATGTTGACTCAACACACAAAGTTCTAATTCCCAGTTACATGTAATCATTTCTGAACTAGTAGAATAGGGCTTCATTCATTCAGAATAAGGACACCGTCCCTCACAGTTTTCTATTAAAAACATTAATTTAGAAGCTGATAAATTCTCTGATTAATCTATATGGGCGATCTGAACCAAACAAACAGCAAGCAACCCTTGCCAAATTCCTTTCTAGCAACCATGCTAAACAACAAAATTGTGAAGAATTTCCAGAGGGATTGCTAATATAAGGTAAGCAGCCAATTCAATTAATACCCTAGCAAGCAAAAAGGGATTTTTTTTCATAGAAGAAGAGAGAAGTTAGACATCTACGCATCAGGTTGCAAGACTGCAAGAATCACACAAATTGAGCAAATTTCCAGAATTATCCATTCAAAATTGAGGTTCTGCAAGACATTATCCAAAAGCAATCTTCCTAAGGCATCTAAGGCACCGATTGGACTAGACGTCCAACACCCAATTTTTAAGAAAGGATAGGAGGGCAGAAATAAAGGAAACCAAATTTAAGCGCCAATAGCCAAAGGTAGGAAAGTAGAATCATATTTGTAAATGAGATGAAGTTTGGAGGTTAGGTTCAGTTTCTTTCACTGAAGACTCTTCCGTTTTTCCAAGACACAAGCATATTCACTTGAAACTCAGAAAGATCAAGCAGCAAGAAATGTCTAGATACAAAAAGAAATCAAAGAACCATTACCTTCTCATACATCTTTATGGCTGGTGTATTTGATGCTCTCACAAAAAGATCTACAAAATACGCCTTATCACTGCAAAAAGGTTCTCATGTTAGAAAGAAACGAGGTGACTTATTTAAAGCAAATACTAGCCAAGAGATGATATGCAATTCGAAAAGATGCAGATGCAACCAAACAAACAAACTTTCCATTAATTGCATCCAAACTACACAGTCCCGAAGTAGCCAATAGGGAACCAATGAGGAGAGGAGAAATAAACCATTCAAACAATCTGTTTATATTAAGATGCTGGTCAACTTAAACAGGATGATATTTGACAAGGAAGAATTAACATTGCGGCCTAAATTGCTGGAGGGACTATTGGTCTTTCCAAAAACCATAACTCAAAGCACCTTGTAAAGCTGCAAAGTCTTGTTGAAGAAACTAATACTAAAATAACCGAAAACCAAGAGCGAAAATTAAATTTGAATGATACAAAACTCATAATAAATTCTAAAACATACGAAATAAAAAGTTCCCATGATAACTTCTGACAAATTTCTGTACAATCAAATCAAATTCCTAACTTCTACGAAATAGCAACTACAATAAAACACAGACAAACATGATTGTAAGTATGCAAGGTTAATCTTACATCTTGTCACTGATGTCTTCCAAAAGATTCATAAGTTTCTTAGCCAACTGCTGCCTGCGGTATTCTGTAGCCACAGTTACTGCTGTCACATGACCATGCCAAGACTCGCCTTGTCCTTCTACTTTCCCCATTACTGCACCCCATTCGAACGCAATTCAATTTTTTTTTTTTACCAATTCATGAAAACAAAATCAAATTAGTAGGGAGAAAAAGCTTACTGTAACCCATAATTTTGTTGCCTGGACCTTCAGCGACATGGAAATAATCGGGCCATCTTGCCAAATAGGTCATGTAAAATGACATATTGAACTGTATAGATTTTAAATTTCATTATTTTGTATTACAGGAAAGAATTGAAGGCAAGTAAGAAGAAGAAGAAGAAGAAGTGTTGAAACAAGAAGAAAAAGTAGAGGTTTTTTTACAGTTTCAGTGAGATGGTCGAAATTCACGGAGGCGAAGCGGAGAAGATCGTTGCAGCTGAATCGTCGAATAGTCGTCATCTTTCTTTGCTCGTTGTTTCTTAGATGGGGCCATGGCTGCCAACTTCCAGCGGGGACAACAAGGAGCAGGAAAAGGGCGAAGTAATGGACGATGCCAATGACCAACATTGGGCTTTATTTGAGTTTTTAAATAAAGATTTTAACTGGGCCGTATTACCCACTAAGATCAAGAAGGCTTATTACGTTCTCTCTTTCAAGTCCTACTCTACGAGCGAAGAAAAGTTTGAAAATTGTGGATAAGTTGGAAACTTCCCTATGATGGCTGGACAAAGTTGAACACGGATGGAGGAAGAGGGCAATCCTGGCCTTGCTGGAGCTGGTGGGTTGATTCGAGATGCTCTCGGCAGATTCATTATGGGTTTTGCAGCTGGTATTGGTAGCTGCAACTCCTTGAAAGCTTAAAAATGGACCGGGAAGATAGGTCTGGAAATGGCATGGAATATAAGAGTAAGGTGGCTCCTGCTAGTGTTTGACTCCCAGGTAGTGCAGCTATTGTTGTTTCAAATCATGAGGCTGGTTCTTACTCTATGTTGGTGAAACAAATCAAGAAACTTACTGATTGGAATTGGACTAATGCCAGTCGCCTTTATAGGGAGGCAAAATTAGTATAGATGCCTAACAAATTTTCGGCTAACTTTAATGGAGCATTTGTGCAGTAATATAAACTTTTTTGGCCCCTCGTGTAAACAAGAAAACAAAATTTCAAACACGGCAAAAGATTAACGTATTCTTTGTTTCTATTCGTTGTTATTATTTGGAGATCTGTTAGACATTGCCATTACAATACCCACTAGGAATGAAGATGCAAACGATTTATTCAGAAGAATTGCTTATCAATACTGTGCCACCAGATAATAATCTGGCTGATAGGATTCAGAACAGAATTAGCTAACCAACTTTAATAATGTACAACATTTTGGCGGACTTTGCAGCCTCAAAATAAAGAAAAGCTTTGATGCATGCCCAATATTCTATATACACACACACACACACACACACACAACCAATTCAGATTCTGAAGTATATTGAAATCCCTATCTACTTCTTTCATGATTTAAAACATTCATACCATCATAAACAAATTCTCCTGACCAAGTGGACGCATGAAAGTCAAAATCAATGGTCGAACTATCCAGGATAAATCTCTATGTGGTCTTCTCTCTCCTCCCTTCTCTCTCAAGGTTTTAAAAATTGAGAAACCAAAATGCGATATTTCTCAAAAAGCTTGAAAAATATAATAATATCATTAATGAATAGTGACTATGAGTGGAGATTAACAGTGCTATAGTTTGAGAGAACTCATTTGTAAACACCCCAAATGTTTTAGTTTTATTGTTAATAGTTAATTCCTTGAAAGCTATTCCAGCTATTTGACTTTGCCTCCGATCATGACATTCCTTTAGCTTTCTGATCATCAATGCTCTTTTGACATATCAATGCACACATGGTTGTAAGATTCTTTAATCTTGAAGCCAAATTCTGATTGTTCTATCAACATCAAGGCCTGCAGAAGCTATCTTGTTCTCTGTTGGGTGGCATGTTACAGAAATGACAGTATCGGTGTGGCCCTCTAGTTTCTGAACCATAGTTTTTTGCTGGAGATCCCACAAATAAACACACTTGTCTTCAGACCCACTCACGATGTATTTCCCATTTGTCACAGAGAATGTTGAGGTTATGCAGTATACTCTGTTAGTGTGACCTGAGTAAATCTTCAAGAACTTCCCCGTGGCGTAATTCCAAAGTTTCTGGAGACAGAAAATGGAATTTTAAGTAAATATAAAAACAACTAAAAATTCTCTTTAAATGAACGTTGGATTCTGAAGATTACAATCCCAGTCTAACACCCAAAGTGAAGGGAACTCAAATTTGAATCTTGTTAAACATGCGCTCACGCTCAATACTTGGAATCCGCCGAAACAAAAAATGTCACTCTACCACAAGACTCAAAACAGTTGCAGCAAGCAGAAACGGGAATTTATGCATATTCAAGTTCTAGAAAACAGGCTTAAATATAAAGCAGCAGCACATGTGCAGGAATTAGAAACACACCAAACCAAATCCTAAAATTTGAACAGCCAAAACGGCGAGTCAAAACATACAATAATATCTAACCAAAATCACAAATCTACTACTTAAAACCCACAAGATTCTATCACAGTTCTAGTAGCATCACAACAGCATGGTACTTAGTTTTAAGTTCAAGAATCATAATACAGTCCACGTTTTGGTCATTGGCCAATTTTTTGACATGCGAAGATCAAACAAAAAACGATTGCAAAAAGAACAAAAACTTACAAGAGTGCTATCAAGAGTAGCAACAAGAATGAACTTCCCATTTGGCGAGAATTTAACAAACGACACAGCAGGGCTCTTATCATCGATGAGAGTCTTCAAACAAGTACCAGAAGAAGCCTCCCAAATCTTACAAGACCCATCATGACTCCCTGAAACAATCAAAGAACCATCTCTGTTAAAATGCACTGACGTCACCGGCATAGAATGAGCTCTAAAAACCCTAACACATTTCCCCGTCTTCACTTCCCAAATTCGAATCGTTTCATCGAAAGACCCCGAGACGATTAAATTCGACTGAGGATTAAAATTCACACAGAATACAAAATCAGAGTGGCCCTTGAGGATTTTAAGGCAATCGAAGGGGGCGCGTGAGTCCCAGATGCGGAGAGTGCGGTCATCGGACGCGGAGCAGATGTAGTGAGAGTCGGAGGACCAGGCAAGGTCGGAGACGCCTTCGGAGTGCCCTATGAGGCGGTGGATGAGGGAGAAGTCGGGAGACGACCATAGTATTAGGGTTTTGTCCAAGGAGGCTGATGCCAGGAGCTTTCCGTCGTTTGAGAATTTTACGCACGAGACGGCTCGCTCGTGGGCCCTCAGGGTTCTTATGTGGCGGTATGGTTTGTATGGTGGTGGCTGTTGCGATCCACCGCTGGACATTGCTAAACTGAAGTTCTAATTGAAGGTACTAGAGCTCCTACTTCTTGAGCTCCTACCGCTTGCTTATACGAGGGAATGCTCCCCAAACCCATGGGCCAAGTGTCTAAAGGGATTGTTGGGCCTCGGCTAGTGGCATGTTGTGGGCGGAAGCCACAGTTTTTCGTTTTCTTTTTCCAAGAAAACAATGGCGGAAAACCCAATTAATCAATTGCAACGTCCATCAAAATCTCTGCAATAAACTAATTTATCCACGTCACTCGGTTGCATTCTTGCGCTTAGAGGAGGATAGTTCTATAACTGAAGAACGGCAGAGGATGAAAATCCTTGGCCAATAAATCAGGGACACAAGTTCCCTCTCTTAAAATATGACCAGTTGCAGTTGAACTCTTCAATAGCTAGGATCAACGCAAGATGTTTGAAGCATTGTGAAAGAACGAGAGAGGGTGGAAGATGACAGAAAACCAACGGTTCATGGATGAAAATGATGGGAAAATGACGGGGAGAGATCTCTCCACTCAACATGCCCCATTGCAAGCCACATTATAAATTTATCATCGATAATCAATGAATAAGACATCATCCAATTATATCCTGGATACAAATTTCACGGGGAAGGTAGAAGCGTCCACTAATAGTTATGGTTAGGAAAAAATATGTAAAACAACATGAAAGAGAATAATTCAGGGGAAGGAAAAAAAATTCCCCAAAGGCTTCAACAGTCATTTCAGGAGTCAGGACAAGTCCCCAACTCAATCAACCGTCCAGGTAAACATCAGCAGCTTTTAAACCCACAGGCAATCCCACTGTGGGGGAGGCAAGAATGTGATGGCATATGAAGAAATTCCATTGTCCACGAGTAAATTCAACAAAGGTACTAATCAGCTTGCTCTCGATAAAAGCCACCTACATGAATTCAGGCAACATACGAGCACATTATAAGAGAATGCACATGTCCTAGGTGTATAAAAAATTGTAAAAAACGATGAAAAAGGAATAGTACAGCCAAGCTCTTTGTTATAGCTACAGGTTCATAGGCTTGATCAGCAAATGTCCAACGCAATAATTGAAAACATGGAGTCAATGACTCTATGGAGATAAGACAATAAATAACCTTCTGATTTGAACAATGTTAAGAGACATTAACACTTTTATTGAAATTACCAACTAACGTGATGAGTTGTTATAGGTGTGCTAAAAGCCACGTCAGTTTGATTTAAAAAACTCTTACATGCAAATTCCACATCAATTAGTGTGTAATTGTTAGTACCCTGGCCATACGCAATTTGAATAATACCGATAACATGTCAGGAATGGCAGCTTCCCAACATTTGATTCCAGTTCTTTTAATTAATCACCATGCATATCTCTGTCAACCATGTTCTGAAGAACCATAAATACTGGTCCATAAGTGAAAAAAGTAATCACTTCAAAGAGTTCAAACACTTGCAATCAAAAGCATAATCCGAGTTAAAATTGAAGACAGGGGAGAGAAGATGGATACCTAAAAATTCCAAGCCTTGCTGAACTTGACGTTCACCTAGCCAAGCAGATAATCGAACTCATCTGAGCTCTCCTCACAAACAACATAACCAGAATCTCTACCCTCCTCATTCCCACTAGTCTGATCGCTACTATAGTTGCTTTCAGATGTACACATGAATGACAAACCATCTGATGCATGGCTGCTCGATTGTGAGGACAGGCTAATCACACTATTGAGATCGCTATCTGTCATTTGCTCGATGTCGATAAAACTGCAAAACCAGATTGACAACCAACCAAGGAATTTAATTCCAAAATCCTATGTTTTCCACTCTCTTTTCCTCATTTGATATTGGCTATTTTGATAAGAATAATGGCTGAAGTTTGAATTCTGCTGCAACCAACTAAAAGTTTAAAATTAATGAGAGATATCTGACCTTCCTTCTGATGGAAATTCTGCTAGCAAACAAATATCAGACCTTTCTTCTAATACCTGCTTCATAGGAATGATACTGCCAACATGCAACAAAATACTTCAAATAAATTTTAGCAGAAAGAAATATAGACTACGCATGATAAATGCAAAAGGCAAAAACACTACCTTGAACTGTAACATCTGCCATATGAATCACCTGCAGCAGCCAAACCTTCCCTATTTGATATATCCTATTTAAAGGCAGTAATCAGATTTAGAAGAAAATCAAGCCAGAACATGAGAATCAGATTAAGACAAAGCAGGATGTCCACAGTATCAATATACCCACCAGATATCTAAGAAATTTGAAGTCCCCAGTAAGAACTGATGTTAATAATCGGGCAACTTCTAGCTGCACATAATGAAACAAATAAGTCAATGAGAAGGGAAATAGAAATATAAAAAATTATAATGTATTTGCTTTTAATAGGTTGATGTCTATTCTATATCTATAAATATGGACTATACGCATGCTAGCTCATTTAGGAATTTAACCAAATGATAAAGTGAAAGGATCTCAGAGACCCTCCAAAGACGAAAGCCAAGATCTTTGGTATTCAAAGAGATTTAAGGGAAAGGAGGTGGAGAAGTGAAAGGAATTATGGCCTGCCTCTTTGAGATGCATGCAGTCTCTTAAAATCAAAACTTCTAGCAAACTCCCACCCATGTTACCTCCGAGGTTTCTATTAGTTTCAAGAAAAACAAACCCTTGTAAGATTTCGAGTAGAGAAAAGAAAGGACCTATGGCTGTTATATTCCATAAAGATGCACAGACCTCAAAAAGCTTCCAGTGATAGAATATGATGTTGAAAAATCAACATATTTGAGTTTGCGAAATCCCTGTACAGGTAGCCAGATCTTGTTAGTCATTAGTTTTCAACTAACAAACAAAGGACCAGTTTTGTATTGCCTACAAAGTGCAGCACGTATATCTTAAAGACCAAGTACCAAAATCAAAAAATTCCAAAGCAAAGAAATGTATTTCTCAAACTTTTCCTTTGTTCTGTGCTCAGATCTTGATTAGATCTAATTTTGACTAAAAAAAATGATAAAGATCGTGAAAGGCATACCACTAGCCCAAACATCATTGTAAAATTGGTACTAGAAATATAAATAAATAAGAGTATAGAGATTGCTTGTTCAGGTAATGAAGTATAGATCATTCCATTATGCGAACTAACACGATTTTAAGATAACAAGAAAAATTTGCTACTCCCCCTGGAATTCAAATAAGATTGGAGAACCAAGCAATTATGTTTTAACAGTGAAATTAACCAAGGTGAAAATTCAAGGCATGGTGCTTGAAGCAACCAACAGAGAAGATCTATTTAACTAGAAAACAACTTGAGATTGGAGAAATTGGTTATACTATAAATCAAGTACACATGGACTCAATCTTAAACAAAACTCCATTTTTTAAATCCCTCCTTTGGCACGATGCTAACTTGACATTCTTTCTTGTCATATCCATTTGCGTTGTTGGATGGTTACAACTATGAAACAGTCAAAGATTTAGCACAAAAGAGTAAAGCAATAATTACGTCTTCCATTCAAAAGGGGGAGAAAAGGAGAAACAGATTATTTACCGTTAAAAGTAAAAATATCTCAGAAATAATAAGTCATGCATGTGGAAACTCGTGGTTATCAAAAAAATAACTGCACCCAACTTAACATACCTTAACGAGTATGCGAAGTTTATAATCATACAGCTTGAAGCCTCTAAGAGCCAATGAAGTTAAATTTGGACAATTATTTACGAGATCCACACAGGTTGGCGATTTCAAACTGTCATCTCTTCCTGATAGTGAACATGCTCACAGTAAGCAAAAACATCTACGAGCAAGGAACCAAAAAATTCTCATTAAGAAGGTGCTGCACCTGTTTTTGAAGATTCAAAAAACAAACGCTCTATCAAGGGACAATTCATGCTCACTGACACCAATGTTTGCCTCAAATCAACATGTCTGCCTCAAATCAAAACATATAATAATAATAAAATAAAAAATCAGCCACCACTATAAAGGGTAATTTTTTCCCAAATTTTTCAAAAAAAGAATAGCTCAAAATTAATTATCAAAAGATAAGACAAATGAAAGCACTTACATGTTCTCGTTACACAGTGCATGTTTAATATATATTTTGCACAAGCTAACTCATGAATATATCCACATGAATCCCCTTGCATGCATAATTATAGTAAAGGTAACTTGTATGATAAACACATACAATTCCATAAAAGAAGCTCACTTAAACCACTTGAATTTTTTGAAGGCAGAAATCAAGAACTAAAATCAATTAAAAAGTGAGTTTTAAACTAATTATTATTACAATAATATTATGTTACCGCTACAAAGGTAGCTGAAAAATGCTGACGAGGAATAGTAATGAAACCAAAGAGGCTTATAATTATTACTACTAATAGGAAATAATAGCTACTGATAGCCAATTAAACTCGGAAAGTTGTGTTTGTGACTAAAGCATCCAATCACATCATTAGTTGTAGCATATGGAAGGCCCAAAGATTTTGGAAGATGCAATGTAACATTGTTTACACCTGGCGCATAAAATCCACCCCATTTAGCAACGTTGTTCACATAATATAACCACTGTCAATACCCTCATGTAAGGTTCTTAAACCAACATTATCACACAGACAACAAACTTAACAGAAACTTACAGGCCAATTATTTCCAGATCAAGCAGAGATGGGCAGGCTGACAATGCCCCACAAAGCGATGTATTGTCAAGTCTTTCAATATTGTATAGATGCAACCCTCTCAAAACAGCCCTTGAATTACCAAAAGGCAAACATTAGGATCAAAAGAAATCACAGATGTGGACAAACAACTCTTTAATCGAAGTTCCAAATTCCAAACATACCCAGCAGCACCATTGTCCCCACTTAATGGATTTAAGCAGTATCTACTAAGAATGGATGACTCCTTCCCCTGTCTGGTCTTTTTATCATTCCATGAAAAGTTAGATACTTCTACTGCATTCCTGATACCATAGACCAATGGTTGACAAGATCCACGAGTCATAGTCGGACCTGGAACTATACCAAGCTTAAGAGACCTAAGTAACCGAGTGAGAGAGAGAGAAGGAAATCAGTAAGGCCACCAACAATATCCACATATGCAATCATGGGAATAGTCAAAAAGGGTGAGAATTAACTGAGGTGGTGCATGCTATACAGCATATTTCTCATTCATAAATATAACAATTAAAACAGGCTAACTTTGGTTTAATCAACAGAGTATTGCCCAGTACAGATAGAAAAGGATTAATCCTTCTCCATATTGAACACAAGAATAAACATCAATTCCATTTTATAATTATAAACGATATCAGAATGAATGGAATTCTATATTAAAAAAAAAAAAAAAAAAAGGAAGGAAACAATTTGTCAGAATCTTCATAATTGCATAATAGGGGTCTAAATGAGATATTCAAACTTGGAAAACAATATTGAAGGCTATATGGGCAGCACATCAGGCTCATGATACATAACTTTAGCTTTCTAGAAATCCTGCTAATGCAAAGAAGTTTAGCTTTCAAGACAAAGCTTTGCTATGATATGATTCATTGTCTTTACCACGCAAAGCAAAGGAAATCAAAACTTCTAAAATTCGATCACAGGTGATACCAAATACAGAGATGCCAAACGTATAATAGACTCACAAGAAGACTTAAACAAAATATAGAATTGTTACATGAAAAATTCTTACCGGAGCGCTTTTCCAGCCCTTTGGATCATCGTAGACACAACTGCATTGTTAACTTTTGGGACAACAGTCGTCAAGTCAATATCGGCATAGCACAAGGGATCCATGGCACATTTGTAGAACATTGAACAAGCAGCAGCAGCATAGCACAGGCTTTGTGTATCGAGCATGGAAAATACCTGCACGTGTAAGCTTGTAGATGAATCAATCAGAAAAGGATGCATTTATAATTAACTAGACATATGAATGCTCAACACGTGCTGAAACGACAAAGTACAGATTTCCATAACAGGAATCTATAAATTCTTGATTCTAAACTAACATAACCATCACACTAAACGTGGCAGCCTCATAACATTCGGATCCACGGAATATTCACCGCATCAATGTATCAGATGAATTAACTAGATACGAATGCTCGACACGTGCTGAAAATGACAAAGTACACATTTCCATAACAGGAATCTAGAAGTTCTTGATTCTAAATTCACATGACCATCGCACTAAACATGACAGCCTCATAACATTTCCAACACTCGGGTAAACAGAATATTCACCACAACAATGTATCAGAATATTCATTACATCGATATGCTTTCAAACTCAAGAACCTTCTGTATTTGGCAGTGTTTCTTTCTCACTGCAGCACGATTGTATCTCAAGAGTTACAGCTTAATTAAACACATTTAATTAATACCATCAACATCTTCCTGCAGTCAATTCATTTCAAGTCACATCCATCAATTAAAGCATTGCCAAATGCAAATTTAAAATTCCCAGACACAAATCACGTTCCTTTAAAATTCCTCTGCAACACCTGATTTGACGATACTTCACGGTTGCAAGCAACCAAAAAAAATTCTTACAACTCATATATCAACCAAGAAGCAAGCCAAACCTTGAATTCCACATTACAGTAATGAAGCTTGTTTTTTTTTAAAAAAAATGTTACCGTCATCGCCGATCAAAAAAACCTACTGTCAAAATTGGATCAACAAACCGATGACGAAAAAAAATAAACTTAGCAATAAAAACAAACCTTGATGGTGAGATCGGGAGGGAGAGCCCAAGTGAGTGAATTATGAACGGAAGAGCGTTTTCTAGCAGAGCGCTTGCCGGCTTCGAGAAGCAGAGACCCTAGTTTAAGGGCGCGATCGATGAGAAGAGATTGATCAGCATCGCAAGGGGAGGAGTCGAGGAGATGCTCAAAGGAGCGGTCGATAGAGAGAGAAGGAGAGTCAGCAAGGTTAAGAAAAGTTTGGAGGAGGTTATCGATTTGATTCTTCATGTTCGGGAGTTTGTTAGGGTTCAGAGGAGCAGGAGAGGAAGAAAAAGAGCAAGGGCGTTTCGCCATTGAGGTGGGGGTGTGGAGGAGGGTATCCATAGTGGGTGAATGTGAGAGAGAGAGCGCAAGGAAATGAGAGTGTCCGGTTTTCAGAGCATGAAGTACGGTCAAGCGAATGGGTGACACGTGGATGCATTCGACGGGGGGTTGGTGTCTGGCTGGCTTGGATACCTCTCTGTGTGCCTCTACCGTTGGCTGTCTCTGGTGCAAAATAAAATGGCTCAAAAACCTTTTCTTTTCTTTCTTTTTTTTTTTTAACAATTGCAAATATCATGATTTCTTTTTCCTTTTTGAAGACGAGGAACTCGTTACCACCAGGTCAGTCAGATGAATTGCAGATACGTATGTTATTGTGTCTACCATGATTTTCAGTTGAAACGAAATTTATAAATTTGATTAATGATTCTTTACGATAAAAAGAAAAAGAATGCTTACATGTTTATGAAAGTTGTAATTAAAATCATGATCCCATGAGTTTATATTTCATTTATCGATTAATAAATCATAGTTATTAATTGTGTGAAAAAAAAATTGATAGATTGTTTTTGAAAATTGAAATACGATAGATAAAAAGTAATCAGGTACTTTTATAAATATATATTTATAAATAATAAAATATTTTTTAATTAATTTTTACATCACTTAAAATTAAATTTATTATTTTTTAGATTAAATTTAAAGAAGTTTAATTTAAAAAATACTATATGTTGATATTTTTCTTTTAATGTTATAATATTTTTTGAATTAAGATGGTTCTATGATAAAAAAAAAAAAAACCAATGTCAAAATTTATTTATTTATTTATTTTAATAATAACCTATATCTTAAGACAAATCATCTAAACTTTGATATTATTAATTGATAATAATAACAAGTTATATGTAAATAATAAGAATTAAATTTTAATTTTAATCAAATTAAAAAACATCTACTTTATCGATATGTCGATTTCATCAAATGAATGTTGAAGTTATGATGGATCAAGACTTACCGAGCAACGCTAATCTTTCTCGATTCATCAAATGAATGTTAATGCACTTTATTGCGTGTGGGTTAGCAGACGAAAAGATTTAATGAAGTATTTACCGTGACGAATCCTTACCAAATTTTTTGGGAAGCAAAACCAATTATATAGTGTTATTTATGTTTTTGTTCATAATTACAATTTCCTTATAAAATTAGTCATTTTTATTGTAAACTACATGCATATATAATTTGAACAAAATATATTTTTTTTACTCAACTCAAATAAATATTTTACACATGCATTAAAATCTTTTTAACATTTTTGTGAAAGTGCTTGATTTAAAACAATCGTTTTCTTCCATCTTAATTATTAACTAATCCGAAAACTTAAAGAGTTTAATTGCATAAATACATATATTGACTAGTTGAACAATTTAGGGGATTTTTACCTCATAAATACACATATATTTTATCATCGAAAACCAAGGACCAATATACAATTATGCTATTCACACAAAGTCGCCTAATTAAATAAATATGCTCAACATTAGGAATAGGATTATAACTTTCAAAAGTGCACGGACCAAAATGTAATATTGTTCATAACCTAGGGGGCTACTGTTCTATCCTGTCTCTTCGAGGATTCGCCGGTGAGTTCTTATATTTTTACCAGAGCATCTTTGTAACGGATGAATTTATATTTTAGACAAAGTTAAATGGATTAATTTTTTTCTAAATTTTTGAAGTAATTTGACAACTAGTTTTTTAACTAAACAAATTGAAATCGATCTTTTGTAATTTTAATTCATTTGAAATTAGATCATATTGTGAGATTTTGTAGGATTATATCCATTTTCATTAATTAACGTCTCAAAATCACCAATTGTCTCAATTTTTTAGAACCGGTCCCTCGACTAAACAATATGGTCACATTAGACCCTCTATTTCCATTTTATTTCTTTGTATTTTTAACCTCCCGTCCATTTTTTCTGTAAGATTGATTGCAAGGTATTAGTTGACCAAATCAACGGGCAAGTAAGTGCCACAAGTATGGCTCAAAATAAAAATAAATTTTTTGAACGATAAATTAAATTACATAAAAACAAAAACCAAAAAAGAAAATTGAATTTTTTTCTTTTTTCTACTGAAATGGATTTTTTTTTTTTTTTTGGTTTATGGATTTATCACTTTTAATTTATATATATTTTTTCTTTTTTTAATGTTAAATTATCAAATTCATTGGACAGTTAAAATTAAGTTAACAAATCGAAGGGTTAGATCAATTCGTGCACAAATTATGTGACTTTCACATGCAAAAATGCATAGAAGGTTTAAAGTAGCAAAAAAAATTAGAAGTAAAGGGTTCGATGTGATCAAATTGTTTGTAGAGGGTTTAATTCGACCAGATTCTAATAGTAGCGGGACAATTTGTGACTTTAAACATTAATTAATAGAAATAATCCTACAAAATCTAATTTCAAAATTATCAAAGTTGCACGAGGTTAATTTCAACCTTTTAATCAAAAGATCAGTTCTCAAATTAAAAAACTGATTTGACTTATTTAACCATTAGATGATTATCTAAGAGAGTTTATAATATGTTTTGTAATCAAAAGGCTCAAAACCCAAAATACTAACTTCTGGAACTCAACACGCTAGTAGCCTAGGTTTGGAACCACTGTACAGTGGCAATAGAAAGTTTTGCCCAAAAAAAAAATGTTTTTTAAGTAAATTATCCTAATGAAGCCTCCCAGAAATACTCGAGGAAACAATTCATAAGAAAACAGTTAGTAATTTTTAATTTATTCATTCTCTCATATTTTTGTCCAAGAATTTATTATAATTTTTTTTTTACCATTTATTATTCTAGAATTAAGAATAACTAGAACTGTAATCCCGGTTATTGAATTAGAGAATAATCTATTGTGTCTTATGCATTTCAGAATTTCTTTTTGCATCCTAAGATAAAATTCCTCTTTAACATCTTTCAAATTTCTTTTACTGAAAAAAATCTGTCAACTTTCCCTTTCTCCAAGCTCAACCAAGTACAAGACTGAGCGAGACGAGCAGTGTTGCACTGTTGCTGCCTCTCCAATCACAGAAACAAATACAGACCTGCCCTGATCATGAAAACTAAGGGTGAGCAGTTAACGCTAAAACCCAGCCAAAACCTACAGACTGCAACCTTTACATCTACATGATTGTCTCACTGAGCGTAAAGATTAAGGGCTTTTTTTTCAAAAATAAAAAAATAAATAAGGGCATTAGATGCGAATAAATTATAAATTAGTCATTCTAGTTTTTCAATTGAATGAAATAGTATCTCTAGTTTTATAACTTAATCTTTTTTCATTCTTTTAGTTTAATAAATAAAATAAAAAAGTAAAATAAAAATATTAATGAGAAAAGAATAAATTTTTAAAATTAAATTAAATTAAATTAATTATGATCAAGACTGATAAAGAGATTAAATAATTAATTTTTGAGATAAGAAGAATTATTTAATTCATTATGAAAACCTAAAGGGTCTAATTTACATATGATCTACTCCATTTGATGGTTGCCCTGGTGATAATAGCCACGTGGAGTGTCATTCTATTTTATTGAAATTTAGCTAATTAAATATTTTCCTTCAAAAAAATTTTTTTTACTCATATAAAGCAAACCGGTGCTGCCAGAAATAAACCAGGAGTAATTCATCATTCACTCTCTCGTTATATATATATATATTAGAATTTAACACCACTCCTAAGTGATTTTAACTGAAAATTCGCGGAAATTTTTAAACTTTTTCGTTTGTTCTTCCTTTTCAAACCTTTTTGGTAGAAAAATTAACTAATAGCATCCTTCCTAATGCCCAACTTTTGGCAATAACCCAGAAAGCAATAAAAATGATGCCAAATTGCCAACTGATTCCATAAAAAGTTTCCAAAGGAATTGTCCAGGCATCAGTATAGAATTTAAATTTCAAACATTTCTGTGAAGTACACGTAACAATACAAGATTCATAGATCAGCAGCCACATTGCCTCCTCACCTCACAAATCACAGACTTGCTTTCCAGTGAATTTAACCTCGATAGGACCAGCATTATTTCCAATAGATCTGAAGTTTTGCCCTACCCCTTGATGGCCTGGGTTCACTTTCTCAGGATACACTCCATCTGTTGGGTGAAGATATTGGACCTCTCCATTTAGGAAAACCATATAAACTGATACTTGATATTCTAATTGAATCTCAATCTGGTACCAAGTGCCAAACAGTGCTTTCCTTGCCAACTTGAGCAAGTTAGGTCCTTCCCTTATGATAGCTGCCCTCCAGTTAGCATCTCAAAGATACGCTCTTTTGGCGAATCCCATATAGTAACACAGAATCCTTCAACTTGTTATTGCGCAACCCAAAGACTGGAGAGGGAGTGCTTGGGTCCCGCTCAGGTGGGGTAACACCAACTGGAGCCTCTTTGGTGGGAACCTAACCTTTATCTTCCGCTGCAGTAACTTTTGTGGGAGCCTAATTACAATAAACGTCTTTTGTAATAAAACAATAGTGATGAATCTTTATTTTTTTTTCTAATTTCAATAAATGCTTCAATAAAAAATAGAAAGAAAAAATAACTGCTAGGATCAACAAAATCAAAAGACGAGTTAACCCCTTTATCACGGGGTCAATACTTAGGTAGCTTTAGCGATAATTTTTAAGGAGAAAAAGAAAAGGAAATCCCGCCAAAATAAATAAGGAGTAAAAATGCATTCACTACTCGAAACTCAAAAGTCAAGAGGAAGAGAGTCCCACAAATTTCTTTTTACATCGGTAAAGAAAGCGGAATTTTTTTTTTCTATTTTTCCGAGGGAGAGAGATGTTTTCCATGAAATCCCAATCAACTATAGCAACATCCGGAAACTGTTCAGCCGCTAATTGCTTGGAAAAAAAAAAAAATTCCGCACAATGAAACAGTCACTTGCACCAAGCTCTTCTCATATCAAAATAACGAGGACTTCCAGATGGAGGCTAACAGAAGTTGCAAGTCAGTATGGCCTCTGTATGGAATTCTTCAATTCTCACTTTACTCGATTTTTTATTTTTAAATTCTGTGCAGTGTGCAATTCAACCTCAATAAAAATATATAAGGTCAAATATCACTGCATTCCCAAAGCATTAAAAATCAGATTCTGTTAAGAACATTGGATAAAAGGATAACTATCAAACAGATGACACCTAATTCTCATCCGGAGCAGGCATCAGCCGAAGTCTTCCTTCTGAAGACTGATTACCATCGAAAATCGTCTCTTCTGCCAACAAAGACTGTAAATCACTGCCATTTGCCAGGCTGTTAAACTCCACGGCTTTAGAGGGCATGGTTGGGTACCGTCGTTGGCAAAAGGTCATTAATCTCTTGACTGACTGCAAGTATTTGCGAGTGGTTTCATCATTCATAATGTGGGCGACACTGTTGGTGTAAATCTTCTCGCGAGCTGAACGTTCGTGGATACCAACCATAGTAACACCGATTGGCCAGGGTGCATTTCCAATTGCCAGTTTAATATAATGATCCATTGCAGCTAAGTAGTCTCGCTTCATGCAGCACTCGACCATCAGTAGCAATCCTTGGCGTATGTCACTTGGAAGAACCTACAAAAAGAATGCAGCATGAGTTGAATGAATGATAATTATCTGCAAACCTAAGAATAGGTTTTAGCATTGAAAATGAAGAAGATAGGATGACTCTTTCTATAAAATGCAACCTTTTATCTCAGTGCACAAGAGAGAGACAGTGCAACACTGTTACAAACAGAGAAAAACACAAAGAAAACAGAGAGGACCCAAAGCAGACCACAAATAAGGCCAAATGAACAGAGAAGGGCAAAAACAAAGAAGACTCGGAATAAACCTAGGTAATAGGCATATAATGCTTTCTGCCAAACCCAAATTTCCCAATGCACAAAGCAATATTCCTCACATTCACCACCTTATGCTACCATCTCTTATCTCAATGGTACCATTATCACAGTTTTATAACTCATCTACACTGGCTGGGATCATAAATTGTAAAATAAAATTTACTAGATCCTCAGCAAGTTACTTTCTTTCAGAGGAATATAATCATAATGATCTTAGACAGATCATGAATGCATGAGACTCAGATACATGTATGCCATAATTTAAAATTACCATCAATATGATGCCTGGGCTTTGAAACACTAACCACAATCACTACAGGGACTCGGGATGTTAAGCACCACAACTACTTTGAACAAATAGATATGCCCGGGCAACAGGAGAAGACTGCAACAGTTAGTCGCTCAAGAACAACAGGAAGCACTTCTCTATATCCCATAGTTCGTAACTCATGAACAGCAAGAAGCACTTCTCTACTCCAGTAATGTTTATGTTGGTTTATCACCCTTATTCGGCAATAAATGGCCTACTTGACCATAAGAAACCTGTAACTACTAATAATACATAATAGGGATCAAAGCAATAGTAGCGCACTGGATTAGAGGCTTAACACAATCCAAGTGAGAGGAAACACTATAAGCACAATAAGTACTCCTAGTTACAATTGCATTAAGTTACTTTACCACCCTGTTTCCTAATTCGTGGTGATATTTACATCACTAAGGAAAGGTTTCATGGATAGTTACAGCTACACTCACAGATAAAATTTTTTTGGCTGCTGCACAACATATTGGCATCATTCTCACAGAATGCACTAAAGCTACAAAACCAGAAAAACCATACTAACATCTAAATTCACAGAGAACAGTTGCATTGAAACATATCAAAATTCAATTCAAAAAATTAACTAAAACAGAAAAACCAACAGCACTCACCTTCTTCCTACAAAAACCGAACAACGGATTCAGATACCTAGCACACTGCTTGAAAGTTGCCACCATTGACTTCCCTTTTGCCGTCCTTTTCTCTGCATCAGGCTTATCATCCAATTCCTGATTCCACTCATTCAACAACCTCTTAAAAAACACCAAAATCTTATCCTCTTCACACAATTCCTCAAAATTAGCCTTCATTCGCTTCACATCCAAATCATTATCACCCCCACCAGCGGCACCCTCACCACCAAGCTCTCCATCCACTTCCCCTCCCTCTCCATCCTCTCCGCCTCCTCCATCCTCTCTATCCTTCCTCTTCCTCCCACTCATAATCCCACTCTTCTGCCTCTTCCTCAACTCCACAATATCGCGCAAGAAATCATTGGTCTGCCCCTCGGTCATATCACTATCAACCTCAAAAAGTCCAGCTTTTAGAACATACTTTAACCGGTCAAGGCGAGCATCGTCGTCTTCACCAAAAAGAGTAATTGGTTGTTTGAGGAATCTGAGGCGGCGAATTACTTCTTGTTTGGGGAGTGCGAGGCTGTCAATGTTTTGTTCGTGGGTTAGGGATTTGGATGTGGTGGCGGTAGAAGCAGAATTGTTGGTTGTGGTGGTGGTGGTGGAGGCTGCGGTGGTGGAGTTAGGCGTAGTGGTGGAGTTGGAAGAGGTGATGGAGGATGAGGAGGATTGGCGTTGGGATTTGGCTTCGAGTTCGCGTTTTTCTTGTTCGCGGAGTTTTTGGATTTCCTTTTGTTTGATTTCAGATCGCTTGAAGAATTTCTTTCCGCCGGTATCTTGGGCTAGGGTTTGGCGTTTCTTGAGGAGTTCTTGCTTCAGGAGATCCATGTTAGGGTTTGAGTCCGCTAGGTTGATTGCGGGTGATGGATATGACGGTGAAGTCGAAGCGCGTGTAGTGAATGCCTGGATGGTGGTGTTTTGGTCCTTTTGCTTTCTGCGAATGGGAGGGCTGAAGGCAACTTTTAACTATTGAGATTTGAGACATCAAAATGGATTTTCATCCCGAAATCCAAATTATTAAATTAAATTAATATGATTTTATATATGACAAAAATAATAACAACTTATAGCATTTTTTTCCTCATTTAATTTTCTAAAGAATATAGATAATTAAAATTTGATTGAAGCTACATAGCAAAGTTAGATGCTACAGATAAAATAAAATAAATCGTAAAAATAGTTCAAATTTAAAAGATTTAAATAATTAATTCACTTAAAACTATAAAATTAATCAAACTATTTAAATTCGATTCGAGTTCTATTAAATAAAATACATGTTCAAATTAGTTTATTAGTCAAACGAAATAAATTTAATTACGAGTTTTAGAACTAAGTTGTTGTTATGAAAAAACTTAAGCGATTTAATATTCGACTTAGAATGTTCCTTAACATAAAATATATTTTAAATTATAAATTTTAAAAATAAATTTAATAAATGCTATTGTATTATGCAACGTAAGACGTTGTCTTATATCGACAAATTGATATAAATTAGAGGAAATTTTTATTACTTATAGAATAACTAATGTAAATTATTTTATATGAGAGAGATAGATAAAAAAAAAGAGAGAGAGAGAGAAAAATAAATGCGAGAAAATTAAAAAAAAAATTGAGTCTACATAGAAAGCTTCTTATCACTTTTTTTTATGAATTCGGATGTAATTTTTTTCTTTTTTTATGTATCTATTTTTTCTTCAAAAGCGAACTCATAAAATAATTATTATGTATATACAGTAGATAATCCTTGAGTATTTTAAAATTTTTCGTAGAAGTTAAAACAACATTCTCTCTCACTTTTAGCAAGGCATATAGGGTTCTCTGGACTTTTTTAACTAAATACAAATATTTGTTATTTTTGTGTGGTTCTTAATATTATTACTTGCTTATTGTTTTACATATATTTGCAATAAAAACAACTATCAAGAAGAATACAGACAATTAAAAGTGCCTTGATAATTACATGGAGTTGATTCATATTTAAAAGGGCCTTGATAATTGCATATTGTTTCTGTTATACTTTAATCTATTTGTTATTGAAATATCTCAATTATATTTTACGAGGATCGTATATTTCTAGATCTGTAAAACATGAATTTTTTTTTTTTCAATTTAAATAAACACTCTAGGCTGGTAGTAAAAGACACTAGCCGACATTCAGTTCAAATATATTATTGATGGAATTAAATAAACCCAAGTTTTCTTGAAGACAGATTATATCTCTCTTATTTTGATTTTGGTGATTTTATTGGTTGTTCTACACCAGAGATGGCACTTTTTCCTCAATGAAGCTGCATTACCCACATAGAGAGTTAGCTAGGCTTTTGATTTCTAGCCACCGTGGATTTAGTTTCTGTGGAGTTACATTTTGAACCTCAGAAGTCTTGGTTTTGTAATTGTCGTTTCGTTTCCCAAATTTTCATAAGCAAAACTAAAAGGAGGCTTCAAGGCGGCCTCATCTTATGCTTACAAGTTTGAAATTTCTAAACCAATGCATTTGTTTCTAGAAACGCTAGGCGAAGGTTCTCATTCCAGCATATATATCAATGACATATGATTAAGCTGTCAGTATACTGCTGATCAGGGCTCAAACACGACCTGTCTCTGGTATTTATTTCTGCTCTTTAGATTATAGTTTAAAGAATTCTCTCAGATGAAGCTAGGTCAGTAGAAACATGATTGTGATGCACTGCATGTCATACTGAAGACTATATTACGCACGCATAGAACAAAATGGATACAAATTTATCCAAATAATTATGCACAAGAAGTATCAGGGGAAACGGACGACGGATGGACATTTTGATGTATATAGTTTAAATCACTGGCTCTTCCTCGTGCCAAATGTATCTTCAACACCATTTGTCACCCTGTTTCTTCGTTCTGCGATCATGTCCGTATATGCCTGTCAAAATTACAAAAATCAAGACGATTTCTTTCAGCAGAATATGCAACTCTAGCACATCATACAGATATTATGCACAACTCTAGCAGAAAAATGTGAAACGTAAATCTTGTTCAGCTACAAGTTCCTCGAGAGAACTCGACAGATTGTTCTATACTCTGCTTTAACTTTCAAAACTGCAAAAACAAACATATCCTCATCCACTCAATATTATTGGCTTATCTGAGAATTTCAAGTCGAACCATTGTATTTCTGAAAGAAGAGTGAAATGTAGACGAGAACGAGTGCAGAGGCAAAGAAAGAGAAGCTCAATGACTACAAGCTGTAAACAACTCAAGAATATGAGTTATGAGACGACTACAAGTTAGGCATCACATCATGCCAAAACCTTAGAGAACTTCAGTCTCCCAATGTGATAATTGAGCAACTCAATACCATGCATGACAATCCACAAAATGATATCTCAAGCCCCTTTCAGGATATCGTTTCCTTGATACAGCATGCCAAATGGCATTTTCTAACGTCTCTTCAAGTTTGCATCTGATCCTCTTGGCATACAATTTTATCCCACTTTCAAAAATACTGAAGCTGGCATGTTCGACTTAAAATTCTCAGATACACCAAGAGCTCAAGAACCTTTAAGCATATCCTTTACTAGATATAGCATGCATCAAGATCCATTAGGATATAGTCTCATACCTTAGGATAAGAAAACAGAAAGATGTACCACCAAGTGCATATCAATAAGAGTACGATTGTTGTAGCCACAACTGAGTGCAAAATTAACCAGCTACCGGCAATGACCAATACTCCAGTCAGTGTTATCGTCCACGGTTGACACCTAGTGACAAATACACGACAAAGGTGATCTATTCGTATGAGTAACACAAACGCACACATGCTAAATAGATATTGGTTGTGTTGGAAAGGTTATGAATCGGTGATGCATAACGAAATAAAACTTTAAAAGACATGGATTTGAACTCCAATCAATAGTTTTGAATCGGAAAATTGCCAAGAATTGGAACCTTAAAAGTATACTTAAAGGCAAGGGATCTCTTATTTAATGATCTTTTGAGTTCCCAACATTTCAGGTTGTTACTCTTGGTGACACAATGGCTATAGTTTCAATAAACAACTAACAAATCATATCCTACGCAGATAGGCAGCCACGCCCTCTAACTAGTTTACTTCTACTTTCGGTACATATCAGAAATTTCACTAGAATCCAAGCATTTGATCAAGTTTCTACAGCTAAACTGCTATAACCATAGAACATCTTAACTCTCAAGATACATGCAAAGAACCGATGCAAGTTGACGCCCAGTCGTTTGTCATTAGAAAATCATCGAACGACCATTTTGTATCGTTCGAACGACTTGTCATTCACCCAAGACATATCTGCCATCTATGGGATGACTTGTCGGTATCACTAACAGCAGGGCACCTCTTGAACGAAGTTCCATAACAAAGTAGAAAAACGTGACAAACATCGAGTAGTAGAGGTAATGAATGAAGCATTTAGGAAGAAAAGCAGAGAGTAATAACATGAACTGACGAAGAAGAAGAGAATTACCATGATGGCTTGGTGTCCCAAACAGAGTCATACTCGAGAGAAAGATAGTTGAGATAACCATCCATATCGTCAACAGCTCCATTTTCATCCAGAAACTGAGACTCATTTGGGATGTCACTTGAATTCCCTCCAAAAACTACAGTTTTGCCTCTGAATCTGTTGGATTTCGAAGTGATTAAGGAGACGTGATGCCACGAAATTGGTTTTGAAAGATGGGTTCTTGAAGAGGAGTACTGTTTGGGTCTCAGTCTCAGACATGGTGGACAACAAAGGGAGAGGGGGAAGAAGAGAGTTCCCATTTCTACGGGCCTGTGAAGTCTCAACGGTAAAAAAGGTTGGGGTCTTTCAGTTAAGGGCTAGTGTTTTTGCGTTTCCTGAGAATGAAAGGTCGTTATGGAAAGGAAGAGTAAATTATTAATTAATCCCTCTAGCTTGTTAAAAGAATTTAAATAGTCCTTTTAGTTTTAATAACTAATTAATTGGTCTTTATATTTTTAAATCTATTTATAAATTAATTCTTATTATTCATTTTCTATTCAATTTGTTTTTTAATAAATAAAATAATAAAAATTTAGTAAAAAATAAGAAAATATTGACAAGAAAAAAGATATTTTTAAAATAAAATATATTAAATTAATTATAGTAAATACCAATCAAAAGATTAATTAGTTAGTTTTTAAAACAAAAGGAATAATTTATTTTTTATGAGAAACTAAAAGGATTAAATTATAATTTACTCTACAAAAGAATGAATTATGGAAGACTAATTATATATATATATATATAAAAACAACAAGTTGTTAGTATAATGATAAGCAAGCCGGTCTCCAAATGATCTTTTTTATAAATATGCAGTAGTGAAACTTGTTAGAAATAATCAAATTTTATTATTTTCATCCTGAATAGAATTATTTTTATCTCCAATGTAGAATGAAGATAAGATACTTGAAAAAAAAATGTTTTTTTAAAAAAAAAAGACAAAAGAGCAGGGCAAAACAAATGAAAAAAATGAACATGACTACACGAGCATTTTAGAAAACAAAATGTTAAATTAAGAGGTTTATTCGTCCTTTTTTTTTCTGTATAAGAAGAGTTTTCTAAAATTACTTTGAAAATGATAACTTGGCTTTTTTTCTAGGAAAAAAAAACTATTCATTTGGAATATTGAAACAGAGTTAGAAAGTTATAAACAAGTTGGAACTTGAAGAAATAATTAGCTAAACCCAAATCGGCATTTAAGTGGAAAGTTTTCAAGCAGTAGCGAATTGCATGGTGGTGTAAATTATATTCCATGGCCTCTGGCTTCTTATTTGCCACAGTCTCCAAGCTGGAAAGGTTGAGTTGCCAAGCAAATAATTTGAGTAAATTATAAATGAGTCCCTCTTGTTTAGAAAAATAAATAAATTAATTTTTTTCTTTTAAAAACTAATTATATAGTTTTGTATGTTTTAATTTCATCAATAAATTAGTCCGTTTGACAATTTTTTATTATATTAGTAATTTCTGCTCTCAAATTGTCGTCTTTTTTATTCTTGTTTAGAAGAGAAAAAAAAGGTGAAATAAAGCATCAGAAGTTAGACAATCGAAAAAAAATACCAATCTAACAAAAAATTGATGAAAAAACTAAATGATTGATAGAATTAAAATATAAAAGATTAAATAACTAGTTTTTAAAATGAAAAAAAATTAATCAATTCGTTTCTTAAAACGAGAGGACTAATTTAAGATTTACTCCAAATAATTTGCCGATTCCCGTTATCTGCTAAATCTTGAAACAGTTCAACCAGGTGGCCCTGGTCCCATTTCTTTTGGGACAAAACACCTTCATATCTTCTTGCTAATTTCTACGTAAGCCTGCCAACGTGGGCCCTGCTCGTTATCCCAAGTCATGACTCTGTTTTTGCTTCAGATCACGTAAAAGGCTCTCTCTCACACGTCTTTAAGTCTTGGCCTCTTAGGGATGGGATTCAGTGGCAAAACTATTTAATATCCTCGAATTTCACAGCTCATCATCCTAATGTTGTATCAATATCCTCGCATTCTGGATAGACAATTACACTTTAAAACTGATTTGTGGTCATCTCTAACTGTAATGTACAAAGCAAGTGCCCATGGAGGCATGTGAACCCTAAATATGCAACATCACAGTTTGGTTTCTCGTTTAACTTCTTGGTTTTCCTGCAATACATGATAGAGTTTCCTTTGGTTATTCGAAAGGAATTGTCCACATCATGATATACTGCTATCCCATTCCAAGCGAAACCGAAAAACGCATTCAGAGAAGGGCATGACTACCGATAGAATGCAAACTGCAAATCCTTTATTGTTCATTAAAATGCAATAAAGAATTTAGGGGCAAATGCTCGGATCCTTTGTGTTTCTCCTATTCTATATTGATGCATCTTTTTAATCTATCGGAGGCTCAAATTAAGAAAAATGCAACGTAATAAAGGCTTAAATTTGAGCTCCAAGCAATTCGAATCATAAATTGACAAAGAACTGCCATAACTCTTCGAAACAGGAGGCTCAACATATTACCTTAGAATAGCAATTGAACAACGTGAACTTACGGGGTTGCAGTGGCCAAAGTTGCATCAAAGTTCATCTAAAGTTGTAACATATCAGTTTCAGATGCAGGAATATTTCTCTTCACCATGGCTCTCTGATCACTTGCTTGTTTTTCAGCAGGACAATTCAGTTCCGTGTAACTTTGACCAGAGAGATTTTTTTCTTCAGAAATGGAAAAGATAACTAAGCAAAAACAAGAGGTGTGCATAAATCGAACAGCAACTAGTACAGTAATACCGTCGTTTTTTAGAATTGAGTGCAGCATCATTATTGTTAAACAGTGATAATTCAAAGCCCAAATAATCTTCGATGGAAGGAGACACACTACTGGTTGATTACTCCACATACAGTAACTTTGTATGTACTGATCTACAAAATAAAAGGGTGAGAATGAGAATCTAAAAAACCTTGTGCTGTTGTACATACTAATTTACTGTATGTGGAGTGCTTGCCATCATCTCCTTGTCAGAAACATATGAAATTGGCTTTACACAGCTAGTCTGGAATCAGTAATAAACAAATGATCAGCAAGTAGAGCTGCACACATACAAACCGAGCAAGGAAATATTGTCTCATAAAATGCCTCATATCCCATGTAAAAGATTTACATACCTGCAACAATCTAGGAGTCGGAACAACTTAACTCGCATCTCATTTCTTTACAACAAAAGTTTCATTAGTCTCGCAAATATTAATAGTTGATTGTTGTCGTGAGAGTACACAAAGGGCAATCTTACTGCAGTTCTCCACAGAGATATCATGTCGAGCAACCATGGATAGCTCACAGATTATAATAGAAAATCTAAACAAAAATGTTTGGGCTAAATCCCTAAAAGCAATTAATTAAGAGCAATGGGTTAGTGTGTTAATAAAACACTAGTTAGTTCAAGAGAAGAGAGGAAAGAATGGAAACAAATGGGTAAACTTCCAATTTCAATAACTGTATCTATATCACATCATTCTTAAAAAACATTGCAGGACCTATCTATTAAGACTCGACGGTGGAAAAAGAATTATTCATTCTTCCAAGCATACAATATAAGGGAGAAACCAAGACCTTGTAACTGGCAGTCTCTGAATTTCTGCGAGGACGACCAGGTCAGTACAGAGGGATCGAAAATGGATTGGCTGTTCCGTAATTTCTCTGCCGATAAGCAAGTTTGGAACATGAAAACCGCATTGCCCATAGCATTACCAAATAACCAATTATGAACATCCCAAAACACTTCAACTGGAAGCCCATCCACCAATATAGTATAATTGCCCCGGAACTTCCATTTCAGTCTTTTGACCTGCATTACCATCTTACTATCAATGCGGATCACAAGACAGGGATCCTTAAGATCAATTGTATCACATTCAATTGTAACATCATGCATCTGACCCTTGTTGCAGAACTGAGCTTTTGCATCATAAAACTTCTTTCCAAAAATATGCTCTCTTCTAGCAATAAAAATGGCATTAGAGTGCACTGGAGCACTGTCAATTTTCTTGTATGCCTCCTTCTTCATGTCCCCAAGAAGTAACACCATTTCTTGATTAAAAGCAATGGCCAAATAAAACCCCTCCAAAGGTTCTGGCCCAGGACCAAATTTAGCATTGGACAAGTCCCAATATATAATAACCTTATCAGAATCTACCTCTAAATTCTTGTACCCTTTTCTTTTAGAGAACAACCATGGTTTTATATCAACTTTACAAAGACAATGACTTGTTGAATCATCAATTGCAACACCAACACCTTGACCCATGAGATTCTTGGTCCAGGTAACAGTAATTAAACAAGAACGACCATGTAATTTACACTGATAGACACAAGTGACCAAATTTTGAGCAGCTTTTGTTGTACTCGAAGAAGATGAATCAGCTACTTGGACTCCACTTTCACCAAAACAAGAAGGAAAGTCCCTCATTTTACCAATAAAAGCAGGCTAATATTTAACAATTTTGGAACTTCTTTGCTAGGAGGCAAAAAGAATGAAGACAGTACAAAAAATGTAGTACCTTCGTAGCCAGTTGAAGATAAACTCAGGACCCCATCTTCCAAAATGCTCCAAAGGTAGCTTCTTTACACTTCAATTTGATCTGGGCACAGTTTTTCGCTGCCAGAAGCTGTATATGTTACAAGACTACAGGGAGAGAGAGAGAGGACTTGGATTTGCTTAGATTTGTCTGTGCTTAGTTTTACCAAATAATTAACTTAAGAAAAAACAAGAAACAAAAAATAAAAAAGATTCTTGATCAATATATGGAGGGATGGATAGAGATAAGAGAAGGAAGAGACTTTGAGTCACATGGGGAGACCATGAAGAAAACGGCAGCTGGATGTTTGCTGGAAAATGACTGGTTATTATACTACTCGTTACATAAAAGAAAAGCAAAAGTTGCTCTTTTTTAATCTTCTTCTCCTCTCTCTCTCACACACACTTACATTTTCTACTCATTTTCTTCTTCTCCGTAATTAAAAGAAATCATAATGGGGCCTCCCCTTTAACTGACATATCACATGGATTAGAGCTCAATAAATCAAAGCTTAATGCCTAAAAAAGCCGACTTTTTCCACTTTTTTGCGCTATCATCTTTTTGTCAAGCAAGACAAATGTAATTATGGTGGAAGCAAGGAATGGAAAAAATGGCACAGTGTCTTTAATTAATGAGTTTAGTACCCATCATTTTCCCGCGGTTTCTTTGTCTGTTGCCATTATCAATTGCAATTACCATTCGGTTTTCACCGATGGTGAAAAATTATGACAATTGAAATCAATGATAATCCGAAAGTTTTTTTTAAAAAAAAAAACAAAAGCATTTTCCTTTGCCTTTGTTGCGTATGCACTGATGGCAAGCAACCTATGGTGAATCACGTGCATCTGGACTTGCTTGGTTGGCAGACCTCATGGGGGTGGACCAGAAATTGGTCCGCTTGGAAACCAGACACTCTCGTGATTGTGATTGAGGATAAAACTTCAAAGTTTTTAGCCTCTGATTAATTCCCCAATTTTGACCATTATGTTCTGCAAAAAAATCTTTCATGATCAAACTTCTCTTTTCTCTTAAAAGGAAGATTATTATGACAATTATTATTTATTAGATTAGGTGCCCACCCACCTGAGCTACAACTAATTCGTTGAATTGGGCCGGATGTTTGGAGCGGTAATCGACGACTTTTTTTAATAGTAATCATTCAATTCAACACTTATATCTAAAGCATTGTTATTGTTTAAATACTAAATAGTATCAATTATAGGGAGAAAATCATGGCGGAAGACTGGAAAGGAAAGAAAAAGAAAAGGATAACACTCACTTCCCGAATAACTGGTAATTAATATGTACCAAGACTTGGTAACTAATGTGTTATTGAAACTATTAAATTTTTTTTTTTTTTACAACTTGGCCCCATCGATTAAATATTTTACAAAAATCAATGTAATTTTTAAGAAGTTGTTGAACGTCGTTAGCTTCACATGGAAGTCTCGTCTCGTAAAAACAAAAAACTTCTACTTTAATGAATTTAAAATAACATATTAATTATTTAATTATATATTTATTTAAAATGTTAATTTAATATGAAAAATACTAATATTATTTTTTTCATGCAAAAGTATTTTTTTTTATGGGATGCGGTTGTTGATGTGTTGATTAAAGATGCATTGGAGAGTTTGGCATAGAGACGATACGATAACATGTTTAACAAGCTAAAGAACATGAATGACAGACCCACGTTTGTTAAACAACAAATGTGTGAAACATGAAGCTAGGATTGGGCCACTTTCGAGTATCAAGCCCGATCTAAGCAAGCGTCTCGAAATCACATGTCGGAGATAAGTGGTGTCGATGTTGGCCCATCCAATTATACTAAACGGTCAATCTCTTTAATTGAGCACGCCGAGCGTTTGATAAATCCTATATTATTCATTGTATTATAATTAATTTTTGCACTTATTGCATCTCATGTTATTTTATTTGTTTTTTTCAATATAATAAATTAGTTCATAACTCAAATTCTTACAAGTTGTTCATGATCACTCACAAATGGAAAGATGGATCATTCGTCAACGAGTGATCGCAGTACAATAATAATAAGTTTTTATATTTTTTTTAAATATATATACATCTATTGATATAATTTAAAATATATATTTATGATTTAATATTATAATTATTTCAATAATATAAGAACCATGTGCAGATCAATGCAAGAAACGATTGTTAAGAAGCGACAACAAGGTGATTTATTGTCTCTAGATATTAACATGTCCAAAATATATTTGAATGTTGTTAAAGAGGAGAATAAGCGAGAGAATGTACGTGTTAGCTCTCAAGCGTCCTAGTATCACTTACATTCCGACGTTAACTTCTCCTCTCGCCACTTTCACGATATCTTGGTGGTAATATCAAGGAGGTTTTTGTCTAATATGAAGATACGATGAAGGAGATGGAGGCTATTATACAGCAACAGACTAGTCAAGTTAACAAAATACAAAGTTAGTTGCAGACAAGTGATAGGGTTGTTACAAAACCCGTAACATGTTCGTGTTCCTTATGTTAACCCTTCCAAACCTAAGAGTCATTCATTCCTCTCAACACTCAATGATCGAAGGATGATGATGATGAGAACTAGATTTTTTGTTTTTTTATAAAGTTGTTAATGTTTTTATAAACCTTAACACATTTATAAATTTATTTTATTTCAACTTATACTCGTTTTAAATTTATTAAATAGCATATCGTGTTTTAATAAAGTGTTGTTTATAATTGTTTGTTATTACAATTAACAATATACGACTATTCATTTAAAAAAATAAAAATTACTTCGTTTAGCAAACGACGTAATTGCAAAGATGTTTAAAAATAGATATATATATATGATCATTAAATAATGATGAATTTAGCAACATTCATTCTGTTGTTATTTAACAAAGGACATAAGTAGAAAAATCTGTCCTTAAAAATTAGTGGCATATTTTTTGTCACTAGTCAGCTAAGAAAAAAATTTACGTTGCTAAATAAATAATGACGACTATGTTAGCGATAGACTTGGTATTATTTTTAATCCATCGCTAATTATATAATGACGAATGTTAATGCATACCGAAGAAAAAATCAATCTCTATATGCCGAATTTCTGGTATTGGGCAGTGAATTTGAATCATAACATGATTACGTCAAGCAGGAACCCACGGATCCCACGCTGCTCTGGATAATGTGGAGAGAAAGGGGGACTAAACTCAGATTCCTTCAGGTACAAGCCACGAGTAACTAGTGCCGGCCATGAACATGGTTGCATTTTGGGCAAGAAATAACAAAAAGCCAAATTCCCATGTCAGAGTTTGGATGCACCCTCTGGCTTTAGCCCATCTGATAATGTACCTATGCCCTCTGGACCCAAGAAAAATCTCAGGGTAATTTTTATTTATCCCTTGAGTTTTTGGATTTTCTAAATCCACCTCCAGTGTTATTATTATTATTATTTTTTGATGATGGTATAACTGATTCCAATAAAAGTGCGATGAATAAATTTCTAAATAATTTTGTGATATAATAGATGGATATCAGTAATCCAGGATTTGCTTTCCCACAATAAATGTCAGTAGCTAGCACCTTTGTCGTAAGAGAAAAAAGAAAATATCAAATTGCATGCCACACAAGAAGGCCCCTTGAAAATGAGACATGCTGCAAAATCAAGGGTTCTTCTCATTTCTCCTCAAGGAAGTGGAACACCTTATCTGTTTTTCAAATAAATGCCAACCTAACCAGGTAGACTTTCTTGCCTAAAAACACCTTTCAAACAGAAAACAAAAAACAAAGGGTGATGAGCAATGCAATGAAAACGGGTTTGATGCGATTAGATATATTAATCATGGCTTTGGATTTTCATTAAGGAGGGTCATTTGAAGCAAGATTGAAGTCGTCGATTTCGATCACAATGATTCGTAATCGACCTCTTTCAGGAAGACTAGTCTCCCTGGTTGTCTTCCCAGCTTTCATTACTAGCACACGTCATGAATTGGAATTGTGAGCTTCATGCCTCTTTAATTCTGCCCCGTTGGTTATTTTACTCCTTGAGCTGTACCAAAAACGGAAAAATAAAAACAAAATTTCCTCCTTGAGTAACGAGTGTGGCTATTGTCTCTTCTCATTTCTCTTGATAGATTGCTATTATTGGCAGAGCCAGGTGAAAGGTGGAAAACGAAGTCACAATTAAACCTACCGTTTTCACCGTACCATGTTTCTCTCAACAAAAACCCTTTCCCATTTGATGATAACCCAACCTCATGCATCCTGCATCAACACGTCTATGCTTGCTTAAAATAAACATACCATGTGGTATGAGTTTAATATCCTTTTGAACCCAACTACCATAAAAGTTATTCAAGAATTATTCAGCATATCAAAAATTATATTCTTAATTTCTTTTCACAAAAATATGAAATCTCATGAATTATTTTTATAATAGTTATCATATTTTTATGAGATAGCAAAACATAACTTTCAGCACACTTGATGATTTCTTGAAAATTAGCTATCATCCATTGATTTCATCCTCTATTCATTCTAGCTCCATTTAAATTTCATGGATTATGATAACTCGAAGGATGCTGCTAGTTCGCTTTTGTTATGCAAGATTAATCATTGAGGATCAGTTTTTACTGAAGTTAGGTTGAAAGCAGGCACCGACGTAGAAAGAAATATTTTTTTTAACGAGGTGGGTGGGTTAATTAATACTCGACATCTTGTTTTTTAATGAACCTTGCGATGGATTTAGTTTTGTTACGACAAATTTATTCATAACCTGATTTGAAAATGAATTTTAAATGTATTGAGATATCGTATGATTTGAATTTTTTTATTAATATATTAAGTTTTTTCTATCTAATTTAAGAATTTTACTCTTATTTTATTATTGTTTTAGAATCTATCGTACTCACATAAGCATACGTGACAAGCTTCTAGCCAATAGCAATTTGTCATATATCATATCATGGTGGCTCAAATTGAATTATTGAATTGGTGACGTAACAAGTTATTATCGATTAGAATAGACACGTAACAAGTTATCATTGGTTAGGATTTGAAATAATAACATTATAATAGTAGAACTCTTAGATTGGATAGGAAAAAAATTTAAGATTTCAATCAAAAAATTCGAATTGTATAGAATCTCAATATACATAAAACACAGTATAAAAGCAAAAGTCAGTTATTGTTTAAATGGTACCAGACGGGACTTGAATGATAATATCATGGTGCTAATCATACAACAATTCACAATGGTAGCTTATAATCAAAGAAAAATAAAAATTATACCATTGGCGTAAACATAACATGTAAAGCAAGATAAAGTATAGATGAAATAAGAGATAATGTTTATTAAAAAAAATGAAATATAAAATATCTAAACTTGAAATACCTAAATTTGGAGCTACCATAGACATTTCATTAACTTGGAAATAATTAAGACTACTGAAATATATTAATTCGAAAGGCAAAGAATTCGAAAAACAACGAAGAAATGTAAGAAGAGAAAAAAAATCTATCAAAAAATCATTTTAATCTAAAAATTTAATCTAATGAAACTTACATAGACTCACACTCTCTCGTATTTAATTAATTAGAAGAGAATTGGAGTGGTAGATTCGAATTTACAACATCGTTTGTCCATTAAAATTCGATATCATGTCAAAAAATCATTTTAATTTAAAAGATTAAATTGTTAAGTAATTCTCAAAAAATGATTTTGTATTACTCTTTAATAAAGCTAATGAGCTTTTTTCGATGAGGAAAAAAGGGATATCGAAAAAAGATTTAAGTTTTTTATTTATCCTAAAGCTTTTTTCGGTGATAAAAAAAGGTATATCGAAAAAAGATTAAAGTATTTTATTTATCCTTAAAAAACAAGAAGAAAGATAGGATTAAAACAAGAAATTTATTTAAAAGTTTGAGTTTATTTTTCCTATATAAAGGAAAGCACATGAAAATCAGAGAAAGAATAGCTACTGTCGTCGTTTTGTTATTTAAAAATCCACGTGAGATAGAAAAAATAATAGCAAAGGGTATTTAATTCTTTAGGTACATCTACCAAAATAACTCCACGTCAACCAAAAATCCTTCAATGTCTATCATGTACATCAACATCCCTCTAAAGATTTTTTTAAAAATTCAGCACAATCAGCCTATCTTCTGGAACATTAATTTGTTTTGTTTGACACTTGTCGATGAACATTTGCGTAGAAAAAGCGCCTGCCGAACCAAACAGTACATTATAATCGTCCATTAGCGATCTGGAATTAGAAAGTGGGCTCGGAGTGGAAGGGACTAATGAATATATAAGGAATGAAATCCAGAAGCCAGCAGAAACCGAGTGGCAATAGGCCCAATTAACCCTACATGTCCTTTTCGTAGTTTGTCTCGAGAGCCGAAGATTCCTCATCATAGGTCTTGTAAGAGATCAAAAGGTTGAATCCAGTATTAGTAATCATCAGGGAGAGGAACAAAATCCTCTCACCATGAAATCTTTCATAACTGCACGCTTAATGCCAGTCACAAACAATAGTCATCACATTGTAAGACTATCAAGTAACCGGCAACCAAACCCCACTTTTTTTTGCCTAAAAGCAAATTCTAGATCAGTTTCACAGCTAGTTTTTAAGGCTGATGTGCTTGTGCCAACAAAAGTACTGTTAATCAAGCAAATAGCTTTGCCTACATTCTCACCAGCAATAAACCAACCAATAAGCTGAAGCACTCGTCACCAAACAATTTTGCTTTGTAACTCCACTGGTGGTCAAGGACGTGCCCCATCTCTTGACTTTTTGAGTTTGAACTTTGAAGCCAATATTAAAAAACACTTAATTCTCTTTAATACACCACACCAACGTGGAGAGCATAGTTGTAAGATTATCCAATAATAATAATAAAAAAAAAAACCTTAATTTCGATCGTTGCATGAGGTAATAAAAGGATACCTCTATTATTATTTTTTTTATTATTTTTTGCTTTGTCTCTTACAAGTAAGATGCCAAGAGGCCTTATTCTTTGCAAAACCCAGTTAAATTCTTCCAAAGCTAACGCACTCTAGCATTACGGAACCACGGAGTTTTGACATTCCAAAGCTTTGCTCATAATGAAAATAAAGAGTTGTTAAGGTTGCCAGATGCGGATCAGGTTTTAAGAATGCACCTTCCACCTTCCATTAAGCGTCTTGGATGAACATGACCAAGCAAGAATGTGAAGCCTCTAGTTCATAGTTTGAAACTGTTAGAGAATCCTCGTATCTGAGTTTAACCGTTGCCAGTACAGACAGTAAACTAGCAGAAATATGTTATACATACTTTGATCCGTTTCTTTTTCCAAAAGTAAATCCTACACTAGGGCACCGTAAATTGGTTGTGGCAAGGATCCGTAGGCACCAACTTATTTGCTTAAACTCAGGTCCACCTTCCAGTAAGTTGAAATACATGCTCTAAAGATCGAGAAATAAAATGAAACAACATTCACCACACTTCAATCCTTCAGCTAAGTAGAACATCTGTACTTTCAATCACCCAACAAAAGCTTTAACCTTGGAAAGCATGTAGCACTTTGGAATGTAGGTTTGTATAATTTGCAAGCAGGTTTGTCTTGTCTAATATATATACACACACACACAGACACATTAGGACACCGTAGGTATAATAAACAGGTACAGAGAAGCCGACAGAACAAAGGGAGATTTAAATGAACTTATGGACACAAAATTGCTGAATGCCCTTGGCTCTTTAATAAAAAGCATCCATACCTTCAAAACGATTACAAGGAATGCGAAATTACAATTCCCCTTAAAAAAGTCGAGTCAAACAAAAAGACAAATATCTTTCTGGAGTAAATATAGTTGAATGAAATATGAGCACCCATCGCCAACTCCCTAAGACACGTCACCCTCTGCCTCCACATTTTGTCCTACCATGGACTTTCATTGATATTCTCAAAACTGTCTTCTCACAACTTCTACATGTGAACGATATGCACAAAATTAAAAATTGATTGGTGAGATTCCCGGTTTTTGCTTTCTTGGATTTCTCTTGGCCGTCAGATATCTGAAATATACACACAGCATATAAGCACCCAGAAGTTCTAGAAAGGACTTTGAATTCACGAGTACATAGATACGATAGGACCATTCAAGAATAAATAGAAGATTGAACAACATACTGGAACAAGAGCACATACTCAGGGAAACATATTAAAGATTCAAGATTATTGATTATGCAATAAGTGTCAGGAAACTTGATTGCAAACTCATGATGGATTCCTGTGAGGATAATTCATGCATTAGCCAATAAAACCATCAGAAAGGTTCTCACACTTAAGAAAACAATCAGTGGCGGTCATTTTTACTCGGTAGTCCAGGAAGATAACATGATTTGAAAATCTTAGGCTAATCATAGTGAGCTTGCCCAGCACATCATGAAATAAAACAAAGGAAAAATAGGATTTAAAAAAAAAAAAAGCATGACAAACCATAGCATTTCCGCAGCAGAAACTACTGAATGGGGAAGAGTGAGGAAATGGAGATAACATAAACTTCAAGTGCAAAAAAGTGAATGATGTTTTAGACCTTTGGCATGGAAATCTTTCTACTGTCAAAGGCCAACCATCCATAGACAAATACTATAACTGAAAAACACCAAGTAGAATGAAATCCATATTCCACGCTAAACAGACAAACGTTTCCCATGGTCCAACTCCCAGCGATGCTAGTATCCAGAAAAAAAATCAAAAAAAATCTCTATCTCGTATTTTGGCGCACATTTTAAGGGGAAATGCAATGCAAGTGTGGATTTATCAGAGAAGCAGCTTCTTTCTTCTATCTCCTTTTAAATTTTGATGGGCAAGTTTGAAACATACTCGACTCAGAAATCAAGGAACAAAAAGGCAATTTCAACCCCAAAAATCCTTTAATTGAACACTGTCATCATGCAGTTATTCTCTGCATAATTATCTTTTCAAAGAGAAGATATTGCTTGAGAATTTTCTCATGTATGATGCACTTATATCTCCGCCTAAATTTTGATGAGCAGGTTTGGAACATACTCTACTCAGAAATTAAGGTAACAAAAAACCAATTTCAACCCCAAAAATCCTTTAATTGAAGACCGACATCATAAAGTAATCCTGCGCATAATTATCTTTTCCAAAGGAAAGATATTACTTGAAAATTTTCTCATGCATGATGCACTTATGTCCCATTGCACAAAAGGCATCTTCCCTACAGTTGCCTATAACCAAGATACTGAACTGAAATCACAGCTTTCCCTTAGCTGTCCTGATTAAAAAGGAACTATACCTTTCTAAAATCTAACCCCAAGTCCTAGCTATAATCAGCATAAATGACATTTCAAATAGGAATTGAAGCCTATAAATGCAAACAGCCCACGAAGTAAAGATAACAAGAAACTGGTAGAAAAATATTCTCTTTTTAACACAATTACAATACGAAGAAACAGATTACCACAGAGGGAACTCCACTTTAGAATGTAACCTAATTATCAAACTTCAATTTAATTCACATAAATTTGATTTACACTATCCAAATTTAGATCAGTAACCAAAATTCAACATTATAAACACCTCTAGCTCATTTCCAAATCATTTACCCCCAAACCACTTCTTAACTATCAATTAAGATACTTGCAAAAACATAATTTCAATTCCTTGTCAACTACTCTCACAAGTACTAATTCCAAATATCACATTCTGAGTTAATCTATCGTTGTGGTTGGTTAAGCATATATTTTTATTCACAATCGAAATCATAGCTGTCAAATGGCACAACCCTATGATCTATTACACTTTCCACTGGTTTTGATGGAACTAATCAACCAAGCAGATAGTGTGTGGTCGGGTTTAACATCTGAAATACTAACAACAAGTTAACCCATCAATATTGCACATGATAAAGTGATAGAATACATTGTAATATCAATAAGGAAATCATATCAGTCAACTAATTATCAATCAAGATAAAAGCTCTAGAAAATATGATAAAGAAAGTTATGAGGAGAAATAATCTCACACCTCCCTAAGCATCAGCACCATCAGTTGCTTTTGCAGCAAAAGGATCGTGACTAGGACCAACATCCTGCCCAATATGGCGCTGCACCAGCCGCTGCAAATCAGCCATAACCTTGTGCTCACGTTTCGCCTTCTCTTCATAGTTAAACATGGCCAGCGCCCGCTTATCCTCAGCACTGTAAACTTGGTTTTCTTTCCTAATACGAATGGCATTCATCCTCTGATGCCTACTACCACTCATCACATACCCAAGAGTCTCAAACTTCTGAATCTCCTCCGCAGAAAGACCCACTTCACCTCTACGTGGAATACGTTTCCCTTGCTGCACATACTGTGCAATAGCATCACCTTCACCAGGCCTCAAAGCTCCACCATAACTAATATGCCCTTCAGCTCTAGGCAAGGGCATCGGCCCAACCACAGGCTCACTATCCAAAGCAGGTTTCTTTTGTGCCTCAATCATTTCTTTAAACATCAATGCCTCAGCATCAATTTCAGCCTCGTTACCCTCATCATCATTTACTTTGCTTTTCTCCGAACCAGAACTCTCATGGGAATCCAGATTCTCTCTCTCTGTTTCAGACCTGCTGTTCTTCTTAGGTCGAGAACCTGAAGAACGTCTCCCCTTCTTAGACTTTACACGATCATCATCAGAGTCAGACTCCTCACTCCCACTATCATCAGTATCACTATACCTACTCTTCTTCCTTCTACTCTTTATTCTCCTACTACTTCTCTTACTACTCTTGCTCCGCCTACTAATCTTCCGCGACTTCTTTCTCCTTCTCCGATCTTCTTCAGAATCGGATTCACTATCACTTTCGCTCTCACTCGCATCTGATTCAATATCACTATCAATATTCCTCCCCCTACGCTTCGAACTAGATCTCCTCCTCTTTCTTTTCTCCCTCGAATCATCTGACTCAGACTCAGACTCGCTACTCCCAGGACTGTCCGACTTCGATTTCCCCTTCGCATTATTTCCTTTTTCCTTCCCTTTTCCACTCGAATCTTCATTCTTTTCGCCATCCTCTCCATACTTCTCCTCTATCTCATCAGCTTTCTCCTCAAATTCCTCCTCATCATCCACTCTCGGAGGACTTGGCGTAGCATTCCAGATACAATATCTCATAGACTTCCTCATCTTTTGCCTCTTCAGCCTCCTCCTCTCCTCAAAACTCAATCCCTTCAATTCCTCGTCGGATTCTTCCTCGGATTCCCTACCATTCCTATCGAGAAAGGACCGGCCCTTACCGAATTTTTTTGGGAGAGAATGATCTAGGGTTTCTCTGTACCTAGGGCTTGGGCTTCTTCTTGTTCTTCTTCTTCTAGGGCTTCTTGAGTAATCGGGTGAGCTAGAACGATGGCGTCGGCCGCGATCGATTTCGCGATGCCGGTCATCGTAGCTTTGATAAGAGGGACTACGACGGTCACGGCGGCGACGGTAGTCAGGGGAGGCGTCGGATTCGGGTGTGAAACGGCTGTTTTGGCGGTCAGGAATATATCGTCTGTCGGGGATTTCAACGGTGGATGATGGCCTGCCCATTTTAGAGATTGGAGATTATGTCCATGAGGTGCTTTTTTTATTTATTTATACGGGTATTTCTGCTATGGGAGGAAGAGGACCGCCGGAATTAAACGCGGTTTCTTCGATGCAGTTGGTTAGGTTCACCACTATCAACATGACAGGTGGATATAGATCGAATTACTAAATTAAATAGAATTTTTGTTATTCACGGGGGCTGCTGTTATTTTTTTGGCCTCCTAGAGCTTGTGTTAAACCTCTTGCACTTCTTCTGGCCCATGCGGCATTGTAGTTGGGTTTTTTTTTGTTGCTCGGAACTCGGAAGAGCCCTTTTCTTATTTTAGTTTCATTTTTTCACTTATAAAATTTTGAGATTCTAGAAGCTTATGCCCCTGTGACCCCGATGATATGGGCCTTGAGAAATTGGTCCACATATAGTGAGAAGTCTTTCTTATTTTTTCTTTGATGGGCTTTCAATATGGTTGTTCGCTCTACCAGCAAAAAATGTTTTATTGGGTCCCTCTCCCAGTATGATATAATGTTTTATCGATGATTTTAGCACTTAATTGTTGATGAATAATATCGTATCACCTGTACTTGAATCGTTTTTTATTTTTATTTTTTTTTGCTAGAATTTCATTGTTTTGCAAAATAACAAACAGCTTTTGTCCAATAAAAAAATTGTTTTACAAGTATGTAATGCTACATGATGTCGATAGAGGGACTCAATAAAGTATTTTCTCCTTGTGAAAGGACCAACCATATGGAAAGCTCTTTTGATCATGCAGTTAGGGATGGCAATGGGGCGGGGCGGGGATCACCATTCTCGTCCCCGCCCCGCCTCCTTAAAAATTTCCTATATCTACCTCGTGTTTCAAACGGAACAGAATTTATCATCCCATCTCCGCTATAAACAAGGATAGGGATCTTTGCAAGGCAAACGGAGCTCCGTTTTATTGTTTGTATTCGCTCTCGCTTCACCCCATTTTGCTTCGTTTTTATATATTTTATAATGAGTACACACAATTTGTATAATTTTGTTTTCCAAACAAGAGATCAAATCACACGAACTCTATTATAAGTCACTCGTTGACAAGGCAAAACTGGACGAGATGAGCAAATCCCATCTCCGTCCAAAAAAATTACAAAACGACCTCAGAGTTGAGTCATTTTGCCATTAGTAAATGCTATGATGTACCTTAACTGATTTTATAAAAAGAATGTGATTTTATATCTTATCCTCGCATCTGTCCAAAAACTCTAATGAAAGGTAGAAATTAAAATTCAAGTTACGCCAGAAGCTAGGTAGGTCACGAGATGGTTCCATTTGAAAAATTATTATTCGTAAATCAGTTAAAATGACTATAGATAAATCCCTTTTGACTCCGAGTTTTCAAGTCTTGATTATTTGTGTTTATAATGCTTTTGGTATTGGTAGGCAATATAAAAATGTCTTTTTGGTATTGCTGCGTTTTTAATGCATAATATTTTTATTTTTATTTTATGTAAACATAATTCTTGGTTACTACATATTTTGTTTTGAAATTAAAATGGTTGTCACTATACTTATTCTAATACTTACTCTATGTGTGATAAACTCGGAGAAAAAAAGAGAAATATGGGAGAGAATTAAAAAAAAATCTAGATAAAAATATTTTTATCACTTTTAATAAATAAAAATGTAATTTTTTTCTCTTCTTTACATATATTTCTTTGTTCAAAAATAGATTTGTATAATAATTATTGCAATATTAATAGTTACTTTTAAATATCATAAATTTTTTCATTTGCTTTTAACTAACAATACAACAGCTTATTATGAGATATTTTTTTTAATTAAAATAAAAAAATTATTTTTTTTTATGCTAGCATTTTTGCATAATTCTATTTCAAAATCTTTATATATGTGTGTGTGTGAATTTATTGAATGGCATGTCTATATATATTATCATCCTATTTAAATTTAAAAAAAATAAAAAAATATTTTCATAAAAAATATGTTCACATGTTATGTAAGCTAACAAGTCATAAATCTTTCAATGAAAATAAAATCTACTTGTTCGAATATTTTTAATACAATACTTATTCGTCATTTTATATTTCAAAAACAATTAATATAATTTAATCAAATACTCATTTTATCTCATCGCACACTACAACATAATGACTAATTACCAAACACTATTTTTATTTATAATCACATTACTATACAACACATCATAGTAAATACCAAATAGACCCGCCATCAAAAGTCTCTTGATCGTCCTTTTTAGTAGGTAACTTCATCGTTTTGTTGATCTCCTAGTGATCCCAAAAGAAAATCTTATCGTATTAGGCCACGTAGGGCTCTATTTAGTCCTGCTAGACATAGTTATGCAAGAGATCATTGTACATTTGTTGGGTACAAAAGAGACGCTTTTCTTACTCTTGAATCATTCGGTTTTTTATTTTTTATTTTTTTTGGTTAATCGAATTTATTAAAATCAAAATTAAAATCAAATCAAATTAAGATTAAAAATCGAATTTTTTTATTCAACTTTTTGATTTTCGGTTAAAAAACGATTTTATTTTTTACATCTTTTCTTATGAATTTTAAATTTTTTCTTATACCAAGTCTGAAAGGTCACTTTTTGACGATTTTTTTTCAAAAAATGCTAATAGCTTAAATTAAATTTTAGCAAAGAAAATCATAAAAAAAATACTATGACTAGAATTTGGATGGTCTTCCATCTATCAAAAATTCATATATAACGACTTGAATAGCGTTCATTCATGATTAATTCGGTATCAAAGAGCTTGTAACTCGGTAGTAATGATCCTTTTTTAGAATTATATATTCAAATCTTAATAAATTAGTTTTGTTAAAAGCGTTAGGTGTATGTTTTAAAAAAAAAATAATTCGATTTTCGATAGAAACCAAATTAAAAAAAAATCGAATCGAACTCAAATAATTTGAGTTTTTAATTTTGATTTTTTTTTCAAATTTTTTGGACAATATCAAACTAAAATTACTAATTTGATTCAGTTCAGTTTTTCAATTTTAATCAAATAACATTCACCCTTATTTTTTATTATTTTGTGGCCACTACAAAACAGATCAATTGAACGGCCTAAGCCTAAGGCCCGGGGCAAATCGACAGCATTTGAGGGTAAGGCCATTCACATTTATAAATATAATAAGATGAAACATATATTTCAAATAAAACCATACTTGAAGCATATGCACTACTTGTCGGCAAGAAATTCAACCGCACAACCCTCGGCTCTATTCACATTTCACAAGTACATCTATCTATCCAACCACCATGACATTTTACCACACATCTTATATGGTATACCTAGCTATTTCAGGTACAGCATTTGATGACACGTCTCTCCTTTGATCTGATGGAAATTATGTGGCAAAGAATTTCTTGCCATGGTCCATCCCAATTAGCATTACATATGATGATCACGCAATCATTTTTATATGTCTTAAAAGTTACCCATATGATAGAGAGTTGAATGACTCTAATTTCGCAGTCTGCACCTCGCACTTCTGATTTCAGGTGTCGGTCTAGACTCCCGTGTACGTACTGCCTTTGTCAATTTCAATCGACTTTCGCCAATATCCATTAATTTCATATTTTCACATTCAATGTTGCTCGTCTCCACTTCACAACTGATATTTATATCAATCATTTAAAGAAACTTGTACCGCATTTTAATTAGGCTAAACACTAGACCTTTCTTGAATTTTCTTTTTTAAATCTCTTTTTGAACTTTTAATTTATATTTTAATTTTTTAAATTTTATTTTATTTTTTAGATTTAATTCATTCTATAATTTTCAAACGTCATCTCTTTCTTCTAACAAATTCAATTTTTGATTTAAAATTTTATACATATGTTGAAAAAAGTTTAATCTATTTTTAAAAAAAATTCAAAAAAATTTTCAAAATAAAAAATTATATTTGTTTATTTTTGAAACATTAAAAATATAAAAAATAAAAAAAATAATAAAAAATAATCCAAAACGATCTCAATTTTGTTTCGAGAGTTTTAGATAAATCTCCCCATTGATTTTCACAATGAAATTATTTATATAATTGGTATTTCTTTGACATAAATAACATAAAACTAAATCATACATAAATCAAAAAAAAAAATCAAAAAAGTCAAAATTAAAATTAAAAGTATAAAAATTGATTTTCAAATAGATTAAAATTCAGAAAAAGACTGACCCTTTTGAACCATCTAATTAGTCAGGATTTGTCCTACTGGTTTTTTGAAAATTTAACTTCGATGTCTTGAAGATTAAGGATCAAATTATCTAGCAAGTATTCCCGTACACTCATAATTGCTTACCACACAGATTTCTTTGTAATTGACAGGCACCTCTAAAGGTTATAAGTCCAATAAGGATAACTTCGTTACCATATATCATACGTGCATTAGTGTCTGATTATGATTGACATCAAATCTCTTCGTCAACTCGATCGATTTGCTAATTGCAGTTAAGAGTTAAGACTAGAATCTGTGAGGAACCTTCAAGCTGAAGCTAATTAGCCATTTGGAGTGCACAACAACTTGGTTACCAAAAGCAGCTAAGAAATAAGTAAAAATAACAAAACTTATAACGATCGACATTTTTTGGGGAAATATTCGTGCTGAAACCTATAGCTACTTCACTTGACACACCATAGGTGGACTAAAGAAAGTGAAGAAGAAATCCCACAAGTGGGTAATATGGGTTGGGCATCAAATGATAATTAATGGTAGATAAAAATATAAATTTTGGCTTGAGAAACAAGTTAATTAAGCCGTGATCAGGATAAGAGACAGACACAATACTTTTTATGTATTTGTAATCTTGTTAGTGTGAAAAGAGGAGCATGTAGAAGTTTAGTAGGAAAAATCTGCACCTCTGTGGGTTAAGCTCCTTCCACAAGGGATAAAAGGAGTGACAGAGACACAGCACCAAAGAGGACATTTTTTATTGCATCATTGTCCTGAAAGGAAATTGAACGAACACCAAGAGGA